TGAAACAAAAACAGAGAGAGCTGGGAAAACTCGGCAGGTCAGGCAGCATCTATGGAGAGAGGAAAGTGAGTCAACGTTTCGGGTCCACGACCCTTCATCTGAAATGTTGACTCACTTTCCTTTCTCTACAGAATCTGCCTGACCTGCTGAGTGTTCCCATCTCTCTCTGTTTTTGTTTCAATGGCAAGCTGTGTGGGTTTAGCTGGTTAGACTCCAGCAGTTGCCCCAACGCACACTCTGGGCTCCCCCCAAGCCTGAGCTCTGGCCAACCTGCGTCTAATACTTTCTGGAATTAGGTAAACAGAATACGTCCCTTCAAGGAGAGAGAGAGAGAGAGAGCGCATTCCATCCCAACAATCTATGTCTGGGATTTCCATGTGTAAATGGGAGCAATGGAATGAATTATTTTTAGTTTGAAGACTCTTAACCAACGGTGATGGGTTTCCACGTGTCTCAGACACAACAACTTGCAAATGTATAGTATCCTTCATGTGAGGCAGTGAACTGGAACGTATTAGACTGAGGCCGACCAAAACAAAAAGAGCCGCCTGTTTGGTGAGCAATAGGAGTCCTCACTAACATTGTCTTCACACTGAGACCAATTAAAAGCATCTCAATTACTACCTCAGCCGAGATCAGCAAACACTGGTCTGGAATCTGGTGGTTTGTGGCCCAGAGCTCATGTCTTTACCCACTCAGCCACATGGGGAGCTTTGTTTTGTGTTATTTCTCCCTCTCTCTCTATCACTCCTGTTTTTGCCCAGAAAATACACAGTCGCTTTTCACCCACAAAATACAGTCACTATACGTGACTGTCACATATATCACGCAAAGCGCTTTGCGATGTCTCGATGACTTCATATGAAATCATAGAATTATAGAGTATTACAGCACAGAAAGAGGCCATTCGGCGCATTGCGCTGTGGCTGCACAAAATGAAGGATTATTGTTATAAACTTATTATATTTATATTAATATTATTATTAGCATTGTAACTGAGAGCAGAACTGTACCTGTGGCGATATTCTCCGGAATAAATCACAATGTTTATTACAGTGACAGCCTCCTTATTAAGCTTGACTCGTGCTATTAGCTGCAAAATGCCAACAAATATTCTTCATTGAAACGAGGTCTGCAGAGATACATCAAAGCCAGCCTCTGAGCCGAACGTGGCAAATTGGCAGATAGGCTTCAACAGGCAGCTGGCTGGGAATGTGGTTATTAACATCATCACGTAGTGAAGCCCTGACATACCATTCCCTCCTGCATACGTAAACAGTTTACACTCATGCCATGACAGGTTGCAAATTGTATTACTGGGAAGATTTATAACCAGTTGAGCCAGTAACCTGTACAGTTCTGAAATCTGCCAAAGAAACCATTTTTAAACAGCGATCAGTGTAATAATGTGGAGTCCTGTAGCGCAGTGGTTAGAGCACTCGCTTTGCAAGTGAGAGACCTGAGTTCAATTCCAGGCAGAGGGCGAAACCTTGGGCAAGTTTCCTTACTCCACACAGAGCCTAATAATAATCCCTCCAAAACCAAAAACAATAATAAATTGGTCATTTTCAATCTACGACTGTTTGTGGGACATTGCTGTGTGCAATTGGCTGCCGCGTTCGCCCACAAATATACAGTCAATTCACTTTACAGTGTGTTCTGTGAAGCGCTTTGGGACGTCCTCCCGACGTGAAAAGCGCTATATCAAATGCAAGGATTTTTATTATTATTATAATAATCCTTGCATTTGATATGGCGCCTTATCACATCTTCGAGACGTCTCAAAGCACTTCACAGAATATACTGTAAAGTGAATTGATTGTATATTTTGTGGGCGAAATGCAGTAGCCAATTGCACACAGCAGTGTCCCACAAACAGCCGTGGATTGAGTGATCAAATTAGTATCAAATTATTTATTTATTATATTTGAAGGGATTATCCCGGTAGTTAGAGTTTCTTTAAAAGTTGTAAAATTATTTTTATTGCATTTCAATAATTGTCTTGAAAATGTTTGACAAAAATAATCATTTCACCCACAAAACACATAATCACACTTTACAGTATATCCTGTGAAGCGTTTTGAGACGTCTTGACAATGTGATAAGGCGGTGTATCAAATGCAAGAGCTATTATTATTATTATAATAATTAATAGAGCCAAAGCCAAAAAGGATTTCCACCCCATCCATCTGTGGCCAAGGTCAGGAATAAAGACAAAAGTGAATTGTCTTCATTATCAGAGCAGTTCCGTCCCTGACACCCATCCTATCAGTTCAGGAGCTGAAAGTCATTTGCACCCGAGTCTGTGTCAGCAGGTTTCTCCTTCACTGTTGAAATGATTTCCACTGGTCCTGAGTCAGCGACTGGACCGTATTTGAAAATAGCAAGAGAGCAAAAGGGGGGAGATTAGGATTAATTTACAGAGTTGTTAGGATGTGGAATGCTCTGCTGGGGGAAGGTAATGGAGGCAAGATCCACATATTAGCCTTCAAGATCTAGATGACTATCTAAATAGGGGTACAGGATGGGGAGGGCGTGAGGCCGATAAACGGGACTCAATGGATTGCTCTTTAAAGGACCAACAGACGCAATAGTCTGAAGGCCTTTGAAAATTTCAGTGGTTCCGTTGCCTGTTGATGTTTATTCTGATACACCTTCAGATTATTTGCTCACACTCAACAATGGGCAACATTTATTAAATATGAATAATAATAATCCTTACATTTGATACAGCACCCTTTATATCAGAGGGTGTCTCGAAGTGCTTCACAGGATATATTATGCTTCACAGGATATATTGTAGAGTGCAGTGACCATGGGCAAAATGTGGCAACCAATTTGCACCCAGAAATTCCCACAAACAGCCATGACTAATTTTATTTGTGGGATTGTTTGTTAGCCAGGACACCAAGAGAAACTCCCATCACTCTGGGAAAATTTCCTACTGGGCTGGATCAATCCATCAGTGCTGGAACTCATCAATTCAGATCTGAAGAGTACCATCATTATTAAACTGCATTGTAATCCTTTTGATTGTAGCTAACATTGGGCACCAGCATCAGGAAGTGCCAATATCTTCTGCTGATAGTAAACACTGTTACATTATTTCTCCTCTGTGTAGCTTAAGATGCTCTCCTATTGAATGGATGGATGTCTTTCGTCAAACATTTCTAGTCAACCATGTAATACTGCTTCAAAATACTCAAGTTGTAAAGTTTGAACAGCCTGGTGTTTTTTTTTATAAAACAAGCTAAGGACCCACAACTTAAACCTCCCTGTGCCCTCGAAGCAATGATTGCATGGATGCTGGCAGTCAAAATACTTCACCTATTGTTCAGTAGATCCCACAGCCCATTAACCTGGAGATATAGCTTTAACATCATATGAACCAGTACAAAAGGTCCCTGAATGGTTCAGTGGGTGAATGCAGTGATCGTCCAGGCATATCAGACTTGTCCAGATTGGGGCTTTGCTATTGCTACAATCCAGAATTGCAGTTCCATGTAAATAACCTCTACATTACCTTCCCCAAGAAAAGTCCAGAACAACATTTGAGCTTTCTGTCCAAGCAACGGAACATGTGCAACAGAGCAGTTACATTCCTGCCAGGAATTACCATAGAGCGCCATTATCCAGACTTATAATCCGGATAGACATCCAATAAAGATCCTCATCAGATTTCTTCACACTGTGGTCACTGGGTATCAAGGGCAAGACTAACTAACTAGGTAAACACAGGGACTCAGATGGAGTTCCAGAGCACGGGGGCTGAAAGCCCACCTGGCCGCTGAGCGAATGGTACTTGAAGCAGATTGAGCAATTCTGAATCCACATTGCCCTTGATACCCAGAGCCAAAAGTTTGTGGAGAAGCCTCTAATGAGGTACTTTGTCAAACGCCTTTGGAAGTCTAAGAAATTCATGGTATGAGAAACCAGAGAGTAGGACCAGAACTCAGCAGGACCTCTGGTATTAGACCATTGCTTTGATACCTGGTAAATCTCTGGTAAAATACACAACTTGCATTTCTAAAGCACCCCTCACGCAGGATAGCATCCTGGAGTGCTTGATGGTGGTGGAGCACAGCCCGAGGGGAGGGGACTGTAGGCACGATCAAAGAGGAAGGTCTTCAGGCACAACCTGAAGATGGGGAAGGAAGGGGCAAGATGGAGGGATAGAGGAAGAGCGTGTCAGAATTTAGGGTGTAGTGGCTGAAAGAGCCATTAATAATGATATTCCTTGCGTGTGATATAGCACTTTTCACGACTTCTAGATGTCTCAAAGCACTTCACAGAATATAAAGTGAATTGACTGTATATTTGTGGGCGAAACACGGCAGCAAAATGCGCACAGTAGCGTCCCACAAACAGTCATGGATTGAAATTACCAATTTATTATTTTTTTCCCCTTGAGGAATTATTATCAGGCGTGTGGAGTATGCAAACTTGCCCAAGGTTTCACCCTGCAGGGAATCCAACCCAAGTCTCCCGCTTGTGAGGCGAGTGCTCTAATTGCTGAGCTTTTGTGGAGTCCTGTAGCTCAGTGGTTAGAGCACTCGCTGTGCAAGCGAGAGACCTGAGTTCAATTCCAGGCAGAGGGGAAACCTCGGGCAAGTTTCCTTACTCCACACAGAGCCTAATAATAATCCCTCCAAAACCCAAAACAATAATAAATTGGTCATTTTCAATCTACGACTGTTTGTGGGACATTGCTGTGCGCAATTGGCTGCCGCGTTCGCCCACAAATATACAGTCAATTCACTTTACAGTGTGTTCTGTGAAGCGCTTTGGGACGTCCTCCCGACGTGAAAAGCGCTATATCAAATGCAAGGATTATTATTATTATTATTATTACAGGACATTGGTATGATATCTGGTATAACACATAGCACATACTGGGATGCAGTGGAGTCAGCCTCTTTCCAGAAAGCATTTGAAAAACAAGTTACAGAAGTTTTTTTTAACTGAACCAAATAGGAGAAGTTCACAGAAACCCTGCAGTGTCCTTTTGTAAAATGTTTTATTCCAACAGTTTGGTACAAAGAAAGTCTCAGATTCTGGGAGTCCTGAAGGCCATTCCCACAGACGGTTGTGTGACCTGCAAGTTGGACAAGCTGCCGAAGTCCTGCAAAAGAGACAAAGAATATTGAAACAAGATGAAAATACATTATACAGTGGTTCAGATCCATCAAATGCCAAGTCCCTCATAGCCATTCATCTCAGCTCCCGCCCTAAAGGGTCACCGCCAATGTCATTTCCTGTGCGTGGCACATGACAGGAAGTGAGACATTTTTAACCCAGGAGCCTGCGCGCATACAAGAATCGCGTCAGCCAGGAGAGGGCACGAGCCCACATACTATTCACGTCAGACATCAATCATTGCTGTACAAAGCGACACTGTATAACCAATAAAAAACAGATAGGTCATCGCCTCCTCCAGTCCTGGCCTGTTATGTTTTTAACCCTCAGCCTCCCTCAGTGCCACAAACACCATCACAGTAAAACACAACTCTTATCATCTGGCATTTTAGTAATGCGTCAAATTATGAAATTTAAGCTGTTCTTTGATGAGTTAAACAGCTCCAAACGTTAAGCAGACAGCATCAAAAAGGAAGCACTACAAAAAAAATCATCTACAAAACAATCAAGTAGCACGCAACCCGATGACACAAATTCTAGTCTGTACTGTGATCTAAAGCCTCTCCTGACAGCTTGCATGATAATGAGATGACTTGAAACGGTTGTGAAGCGAGTGGAAGACAGGGGCTATGGAGGAGCAGAAACACCAGTGCCGTGGCCACCAGTTGAGACACTTCATGTTCCAAACAGGCTCCAGCAGTGGGCTTTCTTGTTGTTCAATGATTTACCCTCATTTATAGCAAAATATAAGAACATAATTTTTTAGGCAAAAGAAGACCAAAGGTTCCATCTAGTTCACCTTTCACCATCCTGGCAGTCGCTTGACATGTCGTGTCCCAAACTATATAATGTATCCCCAGTTATTATTTCCTAACAGAAATCGATACCTAATGTGTTTTTGAAACAAAACAGAGCTTTTCCAAAACTAATTGAATTAAAACATATCAATGATCGGTGTCCACAACATTCCCAGCCAGAAACAAACCAGTAAAAAAATTTATGTAACATCACAAAAAGCCATTCAGTCCATGGTGTCAATGCTGCCTCTTAGGGCAATCAATTAATTTCCCTGTCCCAGTAAATGACTCATTTTAAGATATCCATCCAGTTTATCTTGAAAGCCAATACGGATCCTGCCCCAGGCACCACTTCCCAGGCCATTCCCCAGACTATCTACTCTGCATTAAACAAATCCTCCTAATCTCCCCTCTTGCTAACCATGAATTTCATCCATTCCAGTCACTGACTCACCAACCAGTGGAAACAATTTCTTCTCATCAACTATCAAAACTCCTTATATTTTAATGCTCACTCAGGTCTCTGTTGAAAAGGCCTGAATATAGGCCCAATTTCTCCACTTTCTGTTCATAGGACAAACCACTTGTCTCGGTGCCATCCTTCAGGTGAGATGTTAAACCAAGGACCGTCTGTCTGTTCACGTGGACATTAAAGATCCCATTGCACTATTCAAAAGAGAAGGGAGTTTCTCTCTTGGCAAGTTATCCTCCAGATACAATTGGTCACTCAATCCTTGGCTGTTTGTGGGATGTTGCTAAGTAGAAATGACTTTTGCCTACAAATACACAGTCACTACACTTCACATTAGAATCCCATGAAATGCTTTGAGACAACCCAACATGATAAGTCTTTAGCTCAAATGTAAGGATTCTTATTATCACCCTAGGCTCTATGGCCCTAACATCCTGCCTAAAGCAGGATGGAAAGTGACTCAACACTTGTCCTCGCCAGACTCCACCATCTCCCAGTAGGTTACAATGTCCTCATCCATAAATCCCTTTGCGCCATAGCACCTTCCTAACTCACTGATCTACGCTTACCCGCTCCTCTGCTCAGCTTGGTCTCATTCCCTCTCTATCTATCTTCAGCTCCTAACTTAAAACCCAACTCTTCACCCACGTCTATGGTCACCTTCCCCTACTTAGCATCCAACCCCATCATTGTAAAGCTCTCTAAGACATTATCCTACAAGGAGGCTGGTATATGAAAAGCAAACTGTGCGCAACTTTTCAATTTTTACCATTTAGCTTATACTTCCCTCTTCTTCTTCTTCACAGACCATATAACCTCACAGCTTTGTGTGTGGTTTAGTTTGATTTGTTCCCCAATCTCTGCTCAGTGAAAGCACAGATAATCCCAGAGCTTTTGTACAATACACGACTTTTATACCGAGAACTTGCAATAAAGGCAATTGTGCCTCTCTTGGTACATAAGAAATGCTGGACGAAAAAAAGGTCTATCTAGTCGCCTTCCACCTTCCCGGCAATCGGTTGCACATATATCTCAAACTACCTATGTACTATATCCCAAAATATTACTTCCTAAAAGAAAACTATCTAATCTGTGTTTGAAGGAATCAACACTTCCTACTTCAACAGTCTCACTCGGAAGCCTATTCCACAGGTTTAACTATTACTACTGATAACCGAATAAACCATCAGAAACCTTTCCAATAGTAAGTAAATCAGCAGCTACCGTACAGTGAATCTTTAATCTCCTGACTCGCAATATAAATTGGGAATTGGATTGGTACTTAAAAAGGAAAAATTTACAGGGTTACGAGGTAAGGGCGGGGGAGTGGTACTAGTTGTTTAGCTCTTTCAAAGAGCCAGGCTGAATGGTCTCCTTCATTGCTGTAAAAGTCTATGATAAGAGGAGCAATATTACAATCACATTTTATTTAAAGATTCACAGCTCTTAAGCGTCACAGGACCATCATTAGCCTCAGTAGATCACTGAAAAGTCCACATCCTCCACTTATGGTAGCATCCCACACAAGCAGACTTTTCTGTGTAACTCTCACACTGCTGTTACTCACCAACAACTTCAACATCTCCTTGGTATCGGGATCCACCTCAATGATCTCCTGATCCAGAGCAGAGACCTGAAAACAAACAGAAAATAATCAAACTCTGAACAGACCATCAAATCCAATCAATTCATCAGACTCACAGCCACTGGTCGGTAACAGTGCCTAATGACAATTGACAGCTCTGTGTGGACTTTTAAACTATAGATTCATAAATTTATGTACTCATAGGAAGTACATGTCAGAAAAAGGCTATTTGGCCCTTCCAGTCCATTTATACTCCACACAAGGCCCATCCTAGATCCTATCTCTAGTCTCGTAGGTCAGGTTTCTCCCCATATCCCTCAACTTAATGCTTTTTTTAACCATGTCTTTTATTTAAGTGCACGTGGTTGTCGCCCCAACAACCAACTGTCAGAGAATTCCTCGCTCTCACCCTCTCTCTCTGTGTGAATGTTCCTCCTATTCTCCGGTCTGGACCTCCAGGTTCTGATATCAAAACTTGACCCTCAAGTTCTAGACTCACCGACTCAAGAAATTACCTTTCCCTGTCCACCGTGTCTAACCCTCCCATCGATCATCTTACACACCTCTATCACAAACCCGCCCCCCTCAGCCTTGCTAGTATGGTAAACGAAGTTCAAACAGCAGGACATATAAAAACTTTCATCGTGAAATAGTCCAAACCTAGTTATCTCCCAGCCCAGCCTAATCCAAGGTTACCATCAAATTTAGTAATCCCCCACTCCCCCAACTTTTCAACACAGTTAGAGAGGCAATCCACACATGTGCACTCCTGACAACCTGCACATTAGGATGATAGGATACATTAGGGGACAAGTGTTTGAGGTAAACCCACCTCTGGGACGTAGTTATCCCTCCTCTCTCGCTCCTCTTCTTGCAGTTTGATGGAGATACCTCTGACAGGCCCACGCTGGATACGTTTCATTAAGTGCGTCACGTACCTGAGTAAATCACAAACATTGGTCACCTCACACACCTCAGTGATCCCATCACCTGGGCCAATTTAGCCATGATACCTGCACACAATACTAGATTCGAGCCTTCTGCCACTTTGCGCCCACCCTCTGGAACTCTCATCCCACAGTCCCTCTGTCTCCCCCCTCCCTCGCTATCTTCAAGACCCATCTCAAGACCCTCCTCTTCGACCGTGCTTTCGATTTCCCTGCCATCCTCCCCCACCCCAACCCTCAGCTCGGGTCAGTAACTCTGTCTGTTCAGCACCTTGGTACGTCCTTCCAATATGAAAGGCACTTTATAAATGTAATTTTGTTGTTATAATATAATAATAATAATCCTTGCATTTGATATAGCGCTTTTCACGTCGGGAGGACGCCCCAAAGCGCTTCACAGAAAACACTGTAAAGTGAATTGGCTGTATATTTTTGTGGGCGAACGCGGCAGCCAATTGCGTACAGCAGTTTCCCACAAACAGTCGTGGATTGAAAATGACCAATTTATTATTGTTTTGTTTTGGAGGGATTATTATTAGGCTCTGCGTGGAGTAAGGAAACTTGCCCAAGGTTTCGCCCTCTGCCTGGAATTGAACTCAGGTCTCTCACTTGCAAAGCGAGTGCTCTAACCACTGAGCTACAGGACTCCACTTGTTGTTGTAGTAGATAGTGTCTTCCAACTTAGTTACACAACTAGCATGAGTTAGGAGTTTCAACCCAGCTATAAACTCAATTACTTCCAAGTTCCATTGAAATTTTTAAATTCATCGGTTATATTTGATGTTATGTCTCAGAGAAGACTTTGTACATTTTTAATCCTACAAGTGTACAGCCTCTCTTCACCTCAATCCTATAGGGATACAAATCCAATGTCAAAACAGGTAAATAAATAGCCTTGCATATTTAATACAGCAGTTTTCATGTCAGAAGGACATCTCAAAGCAATTCATGATTACTATAAAGTGTAATGACTGCTCATTTTGTAGGCAAACATAGTAGTCAATCTATACATAGCAATGTCCTACAGCTAGCCATGACGTGAATGCCCAGGAGCATCTACCTTCTCTTTTTCAGTTGTGCCATGGGATCTTCAATGTCCACATGAACAGGTAGATAGAACCTCAAACGCCTCATCCAAAAGCAGCGCTTTGAGCAAATACAGCAGACGCTCCGCATTACAGCCTAGATTATGTGAGTTCAGGGTTTCCGATTCGAAGCTTGAACCCACAATCTATGACTCAAGAGACAAAAGTATCACCAAGTGAGCCAGGCTGACTACCACCCAAAGAAGGTACAGCATATAGGCATAATGGAAGACATATGCATTCCATGGTTGGTTTTGAACTTCCAAGGGGAAAGCTGAAAGATCTAACTGACTCCTCCTTCACTGTGTCAAAACAGTGTGGGACTGCAAAACAACCACTGAGCTACAGGACACCATAAGAATGGTAACGGGTTTCCACGAGTCGGACACTCGGCTGACCCAAAAAAGCGTTTCTGACGAAGATCAAAGTGTTCCGCTAATAAAGTAGGTGCGTACGCTAATTTCACAGCTTACCCTGCGATCTTGTTGCGGAGTCTCTTGCTGGGGATGATGGCGATCTCTTCACACACCCTCTTGTTTGTGTGAAAGTCATTGCCAAGCCGGGTATAGTATTTCTCGATGATCACCCGAGCGGCTTTCTTGACGGTCTTAGTCCTGACACGACCCTGGAAGCAGATTGCAGAGCAGTTTTACAAACCCGGCATGGGTTGCACGCAAGACTTCAATGGTGTAATGATAGAATACAGAGAGTACAGCTCCCGAACAGGCCCTACTGCCCACCCAGTCCAACCGGTGTATACTCCACGGGAGTGAATAAAGGATCAAGACACACTTTGCATGCAGTGGAAATCCAGAATTCTCTCCCCCAAGGGCTGTGGTGCTGGATTGTTCAGAATGAGGTGGATAGATATTTGTCAGAACAGGGTATCAAAGGATCATAGAATTATACATCACAGAAAGAGGTCATTCAGCCCTTGTGTCTGTGACGGCTCTTTGAAAAGAGCTTCTAAATCAACCCCACTCCCCCACACTCTCCCCATAGCCCTGATCAACCCCACTCCCCCGTTCTCTCCCCATAGCCCTGCAAACTTGTCCTCCCCAAATAATTATCTACTCTCTCAAAAGTTGTTATTGAATGGAATATGGACACGCAGCAAAGGCGGGTAATTGGACTTGAGGTACAGATCAGCTATGATCTTATAGAATGGCAGAACAGGCTCAAGGGGCTGAAAGGCCTCTTCCTGTTCTCAACAATAACATTTCATTTATAGAGCGCCTTTTATGTCGAGAGGACGTCCCAAGCCGCTGGACAGTTGGGTCGGGACCCGAGCATTGGGGGGAAATGGTCAGGGGGAGGGGGCGAGGAGGGAGGGAAATGGTCAGGGTGAGGGGAGGGAGGGAGCGAGGAGGGGGGAAATGGTCAGGGTGAGGGGTGGGAAGGGAGGGAGCGAGGAGGGGGTAGAGAGTCGAGAGCGGAGCTGAAGGCACAGTCAAAGAGGAAGGTCTTGAGACCGGCCTTGAAGGAGGAAAGGGAGGAGGCGGCGAAGGCACTGGGGATAGAGTTCCAGAGCCTCGGGGCTGAGAGGCTGAAGGCCACCGATGGTAGGACTGTTGGGGCGGGGGATGTGGAGCAGACCGGAGCCAGAGGGACGGAGGGTACGGGCAGGTACGTGGGGGGATAGTAGGTTGGAGAGATAGGAGGGAGCGAGTTAAGTTAAGTTCTCGTGTGTTAAGATGCCATGAATTACTCCGAGAGTGAATGAAGTATAAAATCCTCATTTGCAGCATTAAACAGCAGAAGCTCCGGGCACCACAGGACCTGGTCGCTGAGCTCTGACGGGGTGGAGGTGGATGGGGGCCACGGCTCCTGGTCCTGCTGGAGGCCAGAACCTCACAAACCCCGGGGATCACTTCTCTCGGTGTGTGTGTGGGGGGGGAGGGGCTGCCAACACAGAGCCAAAGGCCTCGGCCTCACACACCGCAGACCTTCCGCCCTCAGGAGCAGAGCCGCCCGCGCCCTACGCGAGTGTCCCGACTCCGGCACCAGGAGGCCCGGCGTCCGCAGCCGCGCCCCTGCGCTGGTCCCCGCGGCAGTACCGGCGGCCAAGGCCCCCCCGCGGGCTGTCGCGGTGTCCGGGGGGAGCGGGGACGGCCGCCGGGGGCCGGATGGCGGCAGATTGCACGGCGCCGCGGTCCCGCTCTCACCCACCATCTTGGAGTCCAGCAGCTGGAAGAGAGCGAGGGATTGTGGGAGAGCGATACGAGGACCCCGAGCGGAGAGCTGCCCTCTGCACTGCCTGATTGGGCGGTTTGTGCGGGTTTCACTCCCAATTGGGCGGGTTTGTGTTTCCCTGTGTGTGTGTGTGTGTGTGTGTGGAAAACAGCTTTGGCCTAATTTTTGAAATGTTTCAATTTAAACCCAACAAATATGTCTCCCCTTTTCTTACATAGGTTTCGTAAGCACTGACCCTAAACTGACCACTCTCTACTGCCCACCACAGTCAGCACACAATATTGGGCGACTTTGGGGCTCGTGTCCGGTTGGCAATTTTAATTTTAATTTCTGCCCATTCCACACTGTGGCTCACATGTTGTTCTCTCACCTCTGAGTCAGAAAGTTATGGGTTCGAGCCCCACATGTCAGGGTCTTTGAGCTCGTAGTCTGAGCAGACGCTCCAATGCAGCGCTGGGGGGCGGTTGCATTGTCAAGAGGTGCCGTCCTTGGGATGAGACGTTATACCAACCTCCCGTCTGCCTGTTCAGGTGGACATTACAGATCCCATGGCATTATTCAAAAAGAGAAGGGAGGTTCTCTCTCTCACTGCATTTATAATAACCCTTGCATTTATTTAATACCTTATCATGCCGTGGAGATGTCTCAAAGAGCTTCACAACATGTACTGTAAAGTGATGTGACTGTATGTTGTGGGCAAAATCTTCTGACTCACGAGACGAGAGTGTTACCACTAACAGTCCTCTCCTTTTCAATATCTACACGTTCCCAGTTAGCAATGGGGTCATCCACAGGCATGAGGTTAATGTGGCAGCCAGTAAATCCTGTGAAGCGCTTTGAGATGTTCCAAAGTGGATGTTCAAATCCAAGGAAAGGATAATTACTACTCATAATTGTTGTTAAAGAGGAAGCTGGAGAGTCTGATCCAGCGGTGAGGGAAGAAACAACGTGCAATGGAATTGTAATTCCATGGTTTTATTTTTCAACATAGCAAATGGGAAACAAAATAGCCTGGCAAACAAACACACCTGTTAGTTCTAACTGGACTAAAGGATACATGCAGTGAAAGCCAAAATAATTCTCTTATAGTTTTGAATCCATTTTGTATTTTCCAAGAAATTGCTGGGATTTGTTTATATCTGTGGTTTTTAATAAAGAACTTTGGGGAAGATTTATTTGTGTCAGTTTGTTAGTGAAAATTGTTTATTAGTCACCATTGTTATCAGGTACCTACAGAAATCCCCAGTCAACGGGTAAAGACAACAACAACTTGCATTATGTAGTACCCTTCATGCCAGACGGCATTTCAGAATGCTTAAGGCACCAGAGAAGGAAACTTTTCGGATGCTGCTTTGAGCAATTGGCTGCAGCGTTTTGCAGACAAAATATAGTTAATTCACTTTACAGTATATTCTGTAAAGTACTTTGAGACATCTGAATGTGTCAGAAAATGTTGACATGTATTAGAACAAGCTGGCTGATCCGGAGTGAGTTATGCAGGATGGTTATGTGCTGGCTGTTCGTGGCTTGAGTTACATTGACTTCACTCCTCAGTGCTGCTGTCCTCAGTGTTCTTCTCTTCCTGCTCACTCCCAGAGCTTTCTCCACTCACCGTCCGCTCCTCCTCTCCCATGCAGATTTTCTTCTTCTTACTCTCCTGAGGAAAATAGAAACATAGAAACAGGAGGCCATTCAGCTCCTCAAGCCTGTTCACCATTCTATAAGATCATGGCTGATCTGTACCTCAAGTCCAATTACTTGCCCCGTATCCCTTGATACCCTGACCTAGCAAATATCTATCCAACTCAGTCTTGACAATGTAAATGGATCCAGCCATAATCCGCAGCCTTTTGGGGGAGAAAGTTCCAGATTTCCACTACACTTTGGGTGAAAAACTGCCCCTGATTTCATTCCTAAATGGCCCGGCTCTAATTTTAGGATTATGCCCCCTTGTTCTGGATTCCCTCATCAGAGGAAATAGTTTCTCTGATGATTAGATGATTAAATAAAGTATGGAATTTACGGGTTTTGTGTATGTTGGTTGATTATGCTTTTTGGACTGTTAGGAAAACTAGGGGGTATTACACATCACAAGAGACTCAGTAGTTTGGGTTGGAGAATCGATGGGTTTCCATAGCTGTCAGACGCCCGGCTGATCAAACATAAAATAGCTGCAGGTAGGAGGTCAGTGAGCTAGAACATTGCCGAATGGCTGAATTAGTCACAATGATACGGACACCAATCTAGTTGAAAGTAAACATCTTAAACTACCTTCAGCATAAGTATTAGCAGCACTCAGTACATTATTGAAAGAATTAAAGTAATAATAATTCTTGCATTTGATATAGCATCTTATCACATCTCAAAGCGCTTCACAGAATATACTGCAAAATGAATTGACTGTACATTTTGTGAGCAAAACACAGCAGCCAATTGCGCACAGCAGTGTCTCACAAACAGTCGTAGATTGAGTGACTTTTTTAAATTATTTATTTGAAGGGATTATTACCCCTGGAAAAGTGATCCGCCAATCGACTAACAACCAGGTTCCTACTTACTGCTGGGTAAACAGAGACGTGTGGAGTGAGGAAACTTGCCCAATTGTTTGCTCTGCGGGAATCAAACGTTTTACGAGGCAAGTGCTCTAACCACTAAGCTACATGACTCCTTGAAGGATAAAGGATGCTAAGCTGTGGTTCAGTCAAAAGGATCTGATGATGTTGAAAAGCTTGAAAGGATCTCGTTGAACGTGTTATAAGATCTCTTTGATTCAGTTACTCTTCTGCTACCTCACTGACAGCCTTTTATTGTCCTCCTTATAACGCTGTCTCGCTGTCTCTGTGACCCTGGCATTGGGCTCACTCTGCTCTGTGTGGGACGAACATGAGGTCACGGAAACTACACTCGATCTTATAGCTCTCCCATCTGCCACCCAGTAATGGATCAGTCAGGTAGCTGACTCCTTCCTCGTTTAGTCAGTAACCCTCGGCTCCAACCCTTCTGTAGCACAGCAGGTTTGGATCATATGGCCATTCCCATTGCTCAACAACATAGAATATTACAGCACAGAAGGAGGCCATTCGGCCCATCGTGCCTGTGTCGGCTGTTTGGAAGAGCTGCCCAATCATCCCCACTCCCCCACTCCTTCCCCAAATCCTTGCAAGTTTTTCCTTTTCAAGAACCTATCCAAATCCCTTTTGAAAGTTGTTTTTGAATTAGTTTCCACCCTTTCAGCTTACATGACCTCACTCTTTACCCAGAGGGAGCTTTCTCAGCTCTGACTCAGAGGGTCCCCACACATATCCCTGAAATTCACTCCTTTTTAGATGTTTATCTAGTTCCCTTTTGAATAATAATAATAATCCTTGCATTTGATATTTCGCATTATCACGTCTTCGAGGTATCTCAAAGCGCTTCATGGAATATACTGTAAATGGAATTGACTGTATACGAAACACAAAGTATATCCCGTGAAGCCTTTTCAGACGTCTCGATGACCTGATAAGGCGCTATATCAAATGCAGGGATTATTATTATTATTATTTGAGCTCACAGTCTAGACTAACTCTCCAGTGCAGTGCTGGGTGGGGCTGAAGTACATTATAGGCAGTGTTATCAAACGCAAGGATTATTATTAGGCAGAGGCCATGAGGAGCAGTGATTCCCCTCCTCCTCCACTGCCCCTTTTACCTGCTGGGCTTGGGGTCTGCGGGGGTATCGGCCGATGTCACTCCGCAGTCTCTGGACTCTCTCCCACTCCCCCCGCAGCCTGGCCTGGCTGTACTCGGACTCACAGGCCACAATGCGCTGCAGAGTGGCTTGGTTTTCCTGTGAGATCCGCGCTTGCTCTCTCTGCCGCTTCTCCACATTCAGACTCAAACAAGAAACAGACGAGGTATCAAACCAGATCAAACCAGACATCAGATACAGGCATTAACAGCACAGTTCCTCTATTCAAGAACGAGCCTGACACTTACATCATCTCACCCCCTTCACCCCCTCTTGGTACTTTGTGTGTCAGCCTGGCGCAGTGGTAGCGCTCTCACTCTCTTATTTTTTTGAAGGGATTGTTACCCCCGGAAAAGCAATCGACCAATCAACTAACATGCATGTTCCTACTCATTGCTGGGTACTCAGAGGTGTGTGTGTGTAATAAGGAAACTTGTGCAATGTTTCGCCCTGACCCGCCTGGGAATTGAACCCAGGACCTCTCGCTTGCGAGGCGAGCGCTCTAACCACTGAGCTGCAGGACTCCACATTGTGTTTCCTGCGGAGGGCAGTCTCTGTACCTTTTACACGAGTAGCTGTTCCAGTTCTGCACCGTCCCCTTGGAGTTCACTATGTCGGCCAGTTTGGACGAAAGGATCTGATTATCTCTCGTTATTTGGGCCAAACGCTCCTCCTCTAGCTGAGGAGAGGACAGAGAGGCATTAGCTGCAGGCAGCTGTATCTCCTGAAGGTTTATTGTTGTTGAGTTTCCCGTTAAATGAAAACTTGATAATTGGTTAACACTTGCCAACTTATTTACAAGCAAAATATAGCAGGTTTTTGGCTGCACTGTTGGTCATCTTCACCTCCTCACCCCTGCACCGGGTCCCAGCCAGCTGTGTGAAGCACCACCTGATGTGAAAGGCGCTAAATAATAATTGTAGTAACTAGTTCACCTTAATAGGATATAGTAGTGTGTCAGTTTGTCAGCCCGGCTCAGTATGTGTGTCAGCCCGTGGTGGGCGGGCCATCAGCCACTCTGCCCCCACCCTCTTGAACTCCATCCCGCAGTTCCTCCACCTCACCCCCTCCCTTGCCTCCTTCAAGACCTGTCTCAAGTCTCTCCTTTTTGACCGTGTCTTCGGTTACCCTCCTTCCCACCCTTGTCCTCCACCTTCCCCAATCCCAATCCCAGCTCGGGTCCAAAACTCTGATTGTCCAGCACCTTGGGACATCTTCCTGATGTGAAAGGTGCTTTACAAATGTAAAACAAAAACAGAAGTCACTGGGAACACTCAGGGGACCTGTCCACTACCCCATTTTCTCCTTTGTCTTCCTTGCCTCCCCCTCTCTGTGAGTCCTTAAAAGCCTCTCCCTCCCAACATGCCTCAGTTCTGACGAAAGGTCGTGGACCTGAAACATTGACTCACATTTATTTCTCTATAGATGCTGCCTGACCTGCTGAGGGTTCCCAGCGACTTCTGTTTTTGTTTCAGATTTCCAACATCTGCAGTTTTTTGTGTTTTGGCCATATAATTGTAATTTTGTTGTTGTTGTTGTTGAGTCAGAAGGTTGTGGGTTCAAATCCCACACTGGGACATGGTCTAAGCTGACACTCCAATGCAGTGCTGGGGGGTGTTGTATTGTTGGAGGTGCCATCCTTCAATCGAGGCCTTAAATTAAGATCCTGTTTGATGTTCAGGTGGATGTTAAAGATCCTGTGGCGCTGTTGGAAAAGAGAAGCCAACAATCCACCAGATAAAATTGGCCACTCACTCACATGACTGTTCGTGGAACACTGCTGTGTTCAATTGTGCTGCTGCGTTTCACCTACAAATTACCAGTCACTTCATTTCACAGTGAATCCTGCGAAGTGCTTTGAGATGTCTTTCTGACGTGATAAGCCGCCCACCCATAAGCAAGCATTATTAGTATTATTGCTCTGCCTATGACAGGAGCTGCTGATAGCGAGAGTGCAGATACCATTGTGGCTAGATTTGAATATTGGCAATAAATGTATCGTGGAATCATAGAATCATACAGCACAGAAGGAGGCCTTTCGGCCCATCGTGTCTGTGCCGATTACATAGGTCACAGGGCCAAGGGTGGACTCCTGTAGAACTCTCTGTCAATATGTCGGCTTCACAATAATAATAACTTGCATTTGTTCTCCCCCTTTCATGTAAAAATAATCACCTCAAATTGCTTTCCAAATTCTTGATTGGATGTGAAGTGATTGTTGTTACAGAGACAAACACAGCAGCTAATCTACACAACAACAACAACTTGCATTTACACAGCGCCCTTCACGTGAGGTAGCGTCCCGGAGCGCTTGACAGTGGAAGAGTCTGACCCTGAGCCAGGGGGAGAGGGAGGGGGAGGTAACTGTAAGCACGATCAAAAAGGAAGGTCTAGGTGGAATTTGAAGGTGGGGAGTGAGGGGGGGGTGAGGCGGAGGGATTGAGGGAAAGTGTCAGAGTTTCAGGGCGCAGTGGCTGAAGGCAGCCACCGATGGTGGAGCGGAGGGGACACAGGATGAACAGGAGGCTGGAGCCAGCCGAGCGGAGGCAGCGAGTGGGGGAGTGGAGGGTGAGCAGGTCGGAGAGGTAGGGAGGTGCCAGGGCATAAAGGGATTTAAAACGAGGGAGAGGATCGTAGCAAGGAGACAAGTTGCCCAATTCATTTGAATTTGGGGGAAATTTGGATGGGAGAGAAATATAAACCAGGGAAACTGGGATAAAAGACTACACGTGTCTCTAACATAGTGATATGTAACAGCTTGAAATACAGTGTCTAAACATTACGTAGTTAACCATTCCATTCCCTGGGGAGACAGACAGACGCTGGAAGCAGAAAATGTCTGTTTCAAGAACAAATGAGATCGATTTGTGCTCAAAAATAATATCTGGGGACAAAGTATATAGTTTGGGACATGACACGTCAGTAACTGCCAGGACGCTGGAAGGTGAACTGTATGGACCTTGGGCTTCTCTTGCCAGCAAATTCTTATGTTCCTTTAAGATCAGTGCAAAATGAGAGATTCCCTCTCCATAATGTGGAATGAGGTGTGGGTACTAGACAGCGCGAAGTCTAGGGTATAACTAACTGCTGTGGATGGGGTACAACAGCCTGTATTTAAGCTCCAAGCCGCTACCCTGTGTGAAGGTGCTGTATAAATGCAAGTTGTTGTTGTTGCTGCTGCTGCATTTCCTGGGATGGGAGGACCGAGGCTGTCATGTTACCTGTAGTTTTTTGAGTTTGACTTGGAGATGGGCAGGCATCTGAGGGCCAGTTGTGTCCACCGTAGGAGTGGCTTTCTGCACCTAGAGAAACAAGACACTTGCAATCTGATGGCTCTACATAATTTGCAATAAAGGTAGAGTTTAGAAACATAGGAACAGGAGGAGGCCATTCAACCCCTCGTTTATTGTTCCACCATTCTACAAGATCATGGCTGATCTGTACCTCAAGTCCAATTACCCGCCCATACCCCTTTTCCTTGATACCCTGACCTAATAAACATCTATCCACCTCAGTTATACAGCACAGAATCTCAGAATCCCATCTGGCCCCTCGTGTCTGTGCTTTTCCTTTCAGTCTCACTTACCTGTTTGCCTCCTCACCTCCGCGCACATCCTTGTAATTCATTCCTTTTTAGATGGTCATCTAGTTCCCTTTGGAGTAACAGTAATAATAATCCTTGCATTTGATACAGCGCCTTATCAAGTTGTTCAGATGCCTCAAAGCGCTTCACAGAATATACTGTAAAGTGAATTGACTGTATATTTTGTGGACGAAATGCGGCAGCCAATTGCGCACAGTAGCATCCCACAAACAGACGTGGATTGAGTGACCAAATTATTATCATATTTTTAAAATTTATTTTATTGAAGGTATTATTACGCCCAGAAAAGCGATCCATCAATCGACTAACAACCGGGTTCCTACTTACTACTGGTAAACAGAGATGTGTGGAGTGAGGAAACTTCCCAGGAATCAAACCCAGGTCCTCTCGCTTGCGAGGCGAGTGCTCTAACCACTGAGCTACAGGACATTACAATGCTTCTTAAGGCTCCTGTTGGCAAAGGTTTACAATTTCCTCTGCCCTCGTATTACTGAGCAGCCAGCATTGATATGCAGTCTGTTTGTGCTTTTCTCTGGCTGTGTTAGTGTGAAGCTTGGATGGGTTTCCCTGCAGTCTGTGAATGTTAGAAGAAACATAACATTATAGATAGTGATAATAATATTAGTTTATGCACCAAAACTTTTTTGGGGGGTCAACCAGCTGTCTTTTGCAGAAGGAAACCCATCACCATGTGTATCAGAATCCAAATCAGACTGAGAATTCCACTTATGTCTTTATTGCCGTTAAGGAACAGGAACACGGAGACCACCACAGAGAGTTGACTAGATTCCAACATTCCGTTGCTAAGCACGTTACCTCGGCACAGCTCAGCTCCAAGGAGACCCCCCCGCTCACCTCAACAGCCAGGATAGTCACCCGTTGGTCATTTGACATCTGATAAGCGCAGGTTTGACTCTCACGTCTTAAAGCCATGACCTTTGTCCTGTGAAGCCCTGTAGCTCAGTGGTTAGAGCTTTCGCCTCGCAAGTGAGAGGGCCTGGGTTCAATTCCCGGGCAGGGCGAAACGTTGGGGAAGTTTCCTTACTCCACTCACACACCGCTGTTTACCAGCAGTAAGTAGGAACCCGGTAGGTTACCGATTAGCAGATCGCTTTTCCAGGGGTAATAATCCCATTAAATAAATAAATAAATAAATAGGTCAATCAATCCTTTTACTGGGAATCAAAGGGAACGACAATCACCAGTGCGAGAAAAGAGGGCCATCATTCATGGAAACAAGGGAAAATGCAAGTGAGAGAGGGGGGGGAGTGAGTCTCTTGGGGGGAATGAGGGCAAGTCCCAGAGCGCTTGATAGGGCGGAGCACGACCCCGAGCCAGGGGGAGGGGGAGGTGAACGTAGGCACGGTCGAAGAAGAAGGTCTTCAGGCGCGACCTGAAGATGGAGAAGGAGGGGGCGAGGTGGACGGATAGAGGAAGAGTGTTCCAGAGTTTCGGGACGGAGTAGATGAACGTGCGAGTACAACACTGATCATTGTGCGGACAACACAAAGTTAGGGAGGGGGTAAACAGTGAGAAGGATAGGAGCCGACTGCAGGAAGACATAGACAGATGGTAAAATGGGCGACACATGGCAGATGAGTTTCAATGTGGAGAAATGCAAAGTAATGCATTTTGGTAGAAAGAATGAGGGGAGCAATATAGGCGGTAATACAATCTTAAGGGGGTAAAAGAACAGAGAGACCTGGGGGTGCAGGTAAATGAATCCTTGAAGGTGGCAGGACAGGTAGATACAGCTGTAAAAAGGGCATATGGGATACTGGGCTTTATAAATAGGGGCATAGAGTACAAGAGTCAGGAGGTGATGATTAACCCATATAAACACTGGTTAGGCCTCAGTTAGAATACTGCGCCCAGTTCTGGGCACCGCACTATAGGAAGGATGTTAAGGCATTGGAAAGGGTACAGAGGAGATTTACGAGGATGGTACCAGGAATGAGGGACCGTGATGATGAGGAAAGGCTGGAGAGGGGAGGATTATTCTCATTGGAGCAGAGAAGGTTATGAGGAAACCTAATAGAGGTCTTCAAAATCATGAGGGGATTTGATAGGTTAAAAAGGGAAAACTGTTCCCACTGGTGTGTGTGTCGGTGACTCGAGGTCACAGATTCAAAACAGTCTCTAAAAGAAGCCGAGGGGAGGGGAGAAGACATTTTTTCACGCAGCGAGTTGTTTGAATCTGGAACTCAGTGCCTGAAAGGGCGGTCGAGGCCGATTCGATAACTACTTTTAATAACGCGGTGGACGGGTATTTGAGGAGGACGGGTTTGCAGGTTATGGGGAAAGGGCTGGGAGTGGGATTGAGATTACATTGCTCTTCTCAAAGAGCCGCACAAACTCGATGGGCCGAATGGCCTCCCTTTGTGCTGTATGATTCTATGATTCTATGATAAAGAAGCCTTTTTGCTCAGTGTTATGACTGTATGTTCAAGCGCTCTGGGACGCTACCCTGCGTGAAGGGAGCTATTTGGGATGTCCTCTCGACATGAAAGACCCTATAGAAATGTAATTTTATTGTTGTATATAAATGCAAGTTGTTTTTAGTAGGTGACTGATTCTTACTTGCTCTCTGAGTCTCTGTCTTTAAGTCATTAGCTTAACAATAATAACAACCCATCTTCTATCAAGCTAAATATTCCACAGTGAACAGAAGTCATACAATTCACAGAACACACACACACACACATACACGTGCGATTAATAAAATGATAAAGAAAAACTTTAAATTAGGCAAAGTAACTATTCTCACTCTGTAATCGCAGCTGGACAGAGCTTAACTACAACATACTCAGTGACTACACATTATTGTAAACAAAAGGCAAAGTACTGTAGATGCTGGAAATCTGAAATAAAAACAGAAGTGGCTGGGAACACTCAGCGGGTCAGGCAACATCTATGGAGAGAGGAAAGTGGGTTAACGTTTCAGGCGGATTACTTTTCATTAGAACCCCTAGGACTCATTAACAGGACAATTCACCTGCGTTCTGACGAAAGGTCACCTGAATCGACTGAAACTTTTACTCACTTTCCTCCCTCCATAGATGCCGCCTGACCAGCAGAGTGTTCCCAGCCACTTCTGTTTTTATTACACTCTAAAGTAAAGCGCTTTGAGACGTCCTCCCGGTGTGACAGGCGCCTTATCAAACAAACGTGAGGAATATTTTTGGTGAATGAAACACCAGATAACCTTGCTCTTGTGTTGCTGGTAATCCGCCTGGTCCCATCTCTGCTGCAGATACCTATTGCAGGTCGGTACCGCGGGCTGGTAAGATCGGTGCATGTTACCCTGTCCGTGTCTCAGAGATATGAGCATTCAGCTGACAAGCAGCTCAGAACAGAACTGTGCTGCCCAGTGCAACCAACACCACCACACACTGAGCCATTCCTTACTGGGTCCTAGTGCTTCAGCCTTAGCACATAAAGATCACTTAGCACTTTAATGTCTTGACTTTATTCTATTCCATTTATACACACAGAGAAAGACACACCTGTCAAAAACAAACACTCATGCGCACACACTCACACACACACACGCTCACACGCTCATGCACACAAGCTCACACACATGAACTCACACACATACACATGAACTCACACACACACTCACACACACACATGAACTCACACACACACACATGCTCACACACAAGTTTCTTTACGGGGTCAAATTCTGTTAAATAATAATCCTTGAGTTTGATATATGTCTCAAACTGCTTCACTCCTGTAAAGTGTGTATTTTGTAGGTGAATAAGGCACACAACAATATCCCACAAACAGCCATGGAGTGAGTGACCGGTTTTATTTGGGGGATTTATTTGGCCAGAACACTGTAAGAGAGAGAGAGAAACTCCATTCTCTTTTCCAATAGCCCCGCGGGATCTTTAACATCCACCTGAACAGGCAGACGGGACCTCGGTTTCACGTCTCATCTGAAGGACGGCACCTCTCACAATGCAGCTCTCCCCCAGCAGTGCATTTGAACAGCTGCTTAGACAATATGGGCTTGAACCCACAACCTTTGATACACTGTCGGGAGAACGTCTCAAACTGCTTCGATACTGTAAAGTGTCCGGGATTGACTGACAGTGACGGGGAGTGACTGTGAGTATCTGTGAGTGGCTGACAGTGAGCATGAGTGACTGGGAGATGCTGAGAGCAACTATGATTGACAAAGGCGGCACTGGGACACAGAGGCAATGGCTGGAGTCACTGCCTGAGGGCTGGTGTCGGAGGCAGTTATTGCATGGAGTAGGGCTGTGTTACTATGGGATTTGCTGGTCACAGTTTCTTGTGTGTTAATAAATTATCTCACTTGGTTACAGATTAACACAAAGACACTGAGGCTGCTGCTCACCAGCCTGGCTCCTGACACCATCCAGGCCTGTCTCTGTCACTGACAACAACAACAACAAGATTGCACTTGTGGAGCGGCTTTCACGTCGGGAGGACGTCCCAAGGCGCTGGATAGTGACAGCATTTCAGATTTGAGCTGGAGTCAGGGGGTAGAAGGGAGGGGAGAGGAAGGGGGGTGGCCGATGGCATGGTCGAAGAGGAGGGTTTTGAGGCGGGACTTGAAGGAGGCTAAGGAGGGGGGGTGAGGCGGAGTGACTGGAGGATGGAATTCCAGAGGTTGGGGGCAGAGTGGCTGAAGACTCTCCCGCCAATGGTGGGGCGGGTGGGTCGGGGGAGGTGGAGCAGGGCAAGGGCTGGTTGAGCAGAGGGAGCGGGCGGGTTGGTAGGGGGTTAGGAGGTCGCAGAGGTAGGGTGGTGTGAGGCCATGGAGGGCTATGAACAAGAGTTTCAGCGCCTGAGGGATGAGGTAGTGGCGGAGTCGGGTGATGTTACAGAGGTGAGGGAAGGCAGAGCGGGTCATGGCTTGAATGTGGGGAGAAAAGACAGTTGAGGATTGAACAAGACACCTCGGTTCCTGACTAGTTGGTGAGTTATAGTGTGTAACCATGGAGGTTGATGTTGCCAGAGCCTGAGGTGCGGAGGCGCTGTTGTGAGCCAATCAGGAGGGCCTCAGTTTTGTTCACATTCAACTATAGGAAATTTGCCCTCATCCAGGACTTGATATCCGACAGACAGTCTGTCAGGACAGCAGTGGGTCTGGAATTGAGGGTGGAGGCAGAAAGATAGAGTTGGGTGTCATTCGCATACATGTGGAAGCCCACTGACTGGCCAATTGGCCACTTGTGGAGCTCTGTAGCTCAGTGGTTAGAGCACGCGCCTCACAAGTGAGAGGACCTGTTTGATTCCTGGGCAGGGCGAAATATTGGGCAAGTTTCCTTACTTCACACGCCTCAGTTTACCTAGCACTAAGTAGTAACCTGGTTCTTATTCGATCGACGGATCACTTTCCAGGGGTAATAATCCCTTCAAAAAAATAATAATTATGATAAATTGGTCAATCAACCCATGACTGTTTATGGGACGCTGCTGTGCTCAATTGGCTGCTGTGTTTTGCCCACACGTTACAGTATATTCTGTGAAACGCTTTGAGACATCTACAGGATGTGGATTCACGTAGCTTAGTGGTTAGAGCACTCGCCTCACAAGCAAGAGATCTGGGTTCAATTCAGTTTGGGACAGTTTCCTTACTCCACATGCCTCTATTTATCTAGCAGTCAGTAGGAACCTGATTGTTAGTTGATTGGCGGATCATTTTTCCGGGGGTAATAATTCCTGCAAAAATAAATAAATAAATACATAAATAGGTCACTTCAATCCACGACTGTTTGTGGGACGCTGCTGTGCTGTGCTGCCGCATTTCGCCTACAAATATACAGTCGATTCACTTTACAGTATATTCTGTGAAGCACTTTGAGACTTCTCAAAAACTTGAGAAGGTGATGTATCAATGCAAGAATTATTATGTTATTATTCACATAATGTGCTCTCTGGGATTGGACCTCACCGGCTCCAACTGAAAGTGTAAACTAGTCACTCGATTTTCCCAGTATCTTTCTGCAGTTGTCATACTCTGAGTTGGGTATCATCCGCATATGTGTGGAAGTTGACACATATGACACATGGAAGTTTGCATCTGCAAACACGGGGTCAACTTCCACACATATGCGGATGATACCCAACTCTCCCTCTTTGCCTCCACCCTCGACTCCAGGACCCACTGCTGTCCTGACAGAATGTCTGTCAGACGTCAAGTCCTGGATGAGAGGTAACTTTCTACAGTGGAATGTCAACAAGACCGAGGCTCCTGATTGTCTCCCGTCAGCGCCTCAACACCTCAGGCCCTGACAGCATCACCATCCCTGGGGCGCACTCCCCCTCACTGAGCCATGTGGAATCTTGGCATCTTATTTGACCCTCAACAGATCATCCAGAACTCTGCAGCTCATGTCCTCTCCTTCACAAGGCTCCATGACCCTTCCACCCCCACCATCGCCCGGCTCCACTGGTTCCTGATCCCCCAGAGGATAGAGTTCAAAATCCTCATCCTCGCCTTTAAGGCCCTCCAAGACCTTGCTCCTCCCTACCTCTGTGACCTGCTAGTGCCATATCAACCTGTCCTTTCCCTACGCTCAGCGGGCTCCGGCCTGTTCCATGTCATCTGCTAGGCCCACCCCACCATCAGCAGTCGGGCCTTCAGCTGCTCTGCCCCCAGCCTTTGCATCTCCATCCCATGTTCCCTTCGCCTTGCTTCCTCCCTTGCCTCCTTCAAGGCCCGTCTCAAGACCCTTTTCTTCGACTGCACCTTTGGCCACGCTCCTACCCCCGCCCTCCACCCTCCATGATCCCAACCCCCAGCTCGGGTCCAAATCCTTGATTGTGCAGTGCCTGGAGACGTCCTCCCGCCATGAAAGGCGCCGTGTAAATGTAATTTGTTGTTGTTTCCACTGGTTGATGAGTCAGTGACTGGAGTCGATGAAATTCAGCGTTAACGAGATGGATTTGTTTAATGCAGAGTTGATAGTCTGGGGAATAGCCTGGGAAGAGGTGCCTGGGACAGGATCCATATTGACTTTCAAGAGAAACTAGATGGATATAAAGGAATCATTTACAGGGTCAGAGAAATGGCAGGAAAATTATTTGATTGCCCTAAGAGTTAGTTAGCATTGACACCATGGACTGAATGGCTTTTTGTGCTGTTAAAAAAAAGTTTTTAATCGCTCCAAGATGTCATCTGGTATGAAGGGTGAATAATAATCCCTCCAAAACCAAAAATAATTGGTCATTTTCAATCTACGACTGTCCTACACAGCAATGTAGGACATTGCTGTGCGCAATTGGCTGCCGCATTCGCCCACAAATATACAGTCAATTCACTTTACAGTGTGTTCTGTGAAGCGCGTTGGGACGTCCTCCCGACGTGAAAAGCGCTATATCAAATGCAAGGATTATTATTATTATTATGATTAAGGGTGCTATATAAATGCAAGATGTTGTTGATTGGCTCGCACCAGCGCCTCCGCGGCTCTGGCAACATCAACCTCCATGGTTGCACACTACAACTCACCAGTCAGGAACCTGGGTGACTTGTTTGACCCTCAACTGTCTCTTCTCCCCCACATTCAAGCCATGACCTGCTCTGCCTCACCTCCATAACATCACTCGACTCCGCCACTACCTCACCCCTCAGGCGCTGAAACTCTTGTTCACGCCTTCATCACCTCCAGGCTCGACTATGCAAACTCCCTGCTTGACGGCCTTCCCAACTCCTCCCTCCACAGCTGCAGATAATCCAGAACTCTGTAGCCCGTGTCCTCTCCCGCACCAAACTCCGTGATCCCATCTCCCCCACTCTCGCCCGACTCCATTGGCTCTGTATCCTTCAGGGGATCCAGTTCAAGATCCTGGTCCTCACCTACAAAGCCCTCCATGGCCTCGCCCCACCCTACCTCTGTGACCTCCTAACCCCCTACCAACCCACCCGCTCCCTCCGCTCAGCCGGCTCCGGCTGCTCCACGTCCCCCGACCCACCCGCCCCACCATTGGCGGGAGAGCCTTCAGCCACTCTGCCCCCAACCTCTGGAATTCCATCACCCAGTCACTCCGCCTCACCCCCTCCTTAGCCTCCTTCAAGTCCTGCCTCAAAACCCTCCTCTTCGACCATGCCATTGGCCACTCCCCTTCCCCCCCTCCCCTCCCTTCTCCCCCCCCTGACCCTAGCTCGGGTCTGAATTGCTGTACTCTGTCCAGCGCCTTAGGACGTCCTCCCAATGTGAAAGGCGCTACACAAATGTAATCTTGTTGTTGTTGTTTACCTCATTTGATTTATAAAAAAAAACTAATTTACTGATTTACTACAGTAAGTCGCTGTTTGTCGGCCTTCCCAGCTCTTCCCTCCACAAGCTGCAGGTCATCCCCAACTTCGCAACGCATGTCCTCTCACCCCCCTTCTTCTCAGCCCCCATCCTCTGGAACTCTATCCTGGAGCCCACCCCTCCTTGCCTTCTTTGAGGTCCGTCTCAAGACCGTACTTTTCCAGGTGTGATTCGCCCACAAAATACAGTCACTACACTTGTGAAGCGCTTTAAGATGTCTCAAATACGTGCTAGAGCGCAATATCAAATACAAGGATTATCACTATTATCTCGGCGTGACCTTGGTGCTGTGGGTTTTCATCCAATTGGAATATAGGAACAGGAGGAGGCCATTCAGCCCCTCGAGTCAGTTCTGTCATTCTATTAGATTGGCTCATCTGTACCTCAACTCCAAATTGGACGGGATGGTGTTTCACTCGGATAATAAACAGCTCAAGGCGGGAGCCTAAATTGTTAGAATGTTTAATTTAAACCCGTAGCGGTCAGTTGCGCACAGCAACGTCCCACAAACAGCCCCGCGGTACGTGACTCATTTTATTTTATTTGAGGGAATCATTGGCCAGGAATTCAAATCTGACCCTCAGCTCAGCCCCTTTGCTGCCCACACCGGAGGCAACGTGCAACATTTGGGGGTTGGTTCGGGGCCACTTGGGGCCAAAAAACCCCAGACTCAATCCACGACTGTTTGTGGGGACGCTGCTGCGCACAATTGGCTGCTGCGTTTCACCCACAAAATATACAGTCACTACACTCTACAGGGTGTCTGTGAAGCGCTTTGAGACGTCTCGAATACGTGAGAAGGCGCTGTGTCAAATGCAAAGATTATTATTAATGTTATTATCATTATTGGGCAGAGTTGGGGTTACGTTGGGATGGGATGGGGCTATTTTGGGGGGTCGTTTGGTTTGGGGCCACTCGAAGCCGTTTGGGCTACTTGGGGAGTCTTTTTGGGCTACTTTGGCTACCCGCGGGGCGCGTGTTTGGTGATGTGTGGGTTACCCCCGGCGGGGGGTGGTTTGGGCTACTTTATGAGGCCATTGGGCGTTCTTGAGCCCATTTGGGCTACTTTGGGCGGACCCGCCTCTCTTTGGGGGCGCGGGCGGTTGGTGCTATTTTGGGCTACATTTGGGCGGGTTTGGGCTACACGCGGCGGGTGAATCGTCGGCAGCCGCCAACATGGAGCCGCGGGACCGGGAGCCGCTGCTGAGGGGCCTCCGCGCCGAGGAGACGGACAGTGAAGGTAACCGAGGCCCCGGCCCCCCCCCCCCTCCCCCGGGGGCCCGCCAGCAGCCCGGCAGGGCGGGGCAGGGCGGGGCAGGGCCTACACTAGGCCTCAGGCCTGATCCCCAAGGCCCAGGAGGCCATTCAGCCCATCCAGCCTGTTCCTCAGCTTTACCACGTACAACACTCTGCAGCGTAGTGACTGTGTTTAGTGTGGGGGCGAAATGAACCGCAGCAGTTCCCCCCTCCCCCTCCCCCTCCCCCCGCCACATCTCTGCAGAGCAATCGGCCGCCGCGTTTCACCCACAAAACACAGTCACTACAATTTACAGCGTATCCTGTGAAGCGCTTTGAGACGTCTCGAAGACGCGATGCGGCTCCGGGTCAGATACAAGGATTATTATCTCTCTCTGTCTCTCTCTGTCTCAGTCGCTCTCTCTCTATGTCACTCTCTGTCTCTCTCTCTCTATCTCAGTCGCTCTCTCTGTCACTCTCTGTCTCTCTCTCTGTCACTCTCTGTCTCTCTCTCTGTCTCAGTCGCTCTCTCTGTCACTCTCTGTCTCTCTCTCTGTCACTCTCTGTCTCTCTCTCTGTCTCTCGCTCTCTCTCTCTCTGTCACTCTCTGTCTCTCTCTCTGTCACTCTCTCTCTCTCTCTCTCTCTGTCTCAGTCGCTCTCCCTTTCTCTGTCACTCTCTCTGTCACTCTCTGTCTCTCTCTCTCTGTCTCAGTCGCTCTCTCTCTATGTCACTCTCTCTCTCTCTCTCTGTCTCAGTCGCTCTCCCTTTCTCCATCACTCTCTCTGTCACTCTCTGTCTCTCTCTCTCTCTCTCTCTCTCTCTGTCTCAGTTGCTCTCTCTCTCTCTCTCTGTCACTCTCTGTCTCTCTCTCTCTTATGATTAGTAATAATCACTAAAAAATAAATAAAATGAAACAATAATAATTAGATCACTCAATCGCTGACTGTTTGTGGGGACGCTGTTGTGTGCAAATGGCTGCCACGTTTTACCCACAAAATATACAGGCAATCCACTTACAGTATATTCTGTGAAGCGCTTTGAGACGTCTCGAAGACATGATAAGGAGCTGTATTAAATGTAAGGATTCTTATCAGCGCCTTGGGACGTCCTCCCAACGTGAAAGGCTCTATACAAATGTAATTTGTTGTTGTTGTTGTTGTGCTGTCCTTGTCTCTGCGTAGTCCAGCCCTGATACAGCCCAGGTCAGGGAATCAGATCACGCGTTACAAAAATGGCCACTGGTCATGTCAGTGCTGATGTCACTGCACGGTGGGTAGGAAGCCGGGCAGTCGGTGCCTGAAGCCAGAAATACACCACAGTGAGGTGTCAGTGACAGCACTACCTCATCCCTCATGCGGCTGAAACTCTGGTCCACACCTTTATCACCTCAAGGCTGGACTATGGGATCTCTCTCCTCGTCGGCCTTCCCGGCCCTCCCTCCACACTGCAGGTCATTCAGAACTCTGCAGCTCGTGTACTGTCCCGCACCAGACACCGCGCCCACATCACTCCCACCCTCGCCCTCACCCTCGCCCTCGCTCGCCTCCACTGGCTCCCCATCCCCAGAGGATCGAATTCAAGATCCTCATCCTCACCTACAAGGCCATTCACGGCCTCGCTCCCTCCTACCTCTCTGACCTACTATCCCCCTACCTACCTGCCCGTACCCTCCGTTCCTCTGGCTCCGGTCTGCTCCACATCCCCGCCCCAACCGCCCTACCATCGGTGGCCGGGCCTTCAGCCTCTCAGCCCCGAGGCTCTGGAACTCCATCCCCCAGTGCCTTCGCCGCTTCCTCCCTTTCCTCCTTCAAGGCCGGTCTCAAGACCTTTCTCTTTGACTCTCTACCCCCTCCTCGCCCCCTCCCTTCCCTCCCCTCACCCTGACCATTTCCCCACTGCTCGGTCCTGACCCAACTGTCCAGCGCCTTGGGACGTCCTCCTGACGTGAAAGGCGCTCTATAAATGGAATCTTGTTGTTGTTGTTGTTGTCATAGAATCATAGAATATTACAGCACAGAAGGAGGCCCTTCGGCCCATCGTGCCTGTGGAAGAGCGGCCCAATCAGTCCCACTCCCGCTCTTTCCCCAAATCCTTGCACATTTTTCCTCTGCAAGTTCCTCTCCAATCCCCTTTGAAAGTTGGTATTGAATCTGTTTCCACCCTTTCAGGCAGTGCATTCCAGACCGTGACAACTCTCTGGGTAACAACATTTCTCCTCGTCTCCCCTCTGGTTCTTTTGCCAATTATCTTAAATCTATGTCTCCTGGTTACTGACCCACCAACCAGAGGAAACAGTTTCTCCTGATCTACTCTATCAAAACCCCTCATCATTTTGAACATCTCTATTAAATCTCCTCTTAACCTTCTCTGCTCTAAAGAGAATGATCCCAGCCTGTCTCGGTCATTAGCGCCCTCACCTCTGAGTCAGAAGGCTGTTGGTTTGAGCTGAAGGTTGGGCTTTGGGCTCACTGGTTAATCTCCAACACAGTGCTGGGTGGGGGGAGGGGTCTCCTTCAGTCCCCCATATTAAATTAGTCGATCATTCACTGAACAACCGTGGGACACTGCTGTGTGCAATTGCCTGCCACATTTGCCCATTTTACAGTAAATCCTGTGCAGTGTTTTGGGACGTCTTGATGGAGTGATAAGGCGCTGTATGAAACGTATGGATTATTTACCAAGTGCAGGTCAGGGTCTTATATAACAGTCTGACTGTCCAGCTGGTGTCACTACATGGACTCAACTGCCCAACTACAAACTCAATTGTGTCCAAACTCCACCTGATTGTTTATTAAGCTGTAAAAGACCCTTCAGCCTCTGTGCTGCGCTCTCCTCCCCCCCATTGATTCTGACTCTGGGCCTCTGTCTCCTCTCTTTCAGGTGAAGTGATTTTTGAGCAGACGAAGGTGAGCAAGACTGATCTGCGACGCCATGTTTTTACCTACGAGGAGGCAGTGGAGGAAGCGGGTAGGAACTTGATAGTTTCCCTGGGGGCTGTCTTGCTGTTGTTTGTGCTGGCCTCTTGCTCAGGAGGTTGTGGGTTTGGGCCCCACATCAGGGACTTTAAGAACAGGTCTAGGCTGATGCTTCTGTGCCTTGCTGGGGGGAGTGCTGCCTCGTTGGAGGTGCTGTCCGTTGTGATGAGACGTTAAACCGAGGCCCTGTCTGTGCCTATTCAGTTGGACGTTAAGGATCCTGTGAGATTACAACAAATAACAACAATGACTTGCATTTACACAGCGCCCTTCACGTGGGGTACCGTCCCAGAGCACTTCACATTGGCGGAGTCTGACCCTGAGCCAGGCGGAGAGGGAAGGGGGAGGTGACCAAAAGCACAATCAAAAAGAAAGGTCTTCAGGCGGGATTTGAAGGAGGGAGGGGGAAAGGCGGAGGGATTGAGAGAAAGAGTTCCAGAATTTCAGGGCGTAGTGGCTGGAAGTCCGGCCACCGATGTTGGAACGGAGGACACGAGGGACAAGCAGAATGTCGGAGCCAGTTGAGCGGAGGCAGCGGGTTGTGGGTATGGGGGTGGGCAGGTAAGAAAGGCAGGGAGGTGCCAGGGCCTGAAGGGATTTGAAAACGAGTGTGAGGATCTTGAAATTGATCCATTCGGCGATAGGGAGCCAGTGGAGCCCGGCTGGAGCTGGTGTGAGGGAGCCTGTTGTTGCTGCGATGATAGTCTGTTCTCTCTCCTCTTGCCCAAGGCTTTGGCTGCTACCACCTGATGCTCCTGCTTGTCTGTGGCTGGGCCAATGCCAGTGATGCTGTTGAGATTCTGTGCGTGTCCTTCCTGCTCCCCACAGCCCGGTGTGATCTCCACCTCAATACCACTGACATGGGCTGGCTGACAGCCAGCATCTTCCTAGGTATGTTTGTCTCAGAGGGACTCGCTTCACTTACACAGGGCTGGGGGAGGGGAGGGTGCGTGGTCAGGGGAGGGTGAGCTCGAGGAGGGCAGGGGTGGGGCCTGGGTTTATCAGTGCAGTGACTGTATATTTAATGTGCCAAAAACAGCCATGAAGTGAGTGACTAGTTTCATGTACGTGAAAGATAGAGCCATGAAGGGGTTTGGAAAGAAGGCGGGGCGGCGGGATTGGATGGACAGCTGGCTCTGAGAGCCGGGGCAAATTGGATGGGCTAAATGGCCTCCTCCTGTGTTGTAAATCTCTCTGATTCTGTAAGAACATAAGAATTTGCTGGCAAAATAAGACCAAGGTGCATCTAGTTCGCCTGCCACCATCCTGGCAGTTGCTTGATATGTCATATCCCAAACTATATCCTATAGATTTTATTATCTGGCAGAAATCGATCTCATTTATTCTTGGAACGAACAACACTTTCTGCTTCCACCGTCTGTCACCCTCGGGAGCCTGGTCCATAAGTTTACTCACTGAAGTAGTGTTTCCGCAGATTTGTTCTGAATTTACCCCCCTTCAATCCCAGGCCGTGATTCTCACAGAGTATATATAATATAATAATCCTTGCGTTTGATATAGCACCTTATCGCGCCTTTGAGGTGTCTCAAAGCGCTTCATGGAATAAAGGGTAAAGTGTGTGTTTTGTGGGCGAAGTATTTTGTGAGTAATTGCAGGCAGTGTCAGTGCCGGTTTGGCTTACTGTGTTTTTTTTTACAGGGATGATGATCGGAGGCTACATGTGGGGAGCACTGGCAGACCTGAAAGGCCGTCGCTCTGTTCTCCTCTTCTCGCTGACGATCAATGGTGTATTCGGAGCCCTGTCCAGCTTGGCCTCACACTTCTGGCTCTTCCTGCTTCTGCGATTTTTGAGTGGAATCGGGTGAGTGCTGGGCCAGACTTTAATGTTCATGTTAAAATAATAATAATAATATTAATAATCCTTGCATTTGATACGTCTTTGAGATGTCTCAAAGCGCTTCACAGAATATACTGTAAAGTGAATTGACTGTATATTTTATGGGCAAAATGCAGCAGCCAATTGCGCACAGCAGCGTCCCACAAACAATTGTGGATTGAGTGACCCACATTTTTTTTAAGGGATTATTACCCCCTGAAAAGCGATCCGTCTGTTGACTAACAATCAGGTTCCTACTTACTGCTAGGTAAACAGATGCATGCGGAGTAACGAAACTTGCCTACAGCTTTGCCCTGCCCGGTAATCAAACCCAGGTCCACTCGCTTGCGAGGTGAGTGCTCTAACCACTGAGCTACAGAACTTCCAGGTGATCTGGGATCTGGGATGCTGAGCTATGGAGTGTCTCACGTTTGTGTTCTATCTCTCTGCTAGTGTCGGGGGTTCCATTCCCGTCATATTCTCCTATTTCACGGAATTCCAGCCAAGGAATAAGAGAGGGACCATGATCAGCGCTCTGGCAACATTCTGGATGGCAGGGAATATTTTAACAGCAGGTGAGAGGGAGTCACTATGTGTGAGGAAGTGTTATGGTCTGGAATTCACTGCCTGAAAGGGTGGTGGAAACAGATTCAATAGAATGTTGTTATTATTGGGGTTAACCCAATCCTTAACTCTTCTCAGCGCTGCTCTGGGAAACAGAATGAGAAGTGTCTCAGTCTCTCCACTAAGATCACAGACGGGAGAATTACTTTCAGCAGCTGATGTTGGAATCGTTGACCAGCAGTATTCCCAAAGTAGATTTTACTGTCCTATTGGGCGGAGCCTTTAACCGGGCAACCTCGGTGATTAAAAACTCATGAATATTAAACATAATAATAACTGGCAAAAGAATCAGAGGGGAGACCGGGAATAATTTTTTTTTACCCTGAGAGTTGTCACGGTCTGGAATGCGCTGCCTGAAAGGGTGGAAACAGATTCAATACCAACTTTCAAAAGGGAATTGGAGAGGTAGTTGCAAAGGAAAAACTTGCAAGGATTTGGGGAAAGAGCCAAAAAGTGGGACTGATTGGGTCACTCTTCCAAAGAGCCAACACAGATACGATGGGCCGAATGGCCTCCTTCTGTGCTGTAATATTCCATGATTCTATAACAACAACAAAATTACATTTATAGAGCGCCTTTCACGTCGGGAGGACATCCCAAGGCGCTGGACAGTCAGGGGTCAGGACCCGAGCATGGGGGAGGGGTGGGGTAGGGGTGATGGAAGGCAGAGAGGTGGGAGAGCGACCAAAGGCACGGCCGAAGAGAAGGGTCTTGAGACCGGCCTTGAAGGAGGTGAGGGAGGAAGCGAGGCCAAGGGACCATGGGATGGAGTTCCAGAGTGTGGGGACAGAGAGACTGAAAGCCCGGCCACCGATGGTAGGGTGGGGCGGCGGGAGACATGGAGCAGACCGGAGCCTGATGAACGGAGGGAGCGGACAGGTTGGTAGGGAGTCAGCAGGTCAGAGCGGTAGGAGGGGGCAAGGCCATGGATGGCCTTAAAGGTGAGAAAGAGGATCTTGAACTCAACCCTCTGGGGGATGGGGAGCCAGTGGAGTCAGTTGAGGGTGGGAGTGATGGGGTCGTGGAGCCTGAGGGCTTAACACTGAGGAAAGAGAAGTTCACAGTGCGTGTGAGGAAGTGCGGTTCACCACGTTTATTGCTCCAGTAGATGAAAGGCTGGGATCACTGAGAGGCCGGGACATTGTGACCTTTTAAATATGAATTATTAACCTGATCCTGGGCTAACCCTGTGCCTCGCACTCGCTTGCTCTCTCGTTTTCTGTTGCACGCTTTCTCTCTCTCTCCTCCCCTTCCCCCCCCCCCCCCCCCCCACATCTCTTGCTCTCTCATCCGTCTCTCTCTCATTCTATATCTCTCTCCCTTTCGGTCTCTCGTTTTCTCTTGCTTTATTTCTCTCTCTCTTGCAGCTCTCACTCACTCACACTCTCACTCTGTCTCTCTCCCCTCCCCCCCGTGCACCTCCTTTCATATTCATTCTCTGTCACTCTGTTGCTCTGTCTCTCACTCGCTCGCTGTCCCTCTCTCTCCTCAGGTCTAGCCTGGTTGGTTATCCCTAGCACCTCACTGTCTTTCCAGCTGAGTTGGCTGCAGTTTCGGAGCTGGCGGCTGTTTGTGATGCTGTGCTCGATCCCCAGCCTGTCATCGGCATTTATCTATGCTGTGGGGATGCCAGAAAGCCCCAGGTATCTGATGGAAGTAAGAATCTATCGATTACATTGATTTTTCGTGGTGTGGGACATGCTCTCAGGCATCATGGAGTGATGGGAGCCTGTAGCTCGTGTCTGACTCTAATAATAATAATCCTTGCATTTGATACAGTTCCTTATCAAGTCTTCGAGACGTCTCAAAGCGCTTCACAGAATATACTGTAAAGTGGATAGATTGTAAATTTTGTAGGCAAAACACAGCGGCCAATTGCGCACAGCAGCGTCCCACAAACAGTCAAGGATTGAGTAAACACGTTAATTTTTTTTTAAATTCACCCTGCCCAGGAATTGAACCCAGTTCCTCTTGCTTGCGAGGTGAGTGCTCTAACCACTGAACTACAGGACTCTGGGACTCATCACATTGAAATGTGTCAAAGTGCTTCATAATCATTCATTTAAAGTGTATCTTGTGAGCAAACATGGAGCAAATTAGCACACAGCAGTGTCCCACAAACAGCCGTGGAGGGAATTACCATTTTATTTAACCAGGACACCAGGAGAGAAACTGCCTTCTCTTTTCGAATAGTACCATGAGATCTTTAATGCCCCTCCACGAAAAGACAGACGGGACCTTGGTTTATTGTCTCTTCTGCGCTGGAGGGTCAGCCTGGACTGTGAGCTCAAAGCCCCAACTCAGGAACCAAACGGTCTGAAAGCAAAGAGGGAAGGTGCAAAGCGGAGAGATTGAGGGAGAGAATTCCAGGGAGTAGGAGCTCAAAGCTTCAGTTGTAATGTAGGTGGGAGACCAATAGGGCATCAGCATGGCAGTGCCTGGAGCTAGGAATGGGGCTCCATAGCGATTGATTGCCAACATCTCCATTATTATTGCAGCAAGCAACTGCCAGGATGGCAGACAGTGAAACCCCCTTTCCATCAGCAATTCCCTACGTTCAACACTGGTGTGTGTCTGATCACACAGCGCTGCCTAGTGGCTGGCATTGGGAGTACCAATACCATCGTTCAGGATGGTGGCCAGTGACATTGTGAACATAATCAGGGACCAGTGTGAGGAACCTCAGGAGCTTCCACTGAATTTCAGAAATAAGTAGAGCTCAGACACTCCATCAGACAGAGAAACAGTCTGGAATTATCCACCCAGCAGCCAGTGTCGGCGGTCGGGCTATTCTGCCCTTTCACACAGCTAATAAGAGAATAACAATAATAATAATTAATAATAATTCTTCCATTTGATATAGCACCTTATCCGATAATTGAGAAGTCTCAACCCGTGACACAGGATTTAGTGTAAAGTGTAGCGATTGTGTACGTTATTGGGGAACAGAGCAGCTAATTTACACACAGCAATGTCCCCCAAACAGCCAGCAAGTAAACAACCAGTCCTGTCTGGGGGATTGTCAGCCAAACCAAATAGGCAGAGAAAATAAGTTCAACAAGGGAGTCAGATCACTTGACAAGTAAAATGTCATTATTAATATCATATTTCTGACCCAAATGTAGAATTGCAAATTGAGTTCCTTCCTCTCCAACCCTGAAATTGTGTTGTATAGAACAGCTAATATCGTCATCGCTCTGTACATCCTGATCACATTATAGACACAGTCCTGTCCGTTCACGTCAACATCGTGGGAACTGAGTGAATATTGTCGACATAAGCAGTAATAACACACTGTCCTGTATTTAGTGGTTAAAGCACTTATCTCGCCTGGCAGGGCAAAATATTGGGCAAGTTTCCTTACTCCACAGGCCTTTGTTTAGTAAGTAGGAACCTGGTTGTTAGTCGATTGGTGGCTCGCTTTTCCGGGCATAAAATTCCCTTAAAAAAAATGAATGTGGTCACTCAATCCACGACTGTTTGTGGGACACTGCTATGCACAATTGGCTGCCGTTATTCACCCACAGAACCTACAGTCGATTCACTTTACAGTATATCCTCTGAAGCGCTTTGAGACGCCTTGAAGACGTGATAAGGTGCTGTATCAAATGCAAGAATTGTTATTATGTAATGTACTAGTGCTGTTTGGGACTTGAAACATTTGTAATTCTTTGTCGACCTACGGGAGATATCGATATAAACGAGTTTGAGATAAGTGGTGGGAGCACTGTATTGGGTGAGTGTGTCACTAGAGGGAGCAGGATTGAAGGTAGTTACCACAAGAGCAAAGGCGCAGTTATTTACACAGAGTTGCTAGGATGTGGAATGTTTAAGAGGGAATTGGATAAATATTGTAAAATGAGACAATAATGATAATAATCCTTGCCTTATCACATCTTTGAGTTGTCTCAAAATGCTTCACAGAATATACGGTAAAGTGGATTGATGTATATATATTTTGTGGGCAATGGCATACACCAGTGTCCCACAAATAGTCGAGTGACCAAATTATTATTTTTTTTAGAAGGGATTATTATCCCTGGAAAGTGATCCACCAATCGACTAACAACCGGGTTCCTACTTAATGCTAAGGAAACCGAGGCGTGTGGAGTAACTTGCCTAACGTTTTCCCCTGCACGGGAATCGAACTCGGGTCCTCTCGCTTGCTATTGTGCTGCCCTGAGTGAGATATCAACTGTGTGTCCGTGTCTGTGTCTCTCTCGTTCAAACTCTCCCTCACAGTGTCTGTGTCAGTGTCTGTGTCATTGTCTGTCAGTGTATGTGTCATTGTCAGTATCTGTGTGAGTGTCTGTGGCTGTGTCAGAGTCTGTGTCGGTGTCTGTGTTTGTCAGTGTCTCAGTGTCAGTATCTGTGTGAGTGTCTGTGGCTGTGTCAGTGTGTATCGGTGTCTGTGTTTGTCAGTGTCTGAGTGTCAGTATCTGTGTGAGTGTCTGTGGCTATGTCAGAGTCTGTGTCGGTGTCTGTGTCAGTGTCTCTGAGTGCCTGGCTCTGTGTCAGTGTTGGTGTCAGTGTCAGTGTGAGTGTCTGTGGCTGTGTCAGAGTCTGTGTCGGTGTCTGTGTCAGTGTCTCTGAGTGCCTGGCTCTGTGTCAGTGTTGGTGTCAGTGTCAGTGTGAGTGTCTGTGGCTGTGTCAGAGTCTGTGTCTGTGTCGGTGTCTGTGAGTGCCTGGCTCTGTGGCAGTGTTGGTGTCAGTGTCAGTGTGAGTGTCTGTATCATTGTCTGTGTGTGTGTGTGTCAGTGTGAGTGTTAGTGTCTGTGTGAATGTCAGTGTGAGTGTCAATGTCTATTTGAGTGTCTGTCAGTGTGAGTGTCAGTGTCTGTGAGTGTCAGTGTGAGTGTTTGTGAATGTCAGTGTCAGTGTCTGTGAGTGTCAGTGTGAGTGTCAGTGTCTGTGAGTGTCAGTGTGAGTGTTTGTGAATGTCAGTGTTAGTGTCTGTGAGTGTCAGTGTGAGTGTTTGTGAGTGTCAGTGTCTGTAAGTGTCAGTGTGAGTGTTTGTGAGTGTCTGTCAGTGTGAGTGTCTGTCAGTGTCAGTGTCTGTGAGTGTCTGTCAGTGTGAGTGTCTGTCAGTGTCAGTGTGAGTGTCTGTCAGTGTGAGTGTCTGTCAGTGTGAGTGTCAGTGTCAGTGTGAGTGTCTGTATCATTGTCTGTGTGTGTGTGTGTCAGTGTGAGTGTTAGTGTCTGTGTGAATGTCAGTGTGAGTGTCAATGTCTATTTGAGTGTCTGTCAGTGTGAGTGTCTGTCAGTGTGAGTGTCAGTGTCTGTGAGTGTCAGTGTGAGTGTTTGTGAATGTCAGTGTCAGTGTCTGTGAGTGTCAGTGTGAGTGTTTGTGAGTGTCAGTGTCTGTAAGTGTCAGTGTGAGTGTTTGTGAGTGTCTGTCAGTGTGAGTGTCTGTCAGTGTGAGTGTCTGTCAGTGTGAGTGTCTGTCAGTGTGAGTGTCTGTCAGTGTCAGTGTGAGTGTCAGTGTGAGTGTTTGAGTGTCAGTGTGAGTGTCAGTGTGAGTGTTTGAGTGTCAGTGTCTGTGAGTGTCAGTGTGAGTATCTGTCAGTGTGAGTGTCTGTCAGTGTCAGTGTGAGTGTGTGTCAGTGTCAGTGTGAGTGTCTGTCAGTGTGAGTGTCTGTCAGTGTCAGTGTGAGTGTGTGTCAGTGTCAGTGTGAGTGTCTGTCAGTGTCAGTGTGAGTGTCTGTGTGAGTGTGAGTGTCTGTGTGAGTGTGAGTGTCTGTGTGAGTGTGAGTGTCTGTGTGAGTGTGAGTGTCTGTGTGAGTGTGAGTGTCTGTGTGAGTGTCTGTGTGAGTGTCTGTGTGAGTGTCTGTGTGAGTGTGAGTGTGTGTCAGTGTGAGTGTTTGAGTGTCAGTGTCAGTGTCTGTGAGTGTCAGTGTGAGTGTCTGTCAGTGTGAGTGTCTGTCAGTGTCAGTGTCTGTCAGTGTCAGTGTGAGTGTCAGTGTGAGTGTCTGTCAGTGTGAGTGTGAGTGTCTGTCAGTGTCAGTGTCTGTCAGTGTCAGTGTGAGTGTCAGTGTGAGTGTCTGTCAGTGTGAGTGTGAGTGTCTGTCAGTGTCAGTGTGAGTGTCTGTCAGTGTGAGTGTGAGTGTCTGTCAGTGTGAGTGTCAGTGTGAGTGTCTGTCAGTGTCAGAGTGAGCGTCTGTCAGTGTCTGTGTGAGTATCAGTGTGAGTGTCAGTGTCTGTGAGTGGAAGTGTCTGTGAGTGTCTGTGTCTGTATCTGTGTCAGTATCTGTGTGAGTGTCTTTGTCAGTGTGATTGTCTGCGTCTGTGTCTGTGTCCGTGTGAGTGTCAGTGTGAGTGTCTCTGTGAGTGTCTGTGTGAGTGTCAGTGTATGTGTGAGTGTCTGTGTCTGTGGTTGTGTCAGTGTGAGTGTCTGGTCTGTATGTAAATGCAGTCTCTGCAGCAGGCGGCTGACACAGGCTGACAGCAGGGCGGGCAGTCGATGGCTCAGGCCCAACCCCAGCAGACTGCGCTGTGCAGAATGGCTGCCAGGAAGGACAGTTGCTATTCCAGGCACTAGTTTTGCTTTGCCTGTGAGGAGAGCTGCCCGGGAGCAGGTTCGGACAGTTTGGAGGGAGAAAGAGGCAAAACCAATTCTCCCCATTATAGATGTGAGTGTGCAACATAGCTGTACAGCTGTATGTAATGCACTGCAGGTCGCACATTGTGGTGTTTGCACACTGCCCTGCACCGAGTGACCTGCCCGCACCACAGGCCACAGAAAGTCTGGGCAGCAAGTGAAGCCACTGTATGAACACCCACAGTAATTATCCCATTAAATGTTTAAGCGCTGCTGCTGTGCAACATTGAGACATTGCTGGGCACAGATTACAGAAGCATAAGACCAGAAGGAGGCCATTCAGCCCCTCAAGCCTGTTCTGACATTCCATAAGATCGTCGCTGATCTGTACATTAACTCCAATTACCTGACCTTGTCCCATATCCCGTAATACCCTGACCTAGCGAATATTATCCATTTCAGTCTTGAACATGTGAATGTGATCCAGTCATAATCCACAGCCTTTTGGGGGAGAGAGTTCCAGATTTCTATGACCCTTTGGGTGAAAAACTGCCCCTGATTTCACTTCTAAATGGCCTGGCTCTAATTTTAAGATGATGTCCCTTCTTCTGGATTTCCCCCACCCGGGAAGTGGTTTCTGTGTACCTACCCTATCGAATCCCTTTATTATTTAAAACACCTCAATTATCTGCGCATTCGCCTATAAAAATAAAACAGTCACTACACTTTACAGAAAATCCTGTGCAGTGACTGGAAGCGTCTTCCTGTTCTGAAAGCCGTTACCTCAAATAATGGAGTGTTAACGATCTCATGACAGTTGAAAAGTGACCTGACCAACAAGCCCTCAAAATTAATCATTTGCTCGGTAACTGGTTTGTGAGATATTGCTGTGTGTATATTGGCCGCCATGTTCACCTGCTAATTGAACAGTCAATCCCTTTGACAGCAACAAATCGTGTGAAGGCTTTGAGACGTCCTCCCAAAGCAAAAGCCCTGTAACAAATCCAAGGATAAATATATTATTATCCTGCTCCATTTATTGTACTTTGTGTTCTAAACCCAGCATCATTTACAGGTTCTGTCGAGACAGACAGAGTTGAAAGATGAGGCATAATTCTAAAATCAGGAACTCTTGTACTAATAAAAGCCAAAGGTATTTACAGATCAGGGTTTGGCCTTTGAAAACCCAAAATATAACTGGTGTCAGTGTCAAGCTAACTCAATGTGTTGGCTCTGTTTTGCTATAAATTGGCACTGTGCAAGCTGGGGTTTGATAGAAGCCCGTGACTCATTCCTGACTCAGGAATATTAGACAACCCCATTGCCTCATTACCAAATCCTCTCATTGTGCCTGAGCCGTCTATTTAAAAAGGCATTTGTTCCTGTTAACACCTTCTCTCCCTCAGACTGCTCCTTGTGAAAACATCCATTGTTCCTGTTGGGAACAGGGGGATTTTAGTGGGGGAGGGGAGTGTGGATTCCAATCCCAATGATTTTTTGGGGGTCAGCCGGGTGGGTGTCTGACCCATGCGGAAACCCATCACAGTTGCTTATTATGAGTCTCCAAACCAAGCTGAGAATTCCAGGTCTCCCACCTACACATGGAAATCCCAGAGATAGGTTGTTGAAATGGAATTGCAATCCCACTGAAAAGAACAGAGTCATGTGTGTACGCGCAAGCTTGTATATATGTGTGTGAGCATTTTTATGTGTGTGTGTATGTGTGGGATGGAGGCTGATCATCATCATCATAATAATCCTTGCTTTGATACAGCGCCTTATCACATCGTTGAGACGTCTCAAAACATTTGGCAGGATGTACTGTAAAGTGGATTGACTGTATCTTGCGGGCAAAATGCCCACAAAAACATTCGAGTTGAATGTAGAGTGGAGGCTGATATTTTGCGGGTCACTAACTTGACTTGTTTGTGTTCAGGCTGGCCGTGGGGATGAAGCTATCCGGGTTTTCCGGCGCATGTTTTACTGGAACCAACAAGGGAGAAACCGCACCTTTTCAGTGAGTGAGCGGCAATTCTCTTCATGTCCTGTCATCGGCTCATTGTCATTGTACCCTAGACTAGACAGGCTGGGATTGATCTCCTCAGAGCAGAGAAAGTTAAAGAGCGATTTAATAGAGGTGGTTAAAATTATGAGGGTTTTGATAGAGTAGATCGTGAGAAATGGTTTCCACTGGAAGGTGGGTCGGTAACCAGGGGACACAGATTTAAGATAATTGGCAAAAGAAACAGAGGGGAGATGAGGAGAAGTTCAGCCCATCGTGCCTGTGTCGGCTCTTTGGAAGAGTTACCCAATCAGTCCCACTCCCCCTGCTCTTATCCCAAATCTTTGCAAGTTTTTCCTCTTCAAGTTCCTATCCAATTCCCTTTTGAAAGTCGTTATTGAATCTGTTCCCACCCTTTTCAGGCAGCGCATTCCAGACCCTAACAACTCTCCGGGTAAAAACAATTACTCCCCGTTTCCTCTCTAATTCTTTTGCCAGTTATTATGATGTTTAATATTCATGTGTTTTTAATCACTGAGGTTGCCCGGTTAAAGACCCCACCCACAGAGGACAGTAAAACCTACTTTGGGAATACTGCTGGTCAACGACTCCAACATCAGCTGCTGAAGGTAATGTCTCCGTTTGTGATCTTAGTGGAGAGACTGAGACATATCTCACTCTGCTTCCCAGAGCAGTGCTGAGAAGGGTTAGGATTGGGGTGGAGTTTAGGATTGGGTTAATTACCCTAACCCTAATTACCCTAACCCTAATTACCCTAAACCCCAACGCTAATTACCCTAACCCTTACCCCCCATCCTCTGAAGGCTATGTTGGTAACATTTAAACATTGACAGCAAAGTACAAATTGGTTTAGCCCTTCACACCAGATCTGCAGACACTTTGCCCACTGCAGTCCTGTGGCTTCACTGTATCTCTGTTTATTACGCTGCCCGTATCTCCTTACTCTGCATCCTTCCTAGTCACAATACAGCCTTGGACGGGCGTCTGACACTGAGAGACTGCCCGATGCTGCCTCCTGATGGGAGCTTCTGTTGTATTTTTGTATTAAGAGGTGAGGGCGTTAACCCCTTCAGACCCACTCACGCTCATGGCTTGGGTGTCACCCAATTCACAGAACATAGTGCAACACAATTTACAGGATTCCAGGAATGTAGTGGATAGTGCGTTCGCCTCACAAATGAGAGGACCCGGATTCGATTCCCGGGCAGTTGAGGCAAAATCTTAGGCAAGTTTCCTTACTCCACACGCCTGTTTACTTAGCAGTAAGTAGCAAACTGGTTGTCAGTCGATTGGGACATCCCTTTCCGAGGGTAATAATCCGTCAAAAAAAAATGGTGTCACTGTATTTTGTGGGTGAAACACGGCAGCCAATTACGCACTGTTGCGTGTAATTGGCTGCTGTGTTTCACCCATAAAATACATAGTCACTACACTTTATGGTATATTCTTTGAAGCACTTTGAGACGTCTTAACGACGTGATAAGGCGCTGTATCAAATGCAGGGATTATTATTAGTAATAGTAGTATTATATAGGGCCTTTCACGTCGCGAGGACATCTCATGAATAAAAGGCATGAGCCACTTTTATTTTTAGGGATTGGATCCAATCAGGAAAATCTTCTCCTCTCCGCTGCGATCCAGAACGATTCCTCTCGCACTCATCTTCTTCAGTATCTCGTTCGGGTGAGTGTCATGAACACCACGATCTGCAGACCTGCCTCGCTGAGCGGGTTTGCTTATCTCATGAACGTACTGTTACTCTCTCTTTATAAAAAATGTTTAAAGATCTGTTCAGGTTCAGGATATTGTCCTGTGGCTCAGTGGTTAGAGCGCTCGCCTCACAAGGGTTCGATTCCTGGGCAGTTAGGGTGAAACCTTAGGCAAATTTAATTACTCCACATGCCTGTTTACCTAGCAGTAAGTAGGAAATCCGTTGTCAGTCGATTGACGGATCCCTTTCCGAGGGTAATAATCGCTCAAACAAATTGGGTCACTCAATTTTTGTGGGACACTGCTGTACGCAATTGGTTGCCTCGTTTCGCCCACGAAATACACAATCAAATTACTTTACAATAAATTCTGTGAAGCGCTTTGAGATGTCTCAGCCACGTGATAAATGCAAGGATTATTATTATTATTATAATACATGGTGTAAATACAGTCTGTCGCTCTGCCTGTAGTTTGCTCCTGTAACTGCTAACCCAGCCACTAGCTGAGGTGCTGATAGTGTGTGTGTAAACTCCTGCAGCTCGCAATAAAACGATTTTTAATAGAATCCAACTCCGAACACATCCTGATCATATTCAAGGCTGAGGATCAATTTCATTAGATTGATTGAAGGGAACTACTTATTCCCAAGGCATGTCTCAAAGCCCTCCTCTTTGACCATGCCTTCGGCCGCCTTCCACCCTCCCTTATCCCAAACCCCCCCACCTGCTCGGGTTCAAATCCCTGACTGTCTAGAATAACATACATAACATGTAGGAGCAGGAGTTGGCCATTCGGCCCTTTGAGCCTGCCCCGCCATTCAATCATGGCTGAACTTCTAATCTAACTCCAGCTAATAACCTGACCCTGCCTTATCCCCATATCCCTTAATCCCTTTTGCAATAAGAAATCTATCTCAGTCTTGAATATGTTCAAGGACTGAGCGTCAACAGCCCTTTGGGGTAGTGAGTTCCATACATTCACTGCCCTTTGAGTGAAGAAGTTCTTCCTCAACTCAGTGCGAAAGGGTTGGCCTCTGATTTTAAGGTTGTGACCCCTGGTTTTAGTTTCTCCAACCGGGGAAACAATCTCCCACTATCTACTCTATGCCCTTTGATGATCTTATAGGTTTCGATAAGATCTCCTCTAATTCTTCTATATTCTAGAGAATATAGACCCAAATTGGTCAGCCTATCCTCGTAACTCATCCCCTTCATCCCTGGTACTAACCCAGTAAATCTACGCTGCACCCCCTCCAAGGCAAGTACATCCTTCCTTAAATAAGGAGACCAAAACTGCACACAGTATTCCAGGTGTTCCCTACTCTTATACTCTAATCCTTTCATAATGAATGCTAACATACCGTTCGCCTTCCTAATTGCTGCTGCACCTGCAGACTAACTTTCTGTGATTGGTGTACAAGGACACCCAAGTCCCTCTGGACGCTAACACATTCCAATCTCTCCCCTTCTAAAAAATAACCCGCTCTACTGTTTTTGCTACCGAGGTGGATGACTTTGCACTTCCCTACATTATACTTCATCTGCCACCTACCTGCCCAATCACCTAACCTATCTATGTCGCGCTGCATTTTTTTAATGTCGTCCTCTGTGTTGACACTTCCTCCTAGTTTTGTGTCATCCGTGAATTTAGATATATTAACTTCGATGTCCTCATCTAGATCGTTGATGTAGATGGTAAATAGCTGAGGCCCAAGGACTGATCCTTGTGGCACTCCACTAGTCACATCCCGCCAATCTGAAAAGGACCCGTTTATCCCTACTCTTTGTTTCCTACCCGTTAACCATTCCCCAATCCACGTTAATATGCTCCCCCCAATTCCATGGGCCCTTATCTTTTGGACTAACCTTTTATGCGGCACCTTATCGAATGCCTTCTGGAAGTCCAAATAGACCACATCCACTGATTCACCCTTATCTAGTTTACTGGAAATATCCTCAAAAAACTCTTGAGATTTGTCAAACATGACTTCCCTTTTGTAAAGCCATGTTGACTTGGCCTAATTATATTGTGCCCTAAATACCGCACTACCACATCCTTAATCAACGATTCTAAATTATTTTCCTATCACTGATGTGAGACTAACTGCCAATTGTTCCCCATCTTTTCCTTTCCACCTTTTTTAAATAGTGGTGTGACATTTGCGATCTTCCAATCCATGGGGACTGTTCCAGAATCCAAGGAATTTTGGAAGATCAGACACAAGGCCTCCACTATCTCATAAGCTCCTCTTTTAAAACCCTGGGATGCAAGCCATCCGGACCAGGGGATTTGTCACTTTTTAGTGCTAACAGTTTCCCGAGCACCAATTCTCTACTAATGAAAATTTCCCTAAGTTGCTCCCTGTCCTTATCCCTTTGGTGCATCTCTATTGTTGGCAGACTTGTTGTGTCTTCTCGGGTGAAGACAGATGCAAAGTACCCATTTAGGGACTCTGCCATGTCCTTGTCCCCCATTACAACTTCTCCCGTCTCTGACTGAAGTGGACCTACATTTACCCTCACAGCCTATTCCTCTTAATATATTTGTAAAAACTTTTACAATCAGACTTAGTGTTCCTAGCGAGCTTACCCTCATACTCCTTTTTCTCGCTCTTAATGAGTTTTTTAGTTTTATTTGCTGGTTTCTAAAACTCTCCCAATCTTCAGATTTGCTGCTTTTATGGCAGTTTTATAAGCCTTTTCTTTAATTTGATGCTTTCCCTAATGCTCTAGTTAGCCACGGATGAATTGCTTTCCCTGTGGTACTCTTATTCCGCAAGGGAATATGCGACCGCTGAGAATTTTGCACTACATCCTTAAATATTTGCCACTGTTGGTCTACATTTTTACCTCTTAATCTTATTCTCCAGTCTATTTTACCTAAATCTTTCCTCATACCTACAAAATTAGCCCTATTTAAATTCAGAATACTTGCCTCGGATTTAACTATATCCCTCTCTAACTTAATGCAGAATTCAATCATATTGTGATCACTCTGCCCTCGAGGATTCTTAATACCTACACTGCCAACTCGCCCTGTTTCGTTACACAAAACAAGGTCTAGGATGGCCTGTCCCCTGGTCGGTTCCTCGGCTGCTCTAGAAAGTTATCTCTCATACACTCAATGAACTCTTCTTCTGACCTACTTTTGCTGCTTTGGTTTTCCCAATCTATGTGGAGATTGAAACCACCCACTATTATCGCTTTACCTTTCCTACACACTCCACTGATTTCTTGATTGATACCCTGTGCTATATTGTGATCACTGTTTGGGGGTCTATAAACCACTTCCATTAATATTTTCTGCCCTTTATTATTTTTTATTTCCACCCATATTGTCTTGACCTCTTGGTCATCAGATTTCAGATCCTTCCTCTCCACTGCTTTTATTTCATCTCTAATTAACAGGGCTCCCCCCCTCCCCCCATCTCGTTTCCCACAGTGCCTATCTTTCCTGTAAACTGAGAACCCTGGAATATTTAACTCCTACCCTCGATCTCCTTGTAACCATGTTTCAGTGATGGCTATTAGATCGTACCCATATGAGTCTATCTGTGCTTTTAGTTCATCAGTTTTATTCCGAATGCTTCGCGCATTCAGATATAACATTTTTAATGTTAAAAATTTCCTCTACTCTCTGATTCCTTATCTGTTTGCCAAAGCTTCTTACCCCTCGTTAACATGTTCCTATTATCTGGCTGCTATTCTGCACTGTCATCTTTACTTTTTCTAATGCTAAATTATGGTTTCTCTTACCTATATACCCCCCTTTACTAGTTTAAATTCCTATTTATTTCCCTGTTAATCCGTTTAGCTCGGACATTTGTCCCAGCATGATTTAAATTCAGCCCTTTTCTCTGAAAGAGCTCTCTTTTCCTCCAATACTCGTGCCAATGGCCCATAAAAAGAAACCCCTGAGTTCCGCACCACTCTTTTAGCACCTAGCTAGCGCCTTGGGACGTCCTCCCGACATGAAAGGCCCCGTGCATGTGTCATTTTGTATTGTAGTGTGCTGAGAACCAGGTTATTGTGTGTAGATTGTGGCTCTGGCTGTGCGCAGGGAATGTTAAACACTGCGGGAAGCCTTGCTTCTGGCAGCTGGTAAATCGCCTTTGGAAGGTTCTGGTGTTGGCTCACAGCCTCTTCTTGCCCTCGGCAGGTATTATGGTCTATGGATGTGGTTCCCAGAGCTGTTCAGACGGATAGAGATGGGAGGAGGGTCTCCCTGCATCACTAACATGAGCCAGTCGAGCAGTGGAAACGTGAACATTAGCTGTTACCCCGTGAACACTGCAGGTCAGTCAGGCTCACGCTCGGGCAGACTGAGGATTCTGACTTTCAGGATTACTATCAATGCACTCACTCACTGACACAGGCACTGACACAGGCACTGGAACTGCTGACTGGCACAGACTGGCACAGGCACTGGCACAGGCACTGACACTACTGACTGGCAGATGGGCACTGGCACTGACTCACATACACTGGCACTGACTCATAGACACTGACACTACTGACTGGCACTGACAGACAGAGGCACTGACATTACTGACTGGCAGGTGAATCCTGGCATTGACTCACATGCACTGATGTGCAGACGGGCGCATTGCCAGCAGTCCTTGAACCAGGTCTTTACCAGGTTTAACACCACCTGGAGAAGGGAGTGGGACAGATTATCATAAAGCTTTTCTTGATATCGAGTTATTCCTGTAGCATTAGAGTTTGTTCAAGTGACACTTTATATTTGTGTCTGTGGTCTGTGTATGTACAGGCTTACTCAGCACCAGCTGTGTGTGTTAGCATGGGGTCTGTGTATATGTGCCTGCACATGTGTACCTTTCTGTGGTGTGTATGTGTACCTCTGTGTTGTATGTCTGTGTGCGTGTGTATGTGTACCCCTGTTCTGTGTATGTGTACCTGTTTTGTGTGTGTATGTGTACCTGTTGTGTGTGTGTGTGTACACCTGTGTATTTGTGTGTGTACACCTCTGTTGTGTGTGTACGTGTGACGGAGCCCAGGGAGCCTGAGATTCTATGACGCTGCTAGTTTAAGGATTAAAATACACAATTAATTATTCATTTGTTTCTTTTCCAGTGTATAAAGAGGGTTTCATCACAGCTGCTGCCAATCTCCCTGGTAACATCCTTACCATCTTAGTCATGGATCTGGTGGGAGGAAAATTACTGCTTTGTAAGTTACAGTGAAAACTAGATTGAAATTTAAGAGACAATTAACCCTGAATTATGCCGCACACCAGGCTTACTCAGCACCAACTACTTAATCCACGTCCTCATGTGACAGACAGGCTTTGGCAACTAGATAGGAATAGATTGGAATTGTCTCTAGTCTGGTTCCTGAGCCAGGCGGGTCCGCAGGATTCCAGGGCATTGCTGATGCCAGCACAGTGGTAGGTAATGGAAGGGCAGACCAGTCACTGGGGCAGGAATTATCCCACTCAGCTCCAATTAATCCTGTAAAAGCCAAAGCCCTAGCGAGTAGGGTGGTCCTAGCTCAACAAGCAGTCGAAAGCTTGCCAGGCAGTGCTCTCAATGGCAAGCTATACGGTTTTAGCTGGTTAGACTCCAGTAGCACACACAGGACTCTTGCCAACCTGCCCCTAATACTTTCCGGAATTAGGTAAACAGGATGTGTCTCTCCAGTGAGTGAGAGAGAGAGTGCATTCCATTCCAACAATCTATCTCTGGGATTTCCATGTGTAGGTGGGATGCCTGGACTTCTCACATTGGTTTAAGCACGGTGATGGGTTTCTGCGTGTGTCAGACACCCGGCTGGGCAAAGCAAACCCCTGAATGATTATGTAAAATACTGTACAGGGTATTTAGTGGAACCTAGGAATAGTGAGAGGCCATTTGGCCCATTCAGTCTGATCTGCTATTTTACTGCAACATGGTACATTTTTAAATCCCATTTCCTACCTCTTCACTATATTTCAGAATACCTTTTCCTCCCAACGTGTCTGTAATTATTTCCCAATTGACTGCATCTATAGCCCTCTTTGCCCAGTATAATAATGATCCTTGTATCTGATATAGCGCCTTATCATGTTATTGAGGCGTCTCAAGATATACTGTAAAGCTGTGACTGTGTATTTGTAAGTGAATGTGGTTGAAATGTCCTGCAAACAGCTATGAAGTCAGCGACCAATTTTATTTGGGTGATTGTTGGCCACGACACCCGGAGAAAATCCAATCACTTTTCCAATAGCACGTGGGATCTTTAACACCCACCTGAACAGTCAGACGGGACCTTGTTTTAAGGTCTCATCCGAAGGACGGCACCTCCGACAACGCAGTGCTTCCCCAACACTACGTTGGAGTGTCAGCTTAGACTATGTGATTCCAAGTCCTGACTTGGAGCTTGAATCCATAATCTTTGGCTCAGAGGCAAGAGGGCTACCACTGCATCAGGCTGACCCCTGGCTTATTCAACATTTTCACTACACTCCATGTGGAGAAATACGACATAGGTCATAATTAACACAGTACAGCATTAATGTTTTCTGTAAATTACCATTTAATTAATTTTTACTAGTAGTAATAGTAATAAAAAAGGGATGATTTTCACACCCAAAGACAGATAATAATAATCCTTGCATTTGATATAGCGCCTTATCACGTCGTTTGCGTCTCACTGCCACCAGCCCCAAACCCGCACCCCTCCCACACAAACGCCCACAGGCGTAACACATATAGTTACAGACAAGTTCCAAGATGAATCCCTTCCTATTCAAGGTCACAATTAGCTTTTAAGATGAACAGTTAAAGTTTCACAGGACGTAAAGGTATCAAAATTGAAGTGGAGACACAGTGACCATCATTCATCTGCCAGGTCACTGTTTCCTGCCTCGTATGGTAGCTTCATGTTACTCCTCTTAAGACACTGTAATTCCAGAAACCCTAATCAAAGCTTTATGTGGTTTGTTGTAACCTGAGAAGTCAGCAGTCCCTCTGCACAGTCCCTCTCCTGTGTTCCACAGCTTTAAATCTGAATCTGGGGCAAGCGTAGCTTAATCAGGACAGGTATTTGTGGAAAGAACGTTTCTGCTTTTAAGATTTTATTGCTGTAATTCCAAATTTCCACATGGAGGTAGTGGGAGCAGACAGGTCCCTTCACTGTGACATTAGAAGGCTTTCTACATATTTTTATTTGTCAGACATTTACAGTACAGGAGCTCTGAGATGAAAATAACTGTTAAGTTACTGAGTGGTTCCTGGTTTCCTGATATGAAAGACTATATACAGGGTGATTAAAAAGTCATCATAACTAGCCTATTATCTAAAACAAAATCCATTTTTTAAGACTTACTAGACGTTGTAGTTATCACAACTTTTTGATCACCAATGTCAGTTTGTACAAAAAAATCCATTTACTACACTTTACAGTATATTCTGTGAAGCACTTTAATAATAACCCTTGCATTTGATATAGCACTTTTCACGTCTTCTAGATGTCCCAAAGCGCTTCACAGAATATACTGTAAAGTGAATTGACTGTATATTTGTGGGCGAACGCGGCAGCCAATTGTGCACAGCAATGTCCCACAAACAGTCGTAGATTGAAAATGACCAATTTATTATTGTTTTTGTTTTTTGGACGTCTTAAAGAAAGACGTGATAAGGCGCTGTATCAAATGCAAGGATTATTATTATTATTGTTGCACAACTTGTGACGTTTCAAGATTCCCCTTGTCCCATCCTGTCCCATGCTGAAGGTGCTATGTAAGTGCAAGTTGTTTTTGTTGTGAAGAGGGAAGATGACTGAAGACAGTCAAAATTGAAGGTCTTGAGATGAGCCATGAAGGAGGCAAGTGAGGTGATGATGTTTACCAGCAAACACAGGTGCCCAAGCTATCACAGACTCTACCAAGCAGACGTCCATCATTTATCTCGGTTTATACCTCACAACATAGGACTAAAGGTGTCAGCAGGAGCATATCCCAGTACTGCGCTGAGGAGATTGCTCCCACCCAACCAATTGAAACGCCAGCTTAATGGCCTGTCTTACTGAGCCCGCCCTCCTGTGTGAAGGACGCTGTATAAATGTACATTGTTGTTCAGTAGAAAGTAATGACATTGTTGAGTTGCTCAGAGATTGAATGTTTTCCTCTCGCAGGTGGCAGTCTCATTCTCTCAGGAATCACTGTGTTCTTTATCTGGGAAGTGAAGACCAAAACCCAGAGCTTGATCATGTCTTGTCTCTTCAGTGCCATCTCCGTTATTGCCTGGAACTCTCTTGATGTCCTAGGACCAGAACTCTACCCCACTCAACTCCGGTAAGTACCAGGGGGTCCAACCAGTAGCTGCTGAGGACTTTATACCCTATTTGAGAAATGGGCACAAGCAAGATTTTTGTGTTTCCCTTCCAGAATCATAACATTTACGGGTTATGGAGGGAGAGGGTGAGCCAGATGAAATGGGGGGAGTAGGGGGGTGGGGGGAGTGGGTGGGGGGGTACAGGCCGTATTGTGGCGCATCCTAGGTTACAGTGTGAACGGAACATTCTAAGAACATAAGAATTTGCTGGTGAACGAAGACCAAGGAAAGATCTAGTTGGCCTTCCACCATCCTGGCAGTCACTGACATGTTGTGTCCCAAACTATACACTGTTTCCCAAACCATATTCTTCATTAGATCTTTTCCTGTACAGCCATTAGGACAGCTCTTGCCTGTTAAGAGGGGTTAAATCACTGACCATGTGCTTAAAGGACAGTGGTGGCCCCTGTGCACAGGCATCAATGAAGAAAAATTCAACAAAGATCAATGTGTTTTGTTGGCTGACCAAAAAGGTTGCCCCCACTGTTGTAGGTTTAAACTTGCATCTCTTGGAAAGTTTGCCAGCAATGTTTCAGCAAATGAAATGGGTTAAATGCTCTTATCACATCTTAAATGTTCTTCTGCAATTTTGTGTGACTCAAAAAGGAAATGATCCTGTCCATGCTTTTCTGTGCCATTGGATTCCAAGGATTTTGGGGGTTAGCGGAGAGATAATGATTCTATTTAGAAAGGATCAATTCTTGGGGCTGTTGGAACTAGTTCATCACTTGACGCTTTGCTCTCACAGACAAGATGCTCCAAACTAGAATATCACTATTATCATTATTGCAAACACAGGAGCCTCCCCCCTTCCTGCCCCCACACACATCACCCAAGTGACTGTCTTGATGGTTCAGCAATAATTGGGGTGGAGAGGAAAGTAAATGAAGTTTTTAAAAAATTGTTCATTCATTCCACGGCTGTTTGTGGGACGCTGCTGTGCACAATTATCTGCCGCGTTTCACCTATAAAATACAGTCAATTCACTTTACAGTATATTCTGTGAAACGATTTGAGACATCTCAAAAATGTGATAAGGCACTGTATCAAATGCAACAATTATTATTAGTGGGTTTGTCTCAATTGTTCAGGATTGTCAGTCAGCAGGAAGCCTAACAGCAGTTCTTGTCTCTTGCAGCTCATCGGCTCTGGGAGTGTTCACAGGCATTGGCCGCATTGCCTCCATCTTGGGAAATGTTGTGTTTGGTCAGTTAGTGGATCTGAGCTGTGCTGTGCCCATCCTTTTGATGGCAGCTATGCTTTTTGCAGGTGGTCTGATTGCTCTTAAACTGCCAAACACCAAGAACATAGAATTAAGCTGAGGGCTCAGGTATTGTTCTTGAAGGGAGGAAGGCTGGACCGAAACTGTCCCAGTGCTCTCTCTCTCTCTCTCTCGTGCATTCAGTTCTCTGAAATTCTGAGAAAAGCAATATTCATGTGGGATGTTTAGAATGAAATTGGGTTCTTCGTCTAATGTCTATTCAGAAATGAAAAGGATAACTGTGTAGCGACTACTGTGAAGAAAATGTAATCAGAAATGGCAATACGCTTCCAATAGGAAGCAATAACCATGGAACCTTGTTTTGTGGTGCGTCAACTGTTTAAAAAAAAAACCTCTTGCACATACATTTAAGAATTCTCTCTGACACATTTTCTTATGGAAGTAAACAAATGATATTGGACCCCAAAAAGCTTAAAAGCTTTATTAGATGGATCAATTCTTGGATCTATTAAAACTAGTCCATCACTTGACCTTTAGCTCTCACAGATGAGGATGCTCCAAACTTGGAACAAAAATGTCACTGTTCCCATTGGTTACACGGTGGAGATATTTTCACCTTTGTTCTATGCATATTTTTATTATTTTCCATAACAACTAACCCAGAATGTAATCCAATACATTTGCCATGGCCAACCTTGCCAAAACAGTTACCAAATTATTTCACTGAACCTCTGCATTATGGAAGGGACTTACAATTAGCAATCTGGTGAGATGCTGTAGGTTAAGGTTACGCATGCCTTGCTCTCTCAGCTATTCGAATTATAGCATTTTCTTTGAAGTAAGAATTGGGACATGAGAATCCAACTATGATATCCAATATGTATCCAAATATGTAAATTAGGAGCAGCGCGGTGGAGTTTTAGTGCCTTTTTTTTCTAATCAAGGGGACTGTTACAATTTTTTTTACACTCTGATTACTGCAATAGAGCACTTTAATAAAGTGCATGTCATTTATATAGCTGTAGATAACAAATCCAGGAACTAGGATTTATTGCAACAATTTGCACTTATCTTACCTTTTGTGGCACCTTTTGTGAAACAAAGCCACTCATTTATTAGTGTTGAACAAGAAATTCTTTCCCTCCCACATGGGCTTGGGACGCTTTTCCCGATAGCGTCAGAACGTTTGCGGGGACAGTAATAGCTGTCAGGGCTGCTGACCCCCTTTCTACAAGTGGGAGTGAAAGCAGGAACCAATCAGTAAAATGGTGTTGGGCCTATTCTAGTTCAGGAGATTAGTCATAAAAACAGAAGTCACTGGAAACACTCAGCAGATTTTTCATAGAATGTTACGGCACAGAAGAAGACCATTCGGCCCATCGAGTCTGTGCGGCTCTTTGACAGAGCGTCACTTTCACTAACCCCAATCACCAGCTTTCTCCCCATAACCCCACAAACCCGTCCTCCCCCGATACCTGTCCAGTTCTCTCTTTTGAAAGCTATTGTCGAATGTGCTTCCGCCACCCTTTCAGGCAGTGCATTCCAGCTCTGTTTTTAAAGAAAAGTGTGTCTCCTAGTCTCCCCTTTAGTTCTTTTAAAAGATCACTTACCTGAAGCATTAACTCACATTCCTCTCTCCATAGATGCTGCCTGACCTCCTGAGTGTCTTTGGTCATTGACCGTGAAACATTAACTCACTTTCCTCTCTCCATGTTCCCAGCCACTTCTGTTTTTATTTCTGATTTTCAGCATCTGCATTATTTTGCCTTCAGACGTTTAGTCTGCTGAACAGCATTAAATGTATGATTCAGGAACATTTATTGGCTCTGTAATTAGGCTGTTAGTAGTTTCTTTATTCCCTTCCACATACTTTTAAGACTGGCTTTTCAATTCCATCCAGGGGTGTTGCCTATAGGACGAGTTGTGGATTTGCTCACATTTAACTATACAGGGGAAATGTAAGTTACTTTTGTCAGCAACTGAAGCTGATTATCACAACCTGCTAAGCAGAGCGTGTTGCACAGGGGACACATGGAATGTACTTCTGGTCACTTGACTTTTTTAAAAAAATTGATTTGATAATAAATTTATTGATGTACGTGCCAATAAAAATTGCTGCCCAATGGGATGCTTAAAAAGTTCAACTCAATAAATACTTGAATATTGACTTCTGACTGTGCTGCTAGTTTGCAAGTTCCTCCACTTTACATTTAAGTATTGCAAAATAAATTCTTATTTTAAGTATAATATACAATTTACAAGAATGATACCAGGGATGGGGGATGACAATTATGTTGAGACACAAGAGGCTGGGAGGGGAAATTTAATAGAGGTGTTCAAAATTATGAGGGGTTTTCATAAAGACAGGGAGCAACTATTTCCACTGGTGTCAGTAACCAGGGGACACAGATTTAAGATATTTGGTAAAAGAGGGGAGACTAAGACACTTTTCTTTAAAAACAGTGTTTTTACACAGAGAGAGCTGGAATACACTGCCTGAAAAGGTGGTGGAAGCAGATTCGACAATAGTTTTCAAAAGGGATTTGGATAGGTATTTAAAAATTTAAAAGGAAAAATTTGCAGGGCTACGGAGTATGAGCAGGACTAGTTTGTAGCTCTTTCAAAGAACTGGCACAGGCACGAGGGACTGAATGGCCTTCTTCTGTGCTGTAAAATTCTATGATAAGTAAATTAATCGTCAGTATACTACAGCTCAGTGCTCATGGTTCTTAGGACAATGATGGTGCACTATGCAATTTTAGTGCACAAATCACTGTACATGAACCACAGGTTAAAAGGAGCCCTAATAAATCAGCCTGTTTAAAATAGTCATCTCCTTCATAAAGAGAGGACAATATCAGATACAAGGAGCAAAGACTGGCACTAGTAATCAAGCTTAAGAACTGTGGAGAAGACCTGGATTTGATTCCTGAGCAGGACGAAATGTTGGGAAAGTTTCTTTACTCCACACACCTGTTTACCTTGCAGTAAGTAGGAACTCGGTTGTTAGTTGATTAGCTGATTGCTTATTTGGTCACTCAAGCCCAGACTGTTTGTGGGACGCTGCTGTGCGCAATTGGCCAACACATTTTGCCCACAAAATATATAGTAAATTCACTTTGCAGCATATTCTGCGAAGCTCTTTGAGGTATCTCGAAGACGTGATAAGGCATTATATCAAATGCAAGAAATATTTATTATTACTGGAAAGCTGCAGTGAATGCAGGGTTGTCGTGCTAATGCAGCAAAAGAGAAAAAGGTAATTGTATTAAAATTTTATTTAACGATTGACTATCCTGGAGGGAAGTGGGGGTTGAATTTGTTGAATTGACTCCAAAAAAAGCTTTTAGCAGGTGGGCTACCTACAACAACAACAAGGTTACATTTGTATGGCGCCTTTCACAAAGGAAGCCAAGCTTTTAAGTGGATGAAAGTTTAAATAAATCCAAGTCAAAAGCAACCACAGGATCAAAGTGAGTATCTTCCCCAGACTGTGTGGTCCACACCCACCACCAAGCAACCAACCAGATGGGGCAGGTCTAGTTTGAACAAGCTACTTGGCAGCAGAATTGCATAAATAAGCAGGTGTGGACAATTAGTCATCTTTTCCCTTCACGTGATCCAAGCAGTTTAAATTAGACAAAGCTGTAATTCTGAAGTTAACACTGTGACCATACACGTTTACATGGACAGAAGCTGGAGTCTTGTAGCTTAGTGGTTAGAGCGCTTGCCTCACAAGCAAGAGGACCCAGTTTCGATTCCCAGTCAGGACAAAACTTTAGGCAAGCAAGTTTCCTTACTCCTCGCACACGCCTCGGTTTACCCAGCATTAAGTAGGAACCCAGTTGTTAGTCGATTGGCCGATTGCTTTCTGGGGGTAATAATGCCTTAAAAAAATTGCTCAATCAATCGGCAACTGTTTGTGGGACACTGCTGTGAACAATTGGCTGCAAGTCAACAAATCAATTCACTTTAGTGTATTCTGTGAAACTCTTGAGATGTCTCAAAAGATGTGATAAGGAACTATATGAAATGCCCTGCCCAATCAAAACAAGTCGTCATTCTTTGGCAGCAAGGCACTTGGTCAATGGGTACTTCAGATCCATTGGATTTTTCTATAAAAAGGTAAGCAGCCAGAAATGGAGAGGTTCCACTGGTCATGTGTTTGTATTTACCAGCTCTCCACCACAGCTTTCATATAGATGAAAAACATGCACTGAACACAAAACATTAATCAGGTAGATATCAATAACATTAACTGATCAGATATCAATAACCAGTCACTGTAACAAACATCTGGTGAATCATTGGCTATAGGCAAGACTAAGTAGCCCATCATCCCAATGTGCTTCAGGTAATTAGGTTTGCTATTTTGTTCAATATCCATTCAAATTAAGAAATATGAAGTCGCATCAGCAGTTTATAATCACAGTACTCATTAAACCAGTTAGGTTTGTTGTAGGTTTCTGTGCTGGTGATCAGTCTAAATTCATTGCTCTTGCTAGATTATGGATAATGTAGAATATGATCAATATTTCTTGGGCTAAAACACGAGTTCAGTATTAGCATGAGGAATTAGATTAATGAGCCAATTCAGACAACAGAATTGTCAATCATTTTTCTCTCTCCCCTGCCCCACCTCAACAACAACAACAACAAGATTCCATTTATAAAGCGCCTTTCACGTCAGGAGGACGTCCCAAGGCGCTGCACAGTTGGGTCATGACCCGAGCAGGGGGGAAATGGTCAGGGTGAGGGGAGGGAAGGGAGGGAGGGGGGAAATGGTCAGGGTGAGGGGAGGGAAGGGAGGGAGCGAGGAGGGGGAAGAGAGTCGAGAGGGGAGCTGAAGGCTCGGTCAAAGAGAAAGGTTTTGAGACCGGCCTTGAAGGAGGAAAGGGAGGAAGCGGCGAAGGCACTGGGGGATGGAGTTCCAGAGCCTGGGGGCTGAGAGGCTGAAGGCCCGACCACGATGGTAGGTCCACCTCCTCCAAATTGCAGCCTTGAAGTCATTCTAAGGCAAGTTAATCCTGTGAACATAATTTATTTTATTTAGTTTCTTCTTACAGCAGGTGTTCATGGATACCAAGAGCCAGTAGTCTCATTCACTGGTCAGGACCATCACACTGGAGATTGACAGCTGCAATGTAACCAGTGCAAGTTCTGCGATATGTCTGCAATTGGCAGGAAATGTGGCCATTATGAACAAGACAGGAGAGATTTTCATGAACATCTGGTTTAAGATTAATAAAGCATTGTGGAACCTTTGCACGATGCTGTGCGTAAACAATGTGGTCAATGCTGTAGTTTCTGCTTCAACAAGTTTATTTTTGTGCCCAACATTAACAGCTTACTCGACAACTTCAGGTAACTGCAGTCATACCTGCATACCACAACAGTGAGGTAGAGACCTTACTAACACTCAACAGCAGCTGGGCGAGCGACAAGGCAACAGCTCAGCAAAAAAAAAGTTTAAGGACACTGGTTCTTTGGCACACAGCTTCAGATCAAAAAACCACAAGAGTAAAAACCTCTTCAAGTAACTGGAGACCCAAGCAGCTGCTCAGTGCTAGCTTATTCTTTTAAACAGTAATGAGCAACTGCCCGAAAGGGACCTAACCGGATACTCAGCCTGGCCCGGCCAAACCCCTTCTGCTCAAGTACAAAAAAAAAACCATCATCAGTGAAAATGGTGATTAAAAACCTCTAACTTCCTACCCATAGTGCAAATTAAAAAGTGCAAAGAACACCTTAAAACTATGTACAGCAGCTCGAATGTCGTTATTTCGGTCCAGTTTCTTATCCGTAAATCCACACCAATGGTTGCAAACGTCTTGATTTACAACAATGACCCAGGGTCCGTTATAGCAGGCAGACACACCAAAATGTTAAGCCGCCAAGGAAAGAGTCACAGTTGTGTTTGGACTAAAACCTTCAACAGTGTAAAAAAAGAACTGGTCAAAAAAATGAAGCCTTAAAAAGGCAGTTGCATCTGTAAAAACGGAGCGTAAAATATTGAATTTGATTTGCTAAATAAAGCACTAGTCTGCCTCGGAGTTAAGTAAAAAAACCGGCTGAAACATTTCACACCAGTATCTGATGGAGGAAAAAAAAATCAAAGGCACTGTATGGCAACCGCTAGTGGAAAGGTAATGAACTTGCAACATTGTCAAAATGCAAGGAATGTAAAAAAGCCTAAAAATCTAAATGTGAAGCCATGGCTTCAACACCTTCCAAGACCTGGCTCTCACCTCTGTGCAGGACGTCTGTCTGGAACTGCTGTTGTGGGCCCCAAAACCCCATGGAATTCACGGTGCATAAGTGCAATTGTGAATATTAAACAGCAAGTAGCAAGTGCAAGAGTGAACTTTAGTCCATAATCGCTGTTCCCAATCTGGCGCCAATCCTGGCTCAACACTCAGAAACTGAAAAAAAAAATCCCTCTTCGCTGCGAATTTAGCTAGAATCGCGGCTCTTCTGATTGCGCATCAGTGGACGGTGGTGACGCAGAATCTCCAGAGAGTGCTGCCACTGCCAGCACGAACGGCAGAAGTACTTGAAGCAGACCTGCCGGACAAGCAAACAGTTATTGGTTAGTACTATTGAGTAGTCAGTCAGATTTCCATGCAGGTATATTAAACAAATGCAAGTTGTTGTTGATAACTCAACCTGGCTTAACTAGTCACTATAACACAAGTTATCATGCTGTCAATATCCTGGTCACATTTATTATACCTAACTCATCACTGAGCCCCTTTTCCCACAGAATGACAAATTTGCCACGTCAGCTTGGTGCAATGGTCGCACTCTCGCCTCCAAGTCAAGAGGATTGTGGGATCTAATCTCATGTTGTACTCCTGTGCAGTGCTGGGGGAGGGGGGTTTCCATTGACAGAGGTCCCGTCCTTAGGATGAGACACTAAACCCGAGATCCCGTCTGCCTATTCAGGTGGACATTAAAGAATCCTTGGCGCTATTTGAAGAGAAAGGAGTCCCTTTCTCTCTCTCGGTGTCCTGGCCAGCAATCCGCCAAATAAAATGGGTCATTGACTTCATGGCTGTTTGTGGGGACGTTGCTGCGTGCAATTATGTTGCCACATTTGCCTACAAATACAGTTGTTTCATGTCACAATAAATCCTGTGAAGCTTTGACACAGCCTTCTGTTGAGATAAGACGCTATACCAAATGCAAGGACTATTATTAGATATTAGTTATAGAAGTTATGATAAACCTTTATAAAAAACACTGGGTAGGCCTCAGTTCGAGACTGTGCTCAGTTCTGGGCCCCACACTTTAGGAAGGATGTCAAGGCATTGGAGAGGGTGCAAAGGAGATTGACCAGGATGGTACCAGGAATGAGGGGCTTCAGTTATCAGGAGAGGCGAGAGAAGCCGGGATTATTCTCCTTGGAGCAGAGAAGGGGGGAGGTGAGGAGAAATGTTTTCACACAGCGAGTTGTTGGGATCTGGAATCCATTGCTTGAAAGGCTGGTGGAAGCCGCTTCGATAACAACTTTTAAGAGAGAAGCTGATAATTATTTGGGGAGGACAAGTTTGCAGGGCTATGGGGAGAGCGCGGGGGAGTTGGATTGAATTGGAAGCTCTTTTCAAACAGCCGACACAGACATGATGGTCCGAATGGCCTCCTTTCTGTGCTGTTTAATTCTATGATTCTCAGGAGTTTACTATACATTGGTAACATGTACTCACAAGAATGCGAATGGTTACACAATTGCTGTAGGGTTCGGAACCCACCGAATAGAGAGTTGTGGCCTGTCTATCCAATATCTGTACAAGACATTGGACAGGCCACAACTGGAACACTGTGCAGTTTTAGACACTGCATGATAGAAGGCAATAGGGCTTTGGTGAAGGTGCACTGTAGGTTCACAGAATGGCAAGTCAATAAAAGTATACAGCTATGAGAGGCTAAGGCTCTTCCTGTTGGGAGTACAAATTAAGTCTTTGATGAAACTGAAAGGGTTTGAGAGAATTAAGTGAAAAAACTGCTGTTTGGAGATTTACAATAATTGTTGCATTTGATATAGCACCTTCAATAAGTGATAAAGTGCTTCACAGAATATAGTGTAAAGTGAATTGACTGTATATTTTGTAGGCAAAAAGTTGCAGCCAATTGCACACAGCAGCGTCCCACAAACATTCTTGGATTGAATATCCATATTATTATTATAATTTTATTTCAAGAGATTTTTACACCCGGAAAAGTGATTCACCAATCGATGCTACTTACTGCTAGGTAAACAGAGGCAAATGATGTAAGGAAGCTTGCCCAATGTTTGGTCCTGCCGAGAATCAAACCCAGGACCGCTCACTTGTGAGGCGAGTGCTCTAACCACTGAACTACAGGACTTGATTTGAGGAAAGGGGGAATGGAATGAATTGTGACAATGGGAGTAAAAGTAGAAGCGCTCCCCGAGGTTGTCAGGGTGTGGAATCATTGGTCAGGGATGGATATTAGAGCAGAGTCGATTAGGGCATTTTTTTTAAAAAAATCACATCGACAAACAATGCAAAGGAAGGCAGTTTATCAGAGGGGAAAGAACAGGGAATTGGGATTAGGCTGGAGACAGATTAAAAAAAACAAAAAGTTGTATTCAATTTATAAACAGATTCTCTCCTCTCACCTCCCTCCCTAAAAAAAAACTCACTCGGTCTCTGCAGAAGAATGGTCCTGGATGAACATTGCAGGCTTGGCACACAGAATCCTCCAGATACGGATCGATTTGCACCTTTAACAAAATACAGGTTTCAGTACATGAAATGGGCATGTCCTTCCTATAAACAGGAGATTCCTAATCCTGGAATTACCTTTTTGGTAAACTTGGGAGTCTTTATCTCCACAAACGCTGCTCCAACTGCTTTCAGGTAACTCTGCGGGTGGTTGAAGGTAACCCGACCAGAACCTAGATGTGAAAACAAGATCAGGGTTAAGGCATTTACAACTTTGAAACAATAAGATTCTTAAAGGGCTGATAAAGTAGTCACTGAGGGTCTGTTTCCCCGGGTAGGAGAATCTATAACCAGGGGTCACAGTCTTAAAATTAAGGGTCAGCCTTTTAGAACAGAGTTGAGGGAACATTTCTTCACTCAGGTTAGTGATTTTATGGAACTCACTCCCCCAGAAGGCTGTAGATGTCAATCCTTGAACATCTTCAAGGCTGAGACTGATAATTTTTAAAAATAGAGGGATTAGGGGATATGGGGATAGGGCAGGTAATTAGAGTTAGGTCAGAAGATCACTCGTGATCTTATTGAATGGCGGGGCAGCTCGAGGGGCCGAATGGCCTACTCCTGCTCCTAATTCTTATGTTCTTTACACAAGTACAGATTTAGCAAATTCTGTAAATGACGAGGACACAATCCAAGCTGTTTCAGTTCATCTGGAGTTTTGGTTGGTCAGGATACGTTCTTTTCTAATAGAATCATGGTGTCTTTAGCAGCCACCTGAGTCAGACCTGCAGTTTAAATACTTTTACCCAAAGATAATAATAACGATGACAGCAGTCAGATAATAAAACACAGAAATGAATTGCAATGTCAGCCCATGTCCATGTACAACCTTCAGACCCAGAGACAGGTGTCATGTCAACCAAGTCAAGCTGACAAATGCTGATCATAGAAGTGAAAGTAAAAGTCTGTTCCTTTCCTTATTGCCCATAAAATGGGTAAGATTCATAATAGCTTAGCAGCCAGTTACAAACAGCGGGCACAGACTGGAGAAGAACGGAGAGCAAATCTTAGATTTAGTAGAATATTTCCTGATCAAGTGCTCTTGAAACTGCTCTAAAACAGTCGCAGAAGCAGTTTAACAATTATAGCAACTTGCAAAACCCAAACATGTACATCATTCTTGCATTCTAGTTTAACCAAGGTATTAAAGGCACTAATCTGGACACCCCAGCTGGAGCGCATAAGCTCAGTGTCTGGTACTCAGGACCAGGACATGCATTCAATTCAAGGACAGTCAGTGCTCAAGTAAAACAGTGAGCGTCTTTCTCTACACTTTCTTACTCCTTGTTCTCACTGGGATTCCATACAGATACCACTAAGTGACAGTAAGATACCACTGTCACTTGCTGCTGTTAAAAGCTGTTTAGAATAATAATCCTTGTATTTGATATAGCGCTTTTCACATCTTCTTGACATCACAAACAATAAGCTTAAAGATCAAACTTACCGATTGGATATTTGTGCTTGTCTGTGTCAATACCAGCATATACCACTCCTGCAAACAGATCATTCATAATAGCTGCCAAAGCTTCCCCATTCAACATTCCATGGAGTGCACCAACAAACACCGTCTTACTGGGATCCAGGCGTTGAGACGGGCTGCGGACAAAGTTGCTATCAGAAAGGACCCAGGGGATGACTTGAACCTGGAAAGGATTGAAGCAGATTAATCTCTTCACTTACAAAACTCAAATACAAAAATCTTGCACTTCAATGCAAGTCTTAAAAGCACAGTGCAGCTCAATATTCATTACATCAAACGCTACAACAACAGGTTTAGGGCTCAAAGTTCTTAACCTCTGAAACACACCAAAAAAAACAGTACTTTCATGAATAAAGAAAATTTCTCCATATTGGTCTTCTAATTGCCAACCCCATCGAAATATTTTGCAAACAAAGGAGCAAAGCTCAGGCATGAAATTGGAACAGTCTACATAGACACTGTGACTAAAGCAACACCCAGATCAAGTATTTATAGCATCGGTTTAATTCTTCAAATGACTTGTCTCAATTGTGAGACAAGCATGACATTTTAAGGATTATGATTAATCTTTGCACTTTAAACTTTAAGAGTATATAGTACTACTTTAACAAAGCCAGAGCTTTTAGAGATACACTGTGATATTAAGAGACAATTTATAACATTTAGCATTTTGAAAGATTAAGGTGGCTTCCTAAGTATACATTTTTTTTTGGTTTCACATGATCAAGTAAATGTTAATTATTCCCTCCCCAAGGATTCAGCATCACTTGGGGAGGACAAGTTTGCAGGGCTACGGGGAGAGAGTGGGGGAGTGGGATTGAATGGATAGCTCTTTTCAAAGAGCTGGCACAAACGTGATGGGCCAAATGGTCTCCTTCTGTGCTGTATGATTCTATGATCACTAACCCGTTTCCCCACCCTCTGTCACCAACCTCATCCTGTCCTTGAAACCCACCACCTGCTCCCTGGACCCCATCCCCACTCCTTATCTCCCAGCTCCACCTCCTTGCCCCACTTCTCACAGACACCATCAACCTGTCCCTCTCCTCTGGATCTATTCCTCTCAAAACTGCCACCATCGCTCCCACACTGAAAAAACCCTCCCTTGATGCGTCGCAGCTATCAAGCTACTGGTCCATCTCCAACCTCCCCTTCCTGTCCAAGGTTCTCGAAAGAGTCGTTGCCTCCCAGCTGCGCTCTTTCCTCTCCACCCATTCACTATTTGAATCCCTCCAGTCGGGTTTCCGTGCTGCCCATAGCACAGAAACCACCCTGGTCAGGGTCACTAATGACATCTTGACCATCTGGGACCAGGGCTCCCTCTGTCTCCTCGTCCACCTCGACCTATCGGCCGCAATCGATACGGTCGACCACTCTATTCTCCTCCACCGCTTGTCCTCCCACCTCAACCTTCAAGGCCCCGTCCTTGAGTGGTTTAGGTCCTACCTCTCCCACTGTCTTCATTTTGTTTCCACTAACGGCTTTTTCTCCAGCCCCTGTACTGGCTCGTGCGGTATCCCTCAGGGCTGTGTCCTCGGTCCCCTCCTCTTCACCCTCTATATGCTCCCCCTGTGGTGACATCGTCCGCAGACATGGGGTTAACTTCCACATGTATGCGGATGACACCCAACTCTACCTTTCCTCCTCTACCCTCAACTCCACAACCCCCGATGTCCTGACAGCTGTCTGTCCGACATCGAGTCCTGGACGAGAGACAACTTTCTTCAGCTCAACGTGCGCAAAACTGAGGCCCTCCTGATTGGCTCACGTCAGCGCCTCCGCACCTCAGGCGCTGACAGCATCAGCATCCAAGGCCGCACTCTCCACCTCTCAAAGCCATCAGGAACCTTGGGGTTCTGTTCGACCCTGAGCTGTCCTTTCTTCCCCACATCCGCGCCACAACTGGCACCGCCTTCCATCACCTCCGGAACATCGCCAAAAAGCACTACCTCACCCCTCACGCGGCTGAAACTCTGGTCCACGCCTTTATCACCTCAAGGCTGGACTACGGGAACTCTCTCCTCACCGGCCTTCCCGGCCCTCCCTCCACACTGCAGGTCATTCAGAACTCTGCAGCTCGTGTACTGTCCCGCACCAGGCCTCACGCCCACATCACTCCCACCCTCGCCCTCGCTCGCCACCACTGGCTCCCCATCCCCCAGAGGATCGAATTCAAGATCCTCATTCTCACCTACAAGGCCATTCACGGCCTCGCTCCCTCCTACCTCTCCGACCTACTATCCCCCTACTTACCTGCCCGTACCCTCCGTTCCTCTGGCTCTGGTCTGCTCCACATCCCCCGCCCCAACCGCCCTACCATCGGTGGCTGGGCCTTCAGCCTCTCAGCCCCGAGGCTCTGGAACTCCATCCCCCAATGCCTTCGCCGCTTCCTCCCTTTTCTCCTTCAAGGCCGGTCTCAAGATCTTTCTCTTCAAACGTGCTTTCAGCTCCCCTTTCGACTCTCTACCCACTCCTCGCTCCCTCCCTTCCCGACCATTTCCCCCGTTCGGGTCCCAACCCAACTGTCCAGCACCTTGGGACGTCCTCCCGACGTGAAAGGCGCTCTATAAATTCAATCTTGTTGTTGTTGATCAGGAGACCATATCTAAAGAGCAGCACAAGACCACCTTCTAGATTAAGACACTCAGATAAACTTCCACACTTAAAAAAAGTGGCTATAATAATAAATAATACTTGTATTTGATATAGCGCCTTATGTCTTCTAGACGTCTCAAAGCGCTTCACAGAATATACTGTAAAATGCAGTAGACAATTGCGCACAGCAGTGACCCACAAATAGTCATGGATTGAGTGCCCAAGGGATTATTACTCCTGGAAAGTGATCCGCCAATTGACTAACAACCGGGTTCCTACTTACTGCTGGTAAACAGAGACATGCGGAGTAAGGAAACTTGCGCAACGTTTCACCCTGACCCAGGAATCAAACCAGGTCGCTTGCGAGGCAAGTGCTCTAACGTCCTCCCGACGTGAAAAGCGCTATATCAAATGCAAGGATTATTATTATTATCACTACGCTACAGGACTCCATTGTCCTGTCATCTACATTGAGGCACCCAGATAGACTTCCACATTACAAAAGTGGCTATCCCTGATGAACGCTGCCATCCACTCTAACAAGGCCAAAACCTAACAGGAGACAACTGGCAATACCTCTTTGCAGCGCATCCTGCGGCTGGACATTTTAAAGTAGTACTCGCTTGTGCCATCAGTGCTCATGAGATCATGTGTGCAGGATTGAAGTAGTGCACGGACCGACTTCTCAGACTCAAAAACCAAATAGACATAACCTGCCAATACAGAAAGCCAGCATTAGCCATGGTCAAGACAACAGCTGAAAAGGGCACCACAGTCTCTTTACAGACTATTGCAACCATATAGTTAACACAGGGTGACCAAAAAGTCATAATACCATTACACTGTCTAATAAGATAACAGGGTAGCTGAAAAATAACACTTTTTGGTCACCCTGTATATGGACCAGGGTATGGCCTGACATACATTGTCGTGCAACAGCAAAATTTGGTACAAAAGAGGTTATGTACAACACATGGAGTTTCTATTGGGTATGATGCATCTCCCATTATGTGGGATCTTATAAAGTTTTATAAAAATTAATTAGAACACTTTAGGAGTCAAATATTTAGCAACAAAATATAGCCTGAAGAGAGAGGGTGGAGCCCAGAGATTCAATATGTGTGAACTGCATAGAAGCAGGTCTAAACACTACATTTACACAGTCTTGTTCAATACATTTATATTATGAAATGGAAACAGTGGGGAAAAGGAAAAATATTCAAATAGAAATTTGAATTCTCAACTGCTGATATTGTTTCAGTTTCAGTTGGTCAAATCTTGGCAGTTTGATATAAAAGTTGAAAAGCTTCACCCCAATTGTTTCCAGTCAGTTATTCACCTTTACACCACTTAATCCCAATAGTTTCCAAATCTACACACCTTTAGTCACGATTTGAGGTGGTGGCTTTGCAGCCTGAAGTTGTGAAGTTCTTGCATGCAACACCAATATTCTGACCCTCAACCTTAGTGACAGAGTGTCAGAATAGGTAATGCGTCCTACCATGTCTCAGCTTTTATTACCTTTCGGCATATTACCTTTGGGTGGGCAGCGAGGGTGCTTGCCATCCTTACCCGGCCACTCTACACTCAGAGCACCAAATACCCTGAAAGTATTGATCAATCCAACTAGGGAAGAGAAAACAAAGTTGCATGTTAGATAACATTTCCTGTAGTAACTATTGTAGAAGTCAAACCAGTCACACACTAACAACGGGAGCAATCAGTTAGAAATAGTATGGGGACCAGAATAAACTTCCTTTTTAATGCTTAATGCTCAACATTGTCAATAGGCAAGTTGCCCTCCCCTTGCTCACCAAGCACCAGCCTGCTTCATGACCCTCACTGAAACAGGTCCACCTTCCTACTTGGTAGCTCACTAAAACCGATAACTTCCAGATCAACAGATCATTTTCTGTGGCATCAGATCATTGCCAACCTCATTTCCTAGGTTAGTCAGTGGCAATGTTTGAAATCGGCTGCTTGAAGTGTGGGAAGCTATCCAGCTTTCTACACACGTGTGATTTTAGAATTTTTTTTTGTAGAATTGTATGAAACCCCAACTAGTGTTAAAACAGATGAGTGGAATCTTATTGAGACCTGAAGACAAATGTCACATTGATTTTTTCTGGATTTCAAAACAGAGTTGAAGAAACCAGACTGAAAAATACTAATGTTTTAAGTTACAAAACATGACAGAACCTACGCATGAACTTTTTGCATCGTTTAACAGAAGAGCATTGGTTTCCTGTACATTCCTCACTGATCTAATTCCAGAGAGAATTAAATGCAGGTTGACAAGAGCAAAGGCTTGGGGACCCCAGAGTGTACTTTGCTGGATTTTAATTAGCAAAAACTACATCGCTTGCCATGAAATCACTTCTCTGGCAAGTTTCCAGTGAAGACCACTCTTCCTGTTTGAGCTTTAGCATGCAGGAGCTGAGTGGGAAGACTCCCTGCTCCCCAGTGACCGCCCACCACCAATGTGCTCCTCAAGATCCTGCCGATGAGCCAGCTGGAGTACTGGGGACCTGCCTGGCTCAGGAACCAGACTATCAGGGCCACCACAGGCATTCTGTTTCCAAGCACATCACTTTATAGCCAGCTCAGCTCGGAGGAGACCCTTCCCCCTCCCCTGAGAATTATTATAGTGCATAGGGTGGCAATTTATAACTGTGTCTAGTGAACCAAATAAATCAATTAGCCAATAACCCGTAAATCCTAATGGAAGACAATGNTTTTTTTAAAAGCTGAACACTCAAATATTGATAGTGTGCTTAAGTCGATGGAAGTTGGGATATATGCGCCAAAAAATGATCACTCAATCCCTGACTATTTGTGGGACACTGCTGTGCACAATTGGCTGCCGCATTTCACCCACAAAAGATAGTCAATTCACTTCACTTCACTATGAAGCACTTTGAAACGTCTCGAAGACGTGATAAGGCGCCATATCAAATAGAAGGATTATTATTTACCTTCAGTGATGTCCCAAGGCACACCACCCAGGAACACCTTGCAGGAATAGATTGGATTCTTGTAATTCCGGGGTGGAAGTTGGCCACTCCAAGTAAACATTGCTTCACTCATTGCTATTAAAAGAGAAAGTTGTATAAATATGTTGCACAAAATAAAGTGCGCGTGCTTTTCTTCAATTTGATCAGACTCCAGATTACAGCCCTCACCTCATTCCTCATACCAACTCTTACAGCCCATTCTTCAGATCAGTTTTAAATACTCTGCCAGGTTTGAACACTCCTATCTTTCTCTCCTGTACTTGTTGAGCTTCTTTTGCTTTTTCCCTATGTACACACTCCCGGTGGGTGGGGGGAAACATTCTCCCATTATAACTGCTTTTCCTTAGACTCACACACGACAAGTGTAGTCAACCATCAATGATCAGCCTTATTGAAATCACACACCAACATAAGAGCAGAGGCAATTATAATTGTTGCAGACTGTGCAGACATGAATCCCCAATGAGTGACTGGAGCTTTGCACATGAAATCAAGAGGGGGAGGAAATAGCACCGACTAGAACCAATTCACTGCATATCAGGTAAAAAGGAATACAGTTAACTTTGGTGGACCCCAGCACAAGGCAAAATGAGCCACAACTTCAGTACACCTCATATATGACTTCTGAGAAGTAGTTACTGAAACCCTATTTCCCCAGTTCCCAAACCCAGCTCAGCCAAATCAGTTGCAGTGCTTTTGATTTTCCACCCTGCAAGATCCAGGCCGCTTACCTCTGAAGCAGGAGATTCCAACAAAGATCCTAAACCATCAAGGGCAATGAGGAGGAGAAAAAAGCCGAATAGAAAATAAAATCTAATAGGCAAGCTCTTTCCTGGCAACCCATGCTCCAAATAAACTGTTGTTTTTAGGACTTGTACTTACTTGCTCAGCACAACAAGTCCCTGTTGTGTGATTTACTAATTTCTACAAGTAGTTTGAATGACTGCCTTTAGGCCACATTTGATCTCATCCTTCAGGGAGAGCCACTCTACCATTGTAGCTTCTTAAAGAGTCCAGCAGCCCCACATCAGCCCCCCCGGTTCCAGTCATTAATTTATCATCAGAGTAAAGAAACACATCCTTGTGTCTACTGAAAAAACCCTGAACCTATGTATGCCCTCTTGTCCTCCTGCGTTGGGAGTCTCTGAACAATATTGGATTTGTTTGCCTTCTTAATCCCATTTAACATCTTACATACTTCTATAAAGTTCCTTCTCAGACATTCAAGATGAAAGAACCCTGATTTACCTAAACATTGCTTATAACTCATTCACTAACATTGAGGTCATCCCAGTTCCTCTTCTCTGCATTGTCTCTGATACCTGGGGAGACCCCTTACCCATAAAACAGTATGCATACTGCCTGGTACTGCCTGACCAGAGAAGTGTACAGCTGAAGCACGACTTGGGGAAGAAAATCCAACTGATTTAGCAATATAGTCCAGCATCCCACATGCCTTGCTGATTACTGCAAAACATGGTTCGGAGATGGTGAGCGATGAGTGCTTTACTAGAGTACAGGACACCAAGATACCAGCTCTGATTAGTGGGCCTCCTGCAATTTAAAGAAAACTTCCGGATTATCCATCACCACTGGTGTCTCTTCCTACCCATATGGAGGAAGTGAAACAGACAACTTCACATAGGAAGAGACATCAGCAGCCATCGAAGGTCAGCCATTTTTTAAGCGTTTCTTATAATGCAGCTCAACATATTGGATTCAAACCAACAGAAAACAATGAGATTACTGTGCCCTACCATCACTTAATGGCAAAAGGAGTTTTTAAGATGGGAAGCCTCACTTTCTCCTCATATGGACCCAATCCTACAATGAAGGCTGTTGAGAACATAAGCTACCAAAATAAGAAGAAGCTGACAAATGCAGACTCAAGTCTATTCGTTTACACAGTATTCATTATAGGCTATGGAATGAAGTAACTAAAGTTCAATAAATTATACAATGATGTAGGATATTAGCAAAATAGAATTTCTGTTTACCTGCCGCTTGTCTATGTAGTCTAGCCTCCCTTTCGATACTGAAGGGATCTTCTGCACTGTCCAACAGATCCCAATTTGGCCACCCAGAGCTTCCGGACCACCTTTTTAAAGGGCTGGGGCTTCCAGGATAGTTCACAGCCGCCATCGAAACCTGATCATGATCGAGTCGAGGGCCTACACCAAACTGTTTCATTGCGTCTCTGGCTCCTCCACCCATGGGCAAGAAGGAAATTGGAGGGGAAATGCGCAGGCTTGACTGTAAAGTATTTCACACATAAAAGCCATATATAAATTCAAGGACATTGTGGTAGTATGTAATATGCAAGTAGAAATCCCATCAAAAGGAGGCTAAAAGGAATTTATTTAACCCCCTCCCACCTTACCCTGAAGTCTATAAAGCAAATATCAGAAGCAATATCTAGCAATTGGTCTTTTGAGTCTTTGGCAATTAAATTAAACATATATAAAAGTGAAAGAATTTTACGCATCTGGATTTCTAACTTATGAAAGAATGCGTTTTAAAGTGTTCATAATATTCCAACCTCTCATACAACATTAAAGTAATAACATTTTCTCCCAGTACTTAATCTGGATAGGCAACCATATTATCTATTGATCCTTCCTTTATCCAAATCTGACAGGTGTGGATACATCATTGGAGAAGTGAATGATCTACCCACCAGTTTTGCTGAAGAAAGCAATTATGAGTGATAAGGATGTTCACAAAATCTCCAACCTTCAGCAATCAGCATGCCATGGCGAAACTCAATAAGAAACACCAATAAATAATAAAAACTACAATCATAATAAAGTCCTTCAACCTGGGGCACGGTTCAGCATTGGGAACTCCTGAACATTTGCACATCACTATCTAAATATGACACATCTTACCAAAATTTCTAAAGCACCTTACCAAAAGTGAGAGCTTGACCTGAAAAAACTATAAAAGTTACATTAAGGCAGCAAATTAAGCCCTTCAGATCAACTAAAAAGCATCCAACATTTTTAAATTCTTCTAAAAAAACAGGTTATAAACTTGTAGACAGGTAAATACTGTGCCACATAAAAGCTGGGCTCATTTTCCAGAATTAAAGTACTACAAAAGCCTCCATTAAAAGCAATATAGGTGAGTACTGTAAAAATTGCAAGATTTGAAAATATTGAATTTAATTGAATTTATTCGTTAAATTAATTTAATTAATTGAAATGTGCAGTAAATATTCAAAGTCCAAAATACAGTCATCATCAAAAATGGTACACATTACCCTCTGAAGAGGCTAGAAATGTGAATTAATGTCATTTCAGTCAGTGCTTCAAAGCACTTCCCAAGACCCTCCCCTTCAACCATGCCATCAGCCACCCTCCTACCCTACACCCCACCCCCACCTGATCCCAAGCCCCTGCTCGGGTGCAAATTCCTAACTGTCCAGTGGCTTGGGACGTCCTCCCGACATGAAAGACTGTGTAAATGTAATTTGTTGTTGTGGGTCCAAACACATTACCACTAGAATAGGATTATATCCCAGCATTTCCTCCCCTCTACTGACAAGTCTTACAGTGTAATAGCTTACCATCAGTTCTGAAAGGTGATCAGAACCAGAACTGATGCCACTTGTGTCAGAGTCAGATGGGCTACTTGATCGAGAATCCAACACTGAACGGTTGTCAAATCTCTTGGGGAAAGGTGATGCAAGCTGGTCGACATACTCTGATCCAACTGGATCCAGCGACGGGAATCTAGCCAGCTGACCACCCAGAGGGCTAGCCAGCAAACCTAAAACTAGAATGGAAAAATGGCAAGCTGTAATTCGAAATTGAGTGCTGCACCTTCCCTTTGAATTTGTTAGTATTTTGTAAGCCTTCAAATTCAAGTTTGACTGAGAAGGAAAAGATTTGTATAAATGGAATTCGAAAGTGGAATCGGCATTGTGGCCATCCCCCTCCCTCTGCTAAACCCTCCACTCTCAATCCACCCAGGTCTCCGGTACATTAACATTAACCTTGAGAGAGGCTAGCACATGCACGCACAACACAGCCACTTCCCGCGTGCACAGATACTTTTTTTTAATTGCTTTAACCACGTGAAATGTTGGGAAGTATACGACTGGTTAAGAATTGTTTGTGCTAGCAAACAGGCTCATCCTACTCACTGAGACAAAGGCGAGTCGAGTCATCAAGTATTCGTTTACATTAACGTTTATTCAGTGATAAGAGTAGTGGTACTGTACTATTTATGTTGCTTTCTATCTTAAGATGAGAAAATAACATCCCCTTGTTCTGTGGAAAAAATACTGTTTCTTAAAAAGAGAAGGGGCATTGATCTCTGGGGGTGGGGTGAGGAGAGAAGAGCAGTAAAAAGGTTTGGAAACCTGTTTTACAGAATTCTTCAGTGCATGCCACCTGCACCACCCCACATATCCCTGAAAACTTACAATTTGCCACTTGGACTCCGGTAATAATTGTAATGGTAATTCAATTCTTACTGGAACCACTTAGTATGATCTGTAATCCTAGCAATTGACATAGCGCCTTATCTCGTCTTCTAGAAGTCTCAAAACGCTTCACAGAATATACTGTAAAGTGAATTGATTGTGTATTGTGTGGGTGAAATTAGCAGATCTAGCCAGAAGCAGCAGGAGGTACTCCCTTCGTCTCGCTCCCTCCCTTCCCATTTTCAGGTCTCTGCTGAAGACTTTTCTTTTCGACCGCGCCTTTGGTTACCTTCCTCCCCCTCCCGGTCCCAGGATCCGTTACTGTAAAGCGCTGAGACACTGTCCGGCGTGGAGGGCACTATATAAATCCAAGTTGTTATTGTTGATCATTGGGAAATCAAAATCATAAAAAAAAGAGGCTGACAATGGGAATAGACCAAGACATTTCCATACAGAAAGTAATTTGGACAGTACACTTAAATCTGTTTTATTAAATAAAGAGTGAAATTAGCTGTCAATTCTGTAATCCAACCACTACCCAAAAAGGTTAGGACTTGGGATCCCAAAAGAACCCAAATAAGAATTAGTCTCTGGGACAATGAGGGAAACTTAAAAGCAAACCAATTTTTGACCCTAAAAAGATTCTAATAGCAATACAATATATCAACATTATAAATAGGAAATCTAGAAGCCCATTCACCAAATAAGAGTAATTAAAAGCTTTTAATTTGACATGAAGCTTCTTTTTAAATAATAAAAACAAGGTTAATACCACAGCTGTATGGTTGAATTCAGAACAATTGAAACCAATGCAGAACTAGCATAATGCCTCGTCTCTGTCAGTTCTATCTTGTAAAATAATTATCAAAAGTCAATTAATGTACTTCACACAGGCTAAATTTTTTAAAAAGGAAATTTAAACAAATATATCAGAATGTTCTCAAGGTCAGAAATATTATTATCTATATCATCTCAACCCAGTCACTGCTCTCCTTTTTCTTCCCCTCCCACATCATGGTAACATCGATTGCATCACAACGGGTTAATACAACAGTATATTTAATGCACCCTGCATGTCAACCAATGGTCTGCTACTTGTAATAATTTACGGTTGCCATATAGAAGGTCAATGGTAGTGTTGGCAGGGGTTTGGGGCTGTGAATGAGCAGAGGTTCCCCTCGGAAAAGGAAACGGAACACTCATTAGAAAGTCAAATAAAGTAATATTAGCAGATATCTGAGATTAAATCACTCTCAACTTTGTTGGATGTAATCCAAATCACCTCCAGTTTGGTTGACGTAAACAAAAGACAGCTTGTACATTTCTGGCAAACAAACTGAAAACTGTGGGGCATTATCCACATTGATATACCAACACCCACTGGCTGAACAAGGCTGATGCAACCCGTGCAATTGCATGGGACCTCAAGTCAGCCCCCTGCTGTCGTGAAACCCATTGAAACCACCTCCCTGCCAACCTAACCTGCATGGGGATGGGCACTTGGTGCAATGGACACCCCGCCCCCGCAGCCAATCTGCAGCCACCCTGGGCCCACCTTGGCCGCTGCCAGGCATAGTTATGCCGTGTGAGGCCAGGACATCCAGCCACTAAATTTGTTTCCCAAGGGACTTGCTGGCCACGTTGGGCCGTTTCAAACCCAGTTGGGTGTATTTCTGTTGTGCTGTGTCGTGAAACAACAAATGGCTTTGGGCAGTTGCCCAATATAATTTTTTAAAAATGTAATCCTGCAATCCTTTTTTTCCTTCAAAGACCTTTTCTTAGTTTCAAAAGTCACTCTGCCATCCATAGGAGATAATGCAATAATATTGGGCTACTTTTGGCTAGTATTGGTTTAAGTTTGGGCTACAAATGTATTGTCGTTGGCATTGGTAGGAACCACACAACTGAGCTTTGCATGGGGCAAACCCCTACCATTCCAACACCACTGAATATATTTAGACTATCTAATATGTGTAGTTGGCAGTGGAGGTGCAGCCCATACTAGAGCGTCTTGGCTACACGTGCAGTCGGAAATCGGGAGCAAAAACAGTCAAAAGATAATGGTTCCTTCATTATACATAAACTAATATTAACAGAATTGTGGCACAATGTTTTAGAACCCCAACTCCAAGGGAGTCTGATTTCAAAAAGGCTCCAAATTACATTAAACCCTTGCAGATTGAAAGAGTCGTCATGCCTTTCTTGCGGATTTGTGAACCTAATTCATGTCCCTTTACAACATTGAACTGTTGTAGTATAATTTACTCTTTTCATGGGCGTCAGCTACACTCCAGCATTTCACGAGTGCTTTTCCACAGACGCAAGCCAAGCCTACCAGACAATCACTGTAAATGGTTTTAACGAGGTTGAGAGGCAAGCAAACAGCCAAAGCAGCTGCACCTCCAGCATGAAGAGGAGAAGAAAATACACATCATCACTCATCGATAGGAAACCAATAAGTGAGAAAATTTTGGCTGACTTCTTTCCTTCCCCCCCCCCACTCTTTTCCAAGCACAGGAGCAAATAGTACTCATGACCTAAGATTTCGAGTCACCTCCAAGCTGAGCCTAGCTAACACCACATTCAGATTCAAACCATCCAAGGCTATGGCTCAATTTCACTCCAGACAGCAGCTTCTAGAACGGCTGGGAAGCATAGAACAGTTAAATTGTGTGAGTGGAATTTCAGAACTGCGTGGAATTTGAAAACTAGAAAATAAATGATCTATTTGGAACTGGATTTCATTTGGTGTACAGAATCAACTTAAAGGGTTAAATAAATCTTGCATCAGAGGTTTGCAGATTTAACAGCTTTTGACTGGATGTGAATACACAAGCTGGCTGCTATACAGATCCAAGATTTGATATTTCAGAAGAAATTATTTCCTTACCAGGTCACAAGTGAACAAAAGCTAGACGTATAAAGCTAGACGTTTGCATCACACCACATTAAATGATAAAATTGAATACTACATAGTTAATTATAGATTAACTAGAAAGATGCCATCAGTTTGCTCTAGTGTTGATCCTCATTCAGATTTTCCTTTAACAACTGAATTTAGACATAGTATTCGAGCTGCAGTGGCAGGTTTTTTTACAAGCAAATTAAGTAGACAGTTTTATTTACAGATGATTTCATACTGTACTATGCCTACCGAAAGCAGATCAGATGATAGTGCCGTACTCACCCGATGGCGAATTGGTCTGTACTGCATTGTCCGAGTCGTGGGTGCTCCATGGACGGTCCCACCCAGTTAGGTTTAGGGACTGCAGGCCCAAGCATAGGTCCATGGTATCAGGGAGGCCCCGGGACGAATCCTGTGCAGATGTGGGAAATAGCATTCTACTGCTCGCTGAAGAATCTCCTTTGTTCAAGTCTGCAGGGAGAAGAGGTGGTTTAAGAAAAATAAGAAAATTAAGGATTACAAGTCAGGTCCAGACTAGCTTTAACTCGGATTGTGCCTATGAACACTGCCATGTATCTTGGGCTGCATCAGTGACTAGTCCAGCATGTGACTGAGCTGCTGATGCATTCGCATAGTGCTGTGAATGACATCACTGTGCAATAGAATTAAAACATTCCCCCAAAACTTCACTTCCAAGTCGGTTTTGTACCAAGGTTTGCAAGTAATCCTACGTTTAAAAAGCCTGAAGCCCTGGTGGCAGTGAACAGACCGTTCAGACTGTGCTGTAGACAGCTGCACCAACACATTCTCCTCCCCCTTCAGCAACACTTGGTCCTGGATTACCTCCAAATGCTGGCTACAGCCCTGATTCAGCAACTAACAGAACAATTCTGCTAGCATAGCCTGTTTACTTGATCTTGGAAACTGTGCCCAACTGACTCGGCACAGTTTTACTTCATAGCTTTCCATACGCAGGACACCAGATGCCACCTTGAGGAAAAGAACGATATTGTGCTAGAATTGAAGCTAAGATGGAAAATTCAGAACTACGCATTTATATTTTGTACAGAAAAATGCTGTAACTCGAAATTTCTAGACCGGCCATCTACCATTCACTCAATACTAAAAAAAATTACAAGTGACTGCTGCACAATTTAAATAAAAAATGTATTGGCGTCATAGAAACAAGAGCCCAAAGTAGAGAGGAAGCATCAATTTGCACTGTGAAATTTTAATAGTTTATTTTGCGCTACAGTGGCCTTACATTCAGGTCATTGATCATCCAACAGGCTTCCCTTTGAACAACAAACTGAATAGCAATCCTAAGTTATTGGATATCTGAAGCTGTACAATAAATCGAGAAAGACTGAACTCTGCTTCCTGAGCAGCATTTAGCTTACCCTCTGTCGTAATCAAATATTATTGAGAGTCAGAAAGTCCCTACTCCCTCCCAGTTGAAAGATGCCACCAAACAACAAATTCAGTGCAGCACTAAAACTCTTCAGGTATTCTAGATTAGACACAATTCAATAGAAACCAAAAAAAAGGGCAAATCAATACTAAGTTTAATACAGCAACAAATCTAAATCGAGTTTAAGTGAATAGTAAGCACATTTACACAGAGTTAATAGTCTAACTCTGCGCGATTTCATAGCAGAATGGTCTATTTTGGGAGATTGATACTTGCATTTGTAAAGCATATTAACATCTCAAAGCACCTTGCAGGAATGACTGTAAATGGTCAATGTAGGCAAACATTGGCCAATTTGCATACACCGATGATCCACATACAACCAATTTTATTTCATAAACAACCACGCTTATTTGGGGATTGTTAGCCAGAACACCTGGAAAATCTCCGTCTTTTCCAAAGAGGCCATGGGATCTTTACCATCTACCCAAGAGACCTTTGCTTAATGTCTCATTTACAGGATGGGGATCGCTGACAATGCAGCACTATCTCAGCACTGCACCAGAGTGAGTGTCAGCCTAGATTGAGCTCAAAGGCCTGCATGCTAAGGTTGTCACTGCAAGAAGGAATTAATACATTCAGAGCGAGGTGGGAAAGTGAAGGGAAGCAGGAGAAAAATTGAAAAATCAAGCAATGCAGATAGAAAACAGAACTTGCATTTATATAGCGCCCTTCATGCGTGTTAGCGTCCTGGAGCGCTTGACATTGGTGGAGTCTGACAATGAGCCAGGGGGAGAGGGAGGTGACCATAAGCACGATAAAAAAGTTCTTTAGGTGGGATTTGAAGGTGGAGAGGGAGGGGTTAAGCGGAGTAATTGAGCGAGAGAATTTCAGAGCGTGGTGGCTGAAGGCACGGCCACCAATGGTGGAGCTGAGGGGACGAGCGACAAACAGGAGGCCGGAGCCGGCCGAACGGAGGCAGCGGGTAGCTGAGTGGGAGGTAAGCAGGTCGGATAGGTACAAGGGCATGAAAGCCTTTGAAAACAAGCGAGAAGTTCTTGAAATGATACGTTCGGTAATAGGGAGCTAATGGAGCCTGGCAATGTGTGATGAGGGTATGGAGTTTTGTGCGGGTGAGTATGCAGGCAGCAGAGTTTTTAATTAATTGGATTTTGTGTATGGTGGAGCTGGGGAGACCAGCAATGAGGGCATTGGAATAGTCCAGCCAGGAAGTGACGATGGAACGGACAAGGGTTTCAAAGTCAAAGTATATTCACAGATCACATATTGTTCTCCACATTCCATAGATCAGAAAATGTATTCTGCGCATCTACAATATGATTCAACTTCAGTTTCATTGCAGCTGATCTCAGCAACAGCGTTCCAGTTAAAGTGCAACATTTTAATCACCACTGCCAAATTCTGCCTTCCTATGCAAGAAAAGTCAGTACTGTACCACCTCCTAGTGCTGGAGACTAAAGAAAGTCGTAGAATCATAGATTATCACAGCCCGGAAGGAGGCCATTTGGTCCATCGTGCCTGTGCCGGGTCTTTGGAAGAGCTACCCAATTAGTTCCATCCTCTGTTCTTTTCCCCATACCCTAGCAATTTTTTCCTTTTCAAGTACCATTCCAATTCCCTTTTTAAAGTTGTTATTGAATCTGTTTCCACCCTGTCAGGCAGTGCATTCTGGACTGGAACAACTCATCATCCAAATAGTTGCACTTCAAGCTCAGCTACAGATCTTTGCCCCACAAAACGAATGTCAAGTTAAGGTCAATGTTAAAAATAGCCAAGGGATTTGGGACATCCTACACATGTGAAACACACTATACATCGGCAGAGTGAAACCTTGGGCAAGCTTCCTTACTCCACACGCCTGATAATAATCCTTCAAGAAAAAAAGCAATAATAAATTGGTCACTTCAATCCAAGACTGTTTGTGGGACACTGCTGTGCCAATTGGCTGCCGCATTTCGCCCACAAATATACAGTCAATTCACTTTATAGTATATTCTGTAAAGTGCTCTGAGACGTCTAAAAGACGTGAAAAGCGCTATATCAAACGCAAGGATTATTATTATACAAATTCAACTGTATTGTAAGGAAGTATGAAAGGACTACAGCTTGGGTCAGCTGAGATTTGGCGATTCTGAGCTCTACCTTCTAGACAACCCTCCCATGATTTGATGACATCAAAGACACTTTGATACCTCTTAGATACTCCCAAAGCAGACCAGTAGTTCATTACATCTTTCAAATACTCACCATTTGCAACCACATCAGGCTTTTTTTGTGTACAAGATTCTACCCAGTCCTAATTTAAATCCAGAAACATTCTTTCGGGAAGTGGTTTAGTATCTTTAATACACCATGTTATTACAGTGTTGGAGATTACCATTGTAGATTTGTATTTCAGCATGATCAGCTGCTGTAGCAATGCACAAGACCAGATCATAAATTAATATGGTCATTTTTAGACCATAAAAATTTACAATGCAGGTCATTTGGCCATTGAGTCTGCACCGGCTTTCAGAGCAAGTTGCACGTTCAATCCAACTGCCCTATTCTATCCCCATAGCGAGAAGACCTTGGTTCGATTCCGGTCAGGGCGAAACATTGGGCAAGTTTCCTTACTCCACGCACATGCCTGTTTATCAGGCAGTAAGTAGGAACGAGCTTGTTAGTCGATTGGCAGATTGCTTATATGGGGTAAAAATACCTTCAAATAATAATGTCACTCAATCCACAACTGTTTGTGGGACACTACTGTGCACAATTGGCTGCTGCGTTTCGCCACCAAATACAATCAATCCATTTTACAGTGTATGAAGTGGTTTGATATATCTAGAAGACGTGATAAAGCGCAAGGATTATCATCATTATCTTTTCAAGCCTCACTCTTTCACATGCCAGTCTACATCTCTCTCGAAATCCACAACGGACTGTGCCTCTACCACTTTTCTTGGCAGGGCATGCCATATCCGAACTATTGTGTGGAAAAAAAGCTCTCCTTTCACTGTTCTTGTGACTATCTAATTATATGTCCCCTAGTCGAACTCCCTACCAGTGGAAATAATTTCTCACTCTGTCAAAACCCCCTAAAATGTTGTACGCCTCTATCAGTCACCTCTCAATCTTCTCTGCTCCAATGAAAACAGACCCAACTTCTCTAATCCCTCCTCATAACTAAATTCCTTATTCCAGGTATCATTCTTGTAAACTTCTCTGGACATCTCAAAGGCCTCAACATCTATTTTTAAAGGGGTGCCCAAAACTGAAAGCAATGATTTGTACAAACTTATTGCTTTACGTTCATACTCTCTACCCCTATGTATAAAACCCAGAATACCATTACCTTTTTCCCCATATACTCCTTTCCACTTGATCAAGTACCTACCATTTAATATACATTTCCTATTTTCTTCTACCGAAATGAATCATCTCATAGTTTGCTTCATTAAGCTTCATCTGCTACTGTTCAGCCCATTACTCTAATCTACTGGGGACCTCCTGCAGTTCCTTGCCATCCTCCTCACTATTCAATGTACCTCCTAGCTTGATATCCTCAAATTTTGATACTGCAGCCCGTCAAAGTCATCAATATGTTGAAAAGAGGAGAGACATCAGTACAGACCATACTTCTTGGACATTGATGGGCAACAAGGGAAAGGCAATAAAAAATTTAAAAAACTTACAATCTCAGGAGTCCAACATGAAATATCGATTATTCCCAAAATTGCAATCTTCAATTTTTAGACCATTTTGAAAATATCCCATTATGAATGGAAACCAAAAAGGTGTTTTTTCTCTCTCTCAAGCCAAATATCCCTCAAGGCCATCAAGTTGTTAAACCCTTAAACTCTAGTGAAAAAAACTGGACTTACTATTCCTGATCAGGTTACATTTGTCTCACCTTATAGTAATACTATTAGTAGGAATGAGGTAGTGACCCATACAACACGAGAATCTGTTCCTCAATAGGAGTTGATGACTGTTTGCAACAAAATAGCAGGTCAAAGTTTGCTGAGGTTCCACTAGCATTTCATCTCTAAATGGTCTCAAAACAGTAGTGGCTTATTAAAACAGAAATTGACAAGGCACTTGACGTAGCATCTTTCACATCACAATCTCAAAGCACTTCACCCGATTTACTTCAAAGTGTAGTACTACTGTATTTTATAAGTGAAGATGGCAGCCAATTTCCGTGCAGACTCAGTGCTACCAATTGAGCCAGATTGACACCTAATGAAAGGTGACAAATGAGTTTGGTTGACATGAAGAGGAGCACTTTTAACATCTAACAACCAGTTTCCTTGGCACACCAATCAAATGATTAGGCATCTTTTGAGTAATCTGAACCCTAAATTTGTTCCAATAAATTGGATTTTTGTGTCAGCATGGTGCACTCTCACCTTCGAATCAGAAATTTGTGGGGTCAAGTCCAATGTCAGGACTTGCAATCAAATAGTCTAAGTGCCGGGAGGTGTTGCTTTGTCGGAGGGGCAGTCCTTCGGATAAGATTTTAAATCAATGTCCCACCTGCCTATTCAGGTCGACATTTCAGTTTCCATAGCACCATTCAAAAAGAGAAGGGTCCTGGTGTCCTGGCCAACAAATCTCCCGTATGAAACTGGGTCAATCACTCCACCCACCACTGTTTGTGAGAGATTGCTATGTGCCTAAAATATACAGTCTATCCACTTTACAGTATATCCTGTGCAGTGCTTCGAGACAGACAACATGATAAGGTGCTATATCAAATGCAAGAATTTATTTAATTTTTTGAACAAAGAGTTTGGGAATCGTAGTTCCATCTCAAGTGCTTCACATGGTGGGGGGGGGGGGGGAGATTAGTCACAAAGTGGTTAAAGTTGGGTTTTGAGAGCAATAAGGGAGTGGGTCAAGACTCCAGGATGGAGATTCAGCATGGTGGTAGAATGGCTGAAGCAGGCCAGTGTCTGCTGGGTGGAGGGCACAGCCAAGGCAGTAACGACAGGTGTGAAAGCATCTGAAAGATAGGATGACTCAAAGTGCTTACAGGATTTTACTGAATCTTGTCATTTGTGCATTAGCCACACAGTTCCTTGCACTCTCACCTCAGGATCAGAAGATTATGGATTCAAGTCTTACGTTGGGATGTCGCTCAGGCCACACTGGCCTGATGTCCAGGAGAGATTGCAACACTCTTGTTTCCGGACTCCCCAGCTTCTGTCTACACAAGCTGGAAACCTTCAAAACCTCGGCAGCCCAGGTCTTCTCCTGCACCAAGCTCTACACCCTCACTTGACTCCCATTCCCAGAACATGTTAACAGAAACAGCCTGGACTATGAGCTTAAACGTTTCAACATAAGACTTGAACTAATAATCTCCTGATCAGAGACAAGAGTGCAGCCAACTGAGCCAGGCTGACACACAAATGAGGAATTTGAAAGCCAAGAAAATGTGTGGAGGGGTTAAAGTGAAACAAAAAGATAATGGCAGATAGGCAATGCTGTGGAAGTGAGAGAAAGGAGAACAAGTGAGAGCCTGGATGAAGAGTGAGATCCTTCACTTGTACCATACTCTCTGTTCACTGTCAGTTATGACAAGTGGCAGCTCAGTAAGTTTCCAGAGAATACACACTTAAGTTTAAAAAAAAGCACAAATGAACTGTAGCATTAACAGCAACAACAAGATTGCATTTATAGAGCGCCTTTCACGTCGGGAGGACGTCCCAAGGCGCTGGACAGTTGGGTCGGGACCTGAGCAGGGGGGAAATGGTCAGGGTGAGGAGTGCGAAGGGAGGGAGCGAGGAGGGGGAAGAGAGTCGAGAGGGGAGCTGAAGGCTGAAGGTCAAAGAGAAAGGTCTTGAGACCGGCCTTGAAGGAGGAAAGGGAGGAAGCGGCGAAGGCACTGGGGGATGGAGTTCCAGAGCCTCGGGGCTGAGAGGCTGAAGGCCCGGCCACCGATGGTAGGGCGGTTGGGGTGGGGGATGTGGAGCAGACCGGAGACAGAGGAACGGAGGGTACAGGCAGGTAAGTAGGGGGATAGTAGGTCGGAGAGGTAGGAGGGAGCGAGGCCGTGAATGGCCTTGTAGGTGAGGATGAGGATCTTGAATTCGATCCTCTGGGGGATGGGGAGCAGTGGAGGCGAGCGAGGGCGAGGGTGAGGGCGAGGGTGGGAGTGATGTGGGCGCGAAGCCTGGTGCGGGACAGTACACGAGCTGCAGGACAGTACACGAGTTGCAGAGTTCTGAATGACCTTCAGCTTGTGAAGGGAGGTGACGGGAAGGCCGGCGAGGAGAGAGTTCCCTTGGATGCTGATGCTGTCAGTGCCTGAGGAAGGTTATAAATTAGTTCCAATAGGAACCAGTTGCAGATGTCTCAATGGCTTCGAGAAAGCTTAACTATATTACTGCCCGGGAGTGTACTGTGGCCAGTAGTGTGCTCGAAAATGCCTAATTTGCAACAAAAGCAAACAAAACGTCAACTCAGCATTAAGCAGTTAGATTTCTGGAATAGATGTTACTAACAAAAACACTCGACAATCAATCAATTTATGGTGCTATTAGCAAATATAAGGATTTTTATTATTACGTCACAGTGATCCAGAGATCTTCCCCAATTCCACAAGTGTCGGGTCCGTTTCAGGCCATACTGGAGAATGCATTGGGGGTCAAGCAATGGTTTCGAATCCCTGTTGGAGCCCCGGTCGGTATACATTACCTGCTGTGGGCCTTTAAGGGCTTTGTCTGCCATTACTCCACCTGAATTTTATGCTATTCCCCAATCTAAATTGTATAGCAATTCAGTGCAGTCTAACCAATAAAGATGAAAGCTAAACAAAATCAGGAGTGCACAGGAGTATACTGTGACTGGCTTAATGACATACTAGCCCTGGAATTCTTTCACCTGCATTGCTTTTAAGGTACTTTAGTAATCAGGAAGATACTTTAGCCACCACAATGGAAACTGAAGCTCAGGAAGCAACAAATCTAGTTTGCATTTTATTGGATACGTTACTCCCTGTGTACAGTAAGCACTTTCAAGAATAACTTCTAAAATTTGGAATCCTGCTGCTCAGTGGTTAGAGCACTCGCCTCACAAGCGAGAGACCTGGGTTCGATTCCCGGCAGGGCAAAACCTTGGGCAAGTTTCTTTACTCCACACGCTTGATAAAAATTCTTCAAAAAAATGATAATTGGTCACTTCAATCCATGACTGTTTGTGGGACACTGCTGTGCTAATGGGCTGCTTCGTTTCGCCCACAAATATACAATCAATTCACTTTGCAGTCTATTCTGTGAAGCGCTTTGAGACGTCGAGAAGACATGAAAAGCGCTATATCAAATGCAAGTATTATTATTATTATCAAATTACACCTCATTTCTAGATTGTTTTCATTCTCCAGCTATTATCTTGCATTTGCAATTGGTGAAAATGAAGTTAGGCATTGCCAATTATACCGAGAAAATTCACTGATTCAGGTATCATCCATTACCACGGTGGGGAGGGGAGTTTGCTTTGAGTTCATCTTTGGCACGGTTTTCCCCACAAATTTGACGAGTGACCGATGAGTTTGATATATGGCTTTTCTATTGACTTAAGTGTTGGCCTGTAGATTCTCTCCCCACCCATTCCCATTAAACATTGTTTCAAAAAAGTTTTCTTTCCACTTTCCAAAATGGAGAATGGTAGCAAGAATAAAAAGCAAGAAACCCAAAGTTAAAGATCAAACGAGATGAGGAAACAGAACAAAGTATTAACATTTTAATGAACACAAGACTTAAGTCATTCTTGTGGCCTGAGTGTTTCTTTCAATATTGGTAGCTTTCAATCTAGACGCATTTCACAAGCTGCATCTAATCATCACGTTGTTATATTCTCCTCTTTTCATGTTCTCAAAGTTCTATGCAGCCTGGGAAATACAAGATCAACAATACTACATGGCAAACATCTGATGTAGAGCAAGTAAAGCTTGCTCCAGCCTGCTTGCTAACATTGAACTAGCCCACACCCCTTTCCATTACGAGCACATCAACCTATCATTGGCTTCAAGATTAAGGCCCATTTAACAATGAATTGTGAATGGATTTGGCAAGAATCATATCCATTAAGAACAGCTTGAATCCAAACCTAGAACCTTGTATGTGTTCAGTAGGTCATTCAAATACTTAACCCATCTTTCATATACTGCACACTTATACTTAATGTTAATTAAATGACTTTTTGTTCCCTTTCCCCCTCCCCACCACTTAAGATTCTTCATGATGGAGAAATCCATCAAGTTACCTCCCATGATGTCCCGACGACCCTTGGTGATGGGAGTAGTGCACACTCCGGTGAAATCCAATGAGTTGTCTAACATAGCGTTTATTCTGCGGAAGATGTCAGCATTACTACAGGTAGACAAGGCTGGGGTTTCTGAACGGGGTATATCCCAGCAATCTTGTCCTCGGCCACTCTCTTCGTTCTGCAAGAGTATAAAGGATTGGATGGTTCAAACAAGAACTGCATTGGCACAATACCCAGACCTACTGCTTATAACTAATCAAAACCTAGCTTGATAAAATAATTTTTTTTCCACATCAAACTTCCAAGATATTTGTTTAACCTCTAATTCTGTTCAGTCAGGTAAAAAATGCATTAAAAAGGGTTAAGACAATGGTGCAGTTGGGAGAACAAAAGACAGAAGCTAATATTATATCATGTACTGTATTCAATGCATTAGAATTCTGAAAACTTTATTGCAACCACTAATGGAATAACCATTTTTTATTGTTAGTTTTCTTTAAGAGTTAAAGATAATTATAGCCATGGAAAGGGTTTTAACGTTCGTACATTCCAACCTCAAAAACAGTTTTAAATGACACCTTATTTCTAGGTTAATACTACTTGCTTGTAACATAAGGGTCTCCTATGGGTTACCAGTGTCAGGACCTCTCCCCCAACCCCCATGAGTTACAGTGTCAGGGTTCTTCTCTCCCACACCACACGAGTTATCAGTGTTAGGGCCTCTCCCTCACCCCGAAACAGGTTACCAGTATCAGGGCCTCTCCAGCACCCCACAGGTTACCAGTGTCAGGGTTTCTCTCTCCCCCTCCTCCACCATGTTACCAGCATCAGGGCTTCTCTCCCCCACCACAGCCCCACCCTGGGGTTACAAGTAGTCAACGTCTCTCCCCCCCCCCCATGGGTCATCAGTGTCAGGGTCTCCCCTCTGCCACCATTGGGTTACCAGTGTCAGGGCTCTCTCCCCATCCACCCCCATGGGTTACCAACGTTATTGCCTCTCCCTCCCCACCCCCCATGAGTTACCAGTGTCAGGGCCTTCACCCACCCCCATTGGGTTACCAGTGTCAGGGTCTCTCTCTTCCCCCCCACCCACCGCTATCAACGTGAAGGCATCACTGCCCCTCCCCCCACTGTGTCATTCCCCCATGGGTTACTAGCGTCAGGGCCTCTGCCCCACACATGGGTTACCAGTGCCAGGGTCTCTCTCTGCCCCCCACCACCCACTGTCAGGGCCCCTCTCCCCCCCACCATCCCCTATGGATTACTAGTGTCAGGGCCTGTGTCTCTCCCCCACTCCCCCAGTGTCAGGGCCTGTGTCTCTCCCCCACTCCCCCCAGTGTCAGGGCCTGTGTCTCTCCCCCACTCCCCCCAGTGTCGGGGCCTGTGTCTCTCCCCCACTCCCCCCCCTCCCCCCGTGTCAGGGCCTGTGTCTCTCCCCCACTCCCCCCAGTGTCAGGGCCTGTGTCTCTCCCCCCCCCCCAGTGTCGGGGCCTGTGTCTCTCCCCCACTCCCCCCCCTCCCCCAGTGTCGGGGCCTGTGTCTCTCCCCCACTCCCCCCAGTGTCAGGGCCTGTGTCTCTCCCCCACTCCCCCCAGTGTCGGGGCCTGTGTCTCTCCCCCACTCCCCCCCCTCCCAGTGTCGGGGCCTGTGTCTCTCCCCACTCCCCCCAGTGTCGGGGCCTGTGTCTCTCCCCCACTCCCCCCCCTCCCCCCGTGTCAGGGCCTGTGTCTCTCCCCCACTCCCCCCAGTGTCGGGGCCTGTGTCTCTCCCCCACTCCCCCCAGTGTCGGGGCCTGTGTCTCTCCCCCACTCCCCCCCTCCCCCCGTGTCAGGGCCTGTGTCTCTCCCCCACTCCCCCCAGTGTCAGGGCCTGTGTCTCTCCCCCACTCCCCCCCCTCCCCCTGTGTCAGGGCCTGTGTCTCTCCCCCACTCCCCCCAGTGTCGGGGCCTGTGTCTCTCCCCCACTCCCCCCCTCCCCCCGTGTCAGGGCCTGTGTCTCTCCCCCACTCCCCCCAGTGTCAGGGCCTGTGTCTCTCCCCCACTCCCCCCAGTGTCGGGGCCTGTGTCTCTCCCCCACTCCCCCCCCTCCCCCCTGTGTCAGGGCCTGTGTCTCTCTCCCCACTCCCCCCAGTGTCAGGGCCTGTGTCTCTCCCCCACTCCCCCCAGTGTCGGGGCCTGTGTCTCTCCCCCACTCCCCCCAGTGTCGGGGCCTGTGTCTCTCCCCCACTCCCCCAGTGTCGAGGCCTGTCTCTCCACCCCCCCCCCCCCCTCCCCCCCGTGTCAGGGCCTCTGCCCCCCCCCCCCCCCCCCCCCCCGTGTCAGGGCCTGTGTCTCTCCCCCACTCCCCCCAGTGTCGAGGCCTGTGTCTCCACCCCCCCCCCCTCCCCCCGTGTCAGGGCCTGTGTCTCTCCCCCACTCCCCCAGTGTCGGGGCCTGTGTCTCTCCCCACTCCCCCCCTCCCCCCGTGTCAGGGCCTGTGTCTCTCCCCCCCCCCCAGTGTCGGGGCCTCTGCCCCCAGTATCAGGGCTTCTCTCTCCTCCCCCCCGCGAGGTGGGGTGTGGGGGGGTTGGTTACCGGCGCCTCTCAGTCTGGGCTCGGGGCTGCTCGGAGCTGAGGGTTACCGGTGGGTGGCGGGAGGCCCTCTCGGGCCGGGCCGGGGGTTACCGGTGGGTGGCGGGAGGCCCTCTCGGGGCTGAGGGGCGGCGGGTGTCGCTGTCTGCGGGAGCCTCGCGCCTGTCAATCATCCACCGCTCGCGCCGCCAGACCCCACCAAGTGTCAGGGGAAAGCGGGGGTGGGGGGTTCCCAATGGCAGCTCGATATCTCCCCCCCCCCACACATAATCCCCTGACCGGGATCCCGGCTGTTGTGCCGCTCTCCCGCTCCCCCCTCCCCCCCCCCCGGGGATTGGGAATATTTTACGAGGTTTTGATTTAACCTCCAGTTGTCTGAGACCCCCCCCCCCCCCCCGGCCTTCAGCTGCCTGTTGACGAGGCCGGTAAACAAACGCACGTGGGCCCCGCGACACCACGTGCAGCAGCTCCACCACCATCAGCCCCACAGCCACAGCCCCACACAGCCCACAGCCCCCCCCCCCACACACACAGCCCCCCCCACACACACAGCCCCCCCCCCACCCACACAGCCCCCCCCACCCACACAGCCCCCCCCCACCCACACAGCCCCCCCCCCACAGCCCCCCACACAGCCCCCCCCACACAGCCCCCCCCCCACACCCACACAGCCCCCCCCCCACACCCACACAGCCCCCCCCCACACCCACACAGCCCCCCCCCACCCACACAGCCCCCCCCCACACCCACACAGCCCCCCCCCCACACCCACACAGCCCCCCCCCCCACACCCACACAGCCCCCCCCCCCCACCCACACAGCCCCCCCCCCACCCACACAGCCCCCCCCCACCCACACAGCCCCCCCCCACCCACAGCACAGCCCCCCCCACCCACACAGCCCCCCCCCCACACAGCCCCACCCACACAGCCCCCCACCCACACAGCCCCCACCCACACAGCCCCCACCCACACAGCCCCACCCACCCACACACAGCCCCCACCCCCCACACACAGCCCCCACCCCCCACACACAGCCCCCGCCCCCCACACACAGCCCCCACCCACCCACACCCACACACACAGCCCCCCCCCACCCACACAGTCCCCCCCACCCACAGCCCCACACACACACACAGCCACAGCCCACCCCCCCCACCCACACACAGCCCCCCCCCACCTACACACAGTCCCCCCACACACAGCCCCCCCCCACCTACACACAGCCCCCCCCCACCCACACACAGCCCCCCCCCCACCCACACACAGCCCCCCCCCACCCACACACAGCCCCCCCCCCACCCACACACAGCCCCCCCCCACCCACACACAGCCCCCCCCCCACCCACACACAGCCACCACCCACACACAGCCACCACCCACACACAGCCACCACCCACACACAGCCACCACCCACACACACACAGCCACCACCCACACACACACAGCCACCACCCACACACACACAGCCACCACCCACACACACACACACACACACAGCCACCACCCACACACACACACACACAGCCACCACCCACACACACACACACACAGCCACCACCCACACACACACAGCCACACACAGCCACCACCCCCACACACACACACACACAGCCACACACACACACACACAGCCACCACCCACCCACACAGCCCCCCCAGCCCAAAACACTCCCGCCCACCAACATGCACCCTATCACCCACCAACATGCACACCATCACCCCCTAACACAGCCCCCCAACATGCACACCATCACCCCTTAATACAGCCCACCCAACATACACCCTCATCACCCCTAATACCTTCCCCCAACATGCACCCCAATACCTTCCTCCAACATGCACCCTAACACCCCTCCCACAACCCCTAACACACAGCCCCTCCCAACACCCCCCACCAACATACAGCCCCCACCAACACACAGAGCAACAACTCCACCAGCACCCCCTGAACACACACCGACAACAACACCCCACCAACAAGCACCCTAATCACAGGCCCCCAACACACAGCCCAACACCACCTCGAACACAGCAACACCCCCACCCCAACATACACATATATATATATATATACACACACCCTCAAACATACACATATGTACATACAACCCTCCCAAAAACACGCATGTATAAATAAATACATATATACAAATATATATGTGAGTGGGAGGGTTGGATGTGAATGTATATTTGTTTCGGCAGGGGTTGGATGTTGTGTATCGCCATATATATCACAATCACACATACCTCCCATACAAACCCCCATATACAACCCCCTCCCCCCCCACACACACACACACACAAGCAGCCCCTCCCCCACACCACCACTACAATACACAGGTCACTTTGTCTGCCATTTTTACACCAACTCACCATATCCTTTCCACTCAGCCAACCCACCACATTGACTGGCTGCCCACGGACAACTAAATATTGGAATGGAGTCCACTCTCTTCATAGTTTCTGGTCGGGTTCCTGAGCCAGGCGGGGCCACAGTAGTCCAGGGCACTGCTGATGACGGCACATCGGCAGGACTTGGGAGGGCAGACCAATCAGTGGGGGCAGGGACACTTGCCACCAGCTCCTGCTAACCCTGCAGGCCAAAGCTCTGACAGGCAGGGTGGTCCGAGCTGGAGAAGCAGCAGGAAAGCTTGGCAGACAGCATTATCAATGGCAAAGCTATGTGGTTTTAGGTTAGACTCCAGCAGTTACCCCAACACACACACTCCGAGCTGCCCAACCTCCATCTGACCAAAACAGATCCTCTACACCAGTCAGGTCTCTATTGCCATGTCTGGGTCACTTCACACCATCACAGGGTCTGCAATTTCTTTCCCACAGTGACAACAGCTCCCAGGTGGTTCAGTACTCCCCACATACCTAACTGTAGAACTCCATCCCCCAATATAACAACAACAAATTACATTTTCACAGCCATTTCACATGTCCGGAGAAGATTTACAGTTAAGGATTTGCACCTGAGCTGGGGTTTGGAATCAAGAGAGGTGGAGGGTAAATGGAGGTGAGAGGGGAGAGGATAACTGGTCAAAGAGGCAGATCTTGACATAGGCCTTGAAGGAGGCAATACACACAATTTGTGCAGTAGTTTGTAATTAATTCAGCCCCCACAAGCTTAGCTTTGACCCCTCCAATAATAATCCCTCCAAAACAAAACAATAATAAATCGGTCATTTTCAATCTACGACTGTTTGTGGGACATTGCTGTGTGCAATTGGCTGCCGCGTTCGCCCACAAATATACAGTCAATTCACTTTACAGTCTGTTCTGTGAAGCGCTTTGGGACGTCCTCCCGACGTGAAAAGCGCTATATCGAATGCAAGGATTATTATTATTACCGTAAGCAACTCACTCAGCCAAGCTCCACAGTCTTGATAGTTACCAACAACGTTCAGAAAACATTTCTGACTCCTTCCCCCCCCCACACAAAAGTAGTTTTTTGATGATTTGCACTTTTGCCGTGTGGTTGGATAAACAAATTACAGAAACTCGTATTTATTTAAAATAAAAATATATAAATAATTTGGTCGCTCAATCCACGGCTGTCTGTGGGACGCTGCTGTGCGCAATCGGCTGCCGCGTTTTGCCCACAAATACACAGTCAATTCACTTTACAGTCTATCTTTGAGACGTCTCGAAGACGTGATGAGGCACTATATCAAATGCAACAATTATTATTATTATTTCAGGCACCAAAAGTGGGATGAGGAAGGAGACATTATTATTATTTAAGATGGGGAACATCCGAGAGAGATGGACTGTATAAAAGCCTGAGGTTCATTAGATTAGAGCTGTTCTTAGCAGCAACTGCAAGGGTTCATTTCAGGTCAGGATGGACATGGGGGGGTGGACCTGGGGGGGGTGGACCTGGGGGGGGTGAGGGGAGGGTGGACCTGGGGGGGGTGAGGGGAGGGTGGACCTGGGGGGGGGTGAGGGGAGGGTGGACCTGGGGGGGGGGGTGAGGGGAGGGTGGACCTGGGGGGGGGGGGTGAGGGGAGGGTGGGCTGGGGGGGGGTGAGGGGAGGGTGGAGCTGGGGGGGGGTGAGGGGAGGGTGGACCTGGGGGGGGTGAGGGGAGGGTGGACCTGGGGGGGGGTGAGGGAGGGTGGACCTGGGGGGGGGGTGAGGGGAGGGTGGACCTGGGGGGAGGGTGAGGGGAGGGTGGACCTGGGGGGGGGGTGAGGGGAGGGTGGACCTGGGGGGGGGTGAGGGGAGGGTGGACCTGGGGGGGGGTGAGGGGAGGGTGGACCTGGGGGGGGGGTGAGGGGAGGGTGGACCTGGGGGGGGGGGGGTGAGGGGAGGGTGGACCTGGGGGGGGGGTGAGGGGAGGGTGGACCTGGGGGGGGGGTGAGGGGAGGGTGGACCTGGGGGGGGGGTGAGGGGAGGGTGGACCTGGGGGGGGGGGGTGAGGGGAGGGTGGACCTGGGGGGGGGGGGTGAGGGGAGGGTGGACCTGGGGGGGGGGGGGGAGGGGTGGACCTGGGGGGGGGTGAGGGGAGGGTGGACCTGGGGGGGGGTGAGGGGGGGGTGAGGGGAGGGTGGACCTGGGGGGGGGTGAGGGGAGGGTGGACCTGGGGGGGGTGAGGGGAGGGTGGACCTGGGGGGGGTGAGGGGAGGGTGGACCTGGGGGGGGGTGAGGGGAGGGTGGACCTGGGGGGGGGTGAGGGAGGGTGGACCTGGGGGGGGGGTGAGGGGAGGGTGGACCTGGGGGGGGGGTGAGGGAGGGTGGACCTGGGGGGGGGGGGTGAGGGGAGGGTGGACCTGGGGGGGGTGAGGGGAGGTGGACATGGGGGGGGGTGAGGGGAGGGTGGACATGGGGGGGTGAGGGGAGGGTGGACATGGGGGGGGTGAGGGGAGGGTGGACATGGGGGGTGAGGGGAGGGTGGACATGGGGGGGTGAGGGGAGGGTGGACATGGGGGGTGAGGGGAGGGTGGACATGGGGGGGGTGAGGGGGGTGGACATGGGGGGTGAGGGGAGGGGGACATGGGGGTGAGGGGGGGTGAGGGGGGTGGACATGGGGGTGTGAGGGAGGGGGGAATGGGACACACCAAACGCCACCTCCATAGGTAAGTTTTCCAGACAATTCCTGAACCATTCACAGGATTCAGGGCAGAGGGAGAGAGGGGGAGAGAGAGGGAAGTCGGGCACTGCGACATTAGCTCAGAGCCGTGACTCGCACTGATGGCTTTCGGAGCCAATGTCGCACTCCACCATTTCCAAACGCTGTGGAGATATTTACAGAGAAACTGCAAAAAATTCTTTAAACCATTTCTCTCTGGAAACCAGAAACGGGCCTCGTTAGGAGCTCTCACCTTCCCTCCTCCTCCCTCTCTCTCTCTCTCCCTCTCCTCCCCTCTCTCTCTCCCCCTCTCCTCCTCTCCTCTCTCTCTCCCCCTCTCCTCCTCTCCTCTCTCTCTCCCCCTCTCCTTCCCTATCTCTCTCCCCCTCTCCTTCCCTATCTCTCCCTCTCGCTCTCCCTCTCCCCCTCGCTCTCCTCCTCTCCTCTCTCCCCCTCTCCTTCCCTCGCTCTCTCTCCCTCTCCTCTCCCCCCTCTATCCTCTCTCCCTCTCCTCTCTCTCCCCCTCTCCCCCTCTATCCTCTCCCCCTCCCCCTCTATCCTCTCCCCCTCTCCCCCTCTACCCTCTCCCTCTCCCCCTCTATCCTCTCCCCTCTCCCCCTCTATCCTCTCCCCCTCTCCCCCTCTATCCTCTCTCCCTCTCCCCTCTACCCTCTCCCCCTCTATCCTCTCCTCCGTCTGTCCCTTCTCTCTCTTTCCTTTCTATCTGTAGCTCTGATTTCGTGACGCACTTCGTTAACAGTTACTGCAGTTTTTTTTTGCTTTGAGAAGAAATTGATTTACTTACCAGTGAGAAAGCCATAGTCAGCACTGCCGGTGATCCCCTCCTCCGGACACAGAGACACAGAGAGACTCCGCACAGAGAGAGAGAGAGAGAGAGAAATTGTAAATAAATTCCCACCCGGTGTCGGGAGGGGGAGAGGGAGGGATAAAGGAGAAAACCAAAACAAAACACCACAACACAAACTCTAAAAGAAACTGGAAATCAAGACGTTTTGCAACAACATTTGGCTCCTAAAGTGCTGTATTTATAGTGATTGGCGGTGTCCTGTCGGGTCCTGTCCTGACCAGAATGATGCACATCACAGACACCTGATTCCCGGCTCCTGGAGGTCCACCAATCTGTCCGCTCACCTCCCGCAGGGAGTCAGGGCCGAGAGGGGGAGAGAGAGAGAGAGAGAGCAGCTTTCTCACTCACAAATTACAGTGAGGGGTGGGGGTGTCTCACACACCTGTCTCTAACCCCCCCCCCCATAAACCGTTATCGTTGCCAAGACGGCACTGATCAATTAATAATAATAATAATCCTTGCATTTGATATAGCGCTTTTCACGTCGGGAGGACGTCCCAAAGCGCTTCACAGAACACACTGTAAAGTGAATTGACTGTATATTTGTGGGCGAACGCGGCAGCCAATTGCGCACAGCAATGTCCCACAAACAGTCGTAGATTGAAAATGACCAATTTATTATTGTTTTGATTTTGGAGGATTATTATTAGGCGTGTGGAGTAAGGAAACTTGCCCAAGGTTTCGCCCTCTGCCTGGAATTGAACTCAGGTCTCTCGCCTGCAAAGCGAGTGCTCCAACCACTGAGCTACAGGATTCCACAATTGCGCTCATGAGTCTTAAAGTGGAGCCCTGTAGCTCAGTGGTTAGAGCACTTGCCTCGCAAGTGAGAGGACCCGGGTCCGATGCCCGGTAGGGCCAAACGTTGGGCACGTTTCCTTACTCCACGCGCCTCACTCTGTTTCCCCCCCACCTGACGATAGGCTCCACTTGTCTCTCTATACAGGGAGATTTAACAAAAAATAATAATAGCTCTTGCATTTGATACAGAGCCTTTTCGCACGTCATTGAGGCGTCTCAAAGCGCTTCGCAGAATATACTGCAAAGTGTAGTGACTGTGTCGTGGGTGAAATGTGGCATATATTATTATTAAATTATAATAATTTGGTCATTCAATCCACGACTGTTTTGTGGGCCACTGCTGTGCGCAATTGGCTGCCATGTTTCACCCACAAAATAACAAAATGATAATATAGAAATAAATAATGAGACCTCTCAATGACATGATAAGGCGCTACATCAAATGCAAGCATTATTATTATATATGTGAATATAATTGAAGTGGCTCAGTGAGTAAATGCAAATTTTATTTTGTGCTGACACCGTGTGCTGGCAGGTGAATGGTTAATACTGTGCCGGGCTGATGAGACGCCTCATTGTTAAATTGGCTTCACCTGCTGAGCATTGCTGCCCTCCCTCATGGTAAGGCTCAGTGTTGATGTCTGTGTTGATCTCAGTAGGCACAGCTGTGAGGAGAATAGACCGAGTCCCTCGTGTCCTCCTACCATCAGTGGCTGCGCTTTCAGCCACTACTCCCGAAACTTTGGAGCACTCTTCCTCTATCTCTCCTCCTTGTCCCTTCCTTCCCCATCTTCAGGTTGTGCCTGAAGACCTTCCTGTTAGACCACTCCCTGCCCCCCAGCTCGGTGTTGTGCTCCACCACTGTCAAGCGCTCTGGGACGTGGCTCTGGGTGAGGCTGTGTAAATGGAAGTTGTTGTTGAGTCTCAGTTTGTCAGGTCAGGTCTGGGCTGAGGAAGCCACCAGCTAAGGTTGCTGTGTGATTTTGTTGTCAGTGATTCCTGGTGAAAAATGGAGTTCCATAGCATAATTGCTTGAGGGGGGAATGGGACACACCAAACGCCACCTCCATAGGTAAGTTTTCCAGACAATTCCTGAACCATTCACAGGATTCAGGGCAGAGAGGGAGAGAGAGGGAGAGAGAGGGAAGTCGGGCACTGCGACATTAGCTCAGAGCCGTGACTCGCACTGATGGCTTTCGGAGCCAATGTCGCACTCCACCATTTCCAAACGCTGTGGAGATATTTACAGAGAAACTGCAAAAAATTCTTTAAACCATTTCTCTCTGGAAACCAGAAACGGCCTCGTTAGGAGCTCTCACCTTCCCTCCTCCTCCCTCTCTCTCTCTCTCCCTCTCCTCCCCTCTCTCTCTCCCCTCTCCTCCTCTCCTCTCTCTCCCCCTCTCCTCCTCTCCTCTCTCTCTCCCCTCTCCTTCCCTATCTCTCTCCCCCTCTCCTTCCCTATCTCTCCCTCTCGCTCTCCCTCTCCCCCTCGCTCTCCTCCTCTCTCTCTCTCCCCCTCTCCCCCTCTCCTTCCCTCGCTCTCTCCCTCTCCCCCTCGCTCTCTCTCCCCCCCCTTCCTCTCCTCTCTCTCCCCCTCTATCCTCTCTCCCTCTCCCCCTCTATCCTCTCTCCCTCTCCCCCTCTCTCCCTCTCCCCCTCTATCCTCTCCCCCTCTATCCTCTCCCCCTCTACCCTCTCCCCCTCTATCCTCTCCTCCGTCTGTCCCTTCTCTCTCTTTCCTTTCTATCTGTAGCTCTGATTTCGTGACGCACTTCGTTAACAGTTACTGCAGTTTTTTTTTTTGCTTTGAGAAGAAATTGATTTACTTACCAGTGAGAAAGCCATAGTCAGCACTGCCGGTGATCCCCTCCTCCGGACACAGAGACACAGAGAGACTCCGCACAGAGAGAGAGAGAGAGAGAAATTGTAAATAAATTCCCACCCGGTGTCGGGAGGGGGAGAGGGAGGGATAAAGGAGAAAACCAAAACAAAACACCACAACACAAACTCTAAAAGAAACTGGAAATCAAGACGTTTTGCAACAACATTTGGCTCCTAAAGTGCTGTATTTATAGTGATTGGCGGTGTCCTGTCGGGTCCTGTCCTGACCAGAATGATGCACATCACAGACACCTGATTCCCGGCTCCTGGAGGTCCACCAATCTGTCCGCTCACCTCCCGCAGGGAGTCAGGGCCGAGAGGGGGAGAGAGAGAGAGAGAGAGCAGCTTTCTCACTCACAAAGTTACAGTGAGGGGTGGGGGTGTCTCACACACCTGTCTCTAACCCCCCCACATAAACCGTTATCGTTGCCAAGACGGCACTGATCAATTAATAATAATAATAATCCTTGCATTTGATATAGCGCTTTTCACGTCAGGAGGACGTCCCAAAGCGCTTCACAGAACACACTGTAAAGTGAATTGACTGTATATTTGTGGGCGAACGCGGCAGCCAATTGCGCACAGCAATGTCCCACAAACAGTCGTAGATTGAAAATGACCAATTTATTATTGTTTTTGATTTTGGAGGATTATTATTAGGCTCTGTGTGGAGTAAGGAAACTTGCCCAAGGTTTCGCCCTGACCTCCCGGGGATTGAACTCAGGTCTCTCACTTGCAAAGCGAGTGGTCTAACCACTGAGCTACAGGACTCCACAATTGCGCTCATGAGTCTTAAAGTGGAGCCCTGTAGCTCAGTGGTTAGAGCACTTGCCTCGCAAGTGAGAGGACCCGGGTCCGATGCCCGGTAGGGCCAAACGTTGGGCACGTTTCCTTACTCCACGCGCCTCACTCTGTTTCCCCCCCACCTGACGATAGGCTCCACTTGTCTCTCTATACAGGGAGATTTAACAAAAAATAATAATAGCTCTTGCATTTGATACAGAGCCTTTTTGCACGTCGTTGAGGCGTCTCAAAGCGCTTTGCAGAATATACTGCAAAGTGTAGTGACTGTGTCGTGGGTGAAATGTGGCATATATTATTATTAAATTATAATAATTTGGTCATTCAATCCACGACTGTTTTGTGGGCCACTGCTGTGCGCAATTGGCTGCCATGTTTCACCCACAAAATAACAAAATGATAATATAGAAATAAATAATGAGACCTCTCAATGACATGATAAGGCGCTACATCAAATGCAAGCATTATTATTATATATGTGAATATAATTGAAGTGGCTCAGTGAGTAAATGCAAATTTTATTTTGTGCTGAGTTGATGCAGACACCGTGTGCTGGCAGGTGAATGGTTAATACTGTGCCGGGCTGATGAGACGCCTCATTGTTAAATTGGCTTCACCTGCTGAGCATTGCTGCCCTCCCTCATGATAAGGCTCAGTGTTGATGTCTGTGTTGATCTCAGTAGGCACAGCTGTGAGGAGAATAGACCGAGTCCCTCGTGTCCTCCTACCATCAGTGGCTGCGCTTTCAGCCACTACTCCCGAAACTTTGGAGCACTCTTCCTCTATCTCTCCTCCTTGTCCCTTCCTTCCCCATCTTCAGGTTGTGCCTGAAGACCTTCCTGTTAGACCACTCCCTGCCCCCCAGCTCGGTGTTGTGCTCCACCACTGTCCAGCGCTCTGGGACGTGGCTCTGGGTGAGGCTGTGTAAATGGAAGTTGTTGTTGAGTCTCAGTTTGTCAGGTCTGGGCTGAGGAAGCCACCAGCTAAGGTTGCTGTGTGACTTTGTCGCCAGTGATTCCTGGTGAAAAATGGAGTTCCATAGCATAATTGCTTAGAGCGCTCGCCCCGCAAGCGAGAGGACCTGGGTTTGACAAAACGTTAGGCAACTTTCCTTACTCCACAGGCCTCTGTTTACCTAACAGTAACAGGAATTCAGTTGTTTGTCGATTGATGGCTGCTGTAATAATTCCTCCAATATATAAATAAATAATAATAGTTTGGTCACTCAATCCACGACTGTTTGTAGGGCATTGCTGTGCAGGGGTGGCTGCTGTTTTTCACCCACAAAAATATATTCTGTGAAGCGCTTTGAGAAATTTCAATGATGTGATATGGCACTACATCAAATCAAACTTGCTTAAGGTTTTGCCCTGCCCAGGTCCTCTCACTTGCTTTGGATTGCGCTTTCAAAGATCAGCACAGACATGATGGCCTTTTTATATGCTGTAAATATTTCCTACAGTTCTAAGCTTCCAAAGTACAGAACAAGAAGGAAAATGGTTTGGTTATGATTATTTCTAATTTTA